GTCATTGGATCCAAAACATTAACTCTTCTTTCTCCACATATGCTGCCAGACCTTCTGAGTTTCTCCACCAATTTTGTTTTCGACTAATCTGCTTGTATTTACCTTAAAAAAAACTGATCATTAAAACTGGAGAAAAGTATATTCCATCTGTTAAGAAGTTTTGCTCGCTCCCTGCTAGAATACTCCCATAACTGATCTCAGCTCACAGCTGAAAATCTAGCTCAGCACCATGCTGCAGCGTACTGCCACTGTACCCAACCACTGCTGAGTACTTTTTGAAGACCCTTCACTCCTCTTCCTTTACTGACGTCTAGCGGATGCAACCAAGATCAGGCTTCCACAAGTATGGTAATCAAATCCACCTATCACAGTTCAGCATATTTGTAAACAATCATATAACAGCACCATGGAATAGAGTTCAACATATCGCATTTAAATTGGATATTTAAGAAAAGTTCACCTAATCCAGCCAAGAAGTTATTTAGAATGGTTGAAGTGTTGATATTTTTCTGAGAGATGGTGGTCATGGGTTTTCTTGGCAGTCTAGAAAGTTTGAAAGAAAAGAAGATTAAACTAAGAAATCTTTTAGACATATTTTAATGCACCCAAAAACACCTATAATTCACTAACATAAACAAAAGAACTGTGGATGCTGGAGATCAATCAAAAACATAAATTGCTGGTGAAATTCAGCAGTTCTGGCAGCATTGGTGGGGAGAAAACAATCTTTCGAATCTGGTGACTCTTCTCTTGAGTCACTGGACTCGAAACGGTAACTCTACTTCTGCCCACAGATGCTGCCAAACCTGCAGAGTTTTGCCAGCAATTTCTGTTTTTGTTTCACCTATAACTTATATGTATTAAATCCAAACAAATGATACACAAAACAATTTGTCAAAATACATTAACATGCAAACTGAAGACTCTTTACAAAGTTCAATAAATGAATCGAATCTTTCAAAAAATGCTTGCAGTCATGTGGAGAGATCAGGTGCCACAAGTTACAGCCTCGTTGGTAATAATAAATTTCAGTTATTCAGTTTTTCTCACCCTTCTGTTATTCACAGGCAAACATAAGAAAAGATGAGCCAAGAAGAGACTGCATCAACTTCAGGAACAAATTATTTGAGTAGAAAGCACAATGATTTAATCTTCAGAAAGTGAATGTTTAAACATAAAACAGCCAAAACGATAAAATCCAAATGACTAATTTTCCATGCAAACATGATACTGAAGCAAGAACCTTATATGAGTGAACATCACACCCTACATTAATCAATTCTGGCTATTATATTTCCGAGTATATCATGCCAAAGTCTAAGGATTAAAGAAACATAGTTTTGAGCAGCTACATTTTTAAATATCAGCTTTCTAGGGGGTTATGGTTAGTTTCTTTACATAGGGACTTGCACCATCAAAGACTTTTTTAAAAATCCTACAAAATGTTACATCTATTATTGTATGTTAAAAGTGCGCAAAACAGCACTGATTTCTTTTCAGTAACTAATGCTAATTTGAAAAGTGAAATTTTAAGGTCTTGCAAGTGCACCAAAATTTACTAATGACTCCTTTAAAAGCATTACTATATAGTTATTGCGATTTATCTTTTAAATTTCTTTCTTAGACATTTGTCTAGAAACAAAGACAGTTTGAACCATTTTTAATGCAAATTTATTCCCCAGTTGAATTACAGGGCATTTTTCACAACTGAAAAGGTTTATGAATCTACAAAATATTTTAATCCAAATTAAGCAAACAAATTATAGCTGCTTTTAAGAACATTAGAAAAATTGGAGCACTTGATTTCATACTAATCTGTGCAAGCACAGAGTCATACAGCACGGACATGGGCCTTTCGGTCCAATTTGTCCACGCCGAATAGGTTTCCCAAACTAAACTAGTCCCATTTGCCTGCATTTGGCCTATATCCCTCTAACCTTTCCTATCCATGTACCTGTCCAGATTGAAAAAATAGTGTCATTGCACTAATCAAAATGGAGAAAGGGCTTTGTGCGGCTGGTCAAAATTCCTCAAAAGTATAGCTAAACATAAGGCCATCTGACCAATGATCAGTCTGTTAATTTTTTTGTCCTTGCTGTGTGGAAACTGGTTGCTGCATTCACCTGCAGAGAAAGGCAATTAAAAGTGCAATCCAAGTGACAAATTTTCAGTTTCAGAGAAAAAAAAACAAAGTGTTGTATATTTTATCGTTCTAGAAGCAAAGTAGGATTCAATTCTTAAAATCTTTCATTGGCAACACTTGAAATACTTAATACGCCTTCTTCACCGCCCCATCCCAAACCCACAAATATCGTTTCAAAAGTAAGATATCAAAAAAAACGTACACAATATACCAGGTTTTGTCAAAGAACAAAGGCTTAAAATAATCACGTTAATTTATCCAATGTCTTCAAAATGGATCGCAATGTACAAGCACTGACAGCTTTCAATGGTCAATCACAACAAAATCCTCTGTCCTAATACCTCTCCATTCTGTTCACACAACCAAGTTATCCACTTGCTATTCTTTAGCTTAGTTTCCTAATTTGCCCTTCTGAGTTCTGAGGAAGGGTCACCAGACCCAATGCATTAACTCTTTTTTTTCCTTCACAGATGCTGCCAGACCTGCTGAGCTATTCCAGCAACTATGTTTTTGTTACTGATTTACAGCATCTGCAGTTCTTTCAGTTTTTATACAAAAGCACAGGACCAGCATAATCAATGAAAACAATGACTGCTCTTATCACAGGCATTACAAACTGTTTTTTTTTTCTATAAATTGGATTTAAATATGTTTAACAGACTAAAATCCATACCTTGAATAAGGCAGCAAAAGACTTTGAGATTTTCAAGTGCTCTATTATAAATCCAGCTTAGTACAGAAGCCAATTTCTACCTTCCCCTATCCAAAAGCCAACAACCCACTGGAAAAGAAAACAGCTTTTGTTTTGAAAATAAACTCACCACTATTTAAATTAAACACCCCGTACAAAAATGACAAAAAAACCCAGTTTTTTTAAAAACCAAATCACCTATTTGGCAATTAAGCTAACAAATAACAAACTCTGCCCACCAAGGGAAAAAAAGTTTTTTTTAAATTAAACTGTCACCAATCACCCATGTCCATAAGACCTAGGAGAATTACACCATTCAGCCCATTGAGTCTGCTCTGTCATTCAATGAGATCATGGTGTGATATTATAAACATCAGAAATTTAACAACTTTATTGATTGAAAGAATCAACAATAAACAGTTATACACGGAATGAAGCAGCAATAACTCTGGAATAAACTAGTAAGGGACAAGGAAAAAAAAATTTCTAGAAACTGAAAGCATTTAGCCATGTCTGGGAAGAGAGGGAGCAAAGCTACATGAACAAAACTGTTTTGACAACCACTTGATAACTAGTTGCTTTATTGTCACAAGGGCAATTGATTGTCCTGTAGAAGAATTTAAGGACTTAATCACAGGAAAGGTGTGTTTTCAAACGGACAGTCAATGCCAAATGTTACAAGGAACAGGGAAACTACTTCTGATGAGAACGCAAGCTGCAGACTCAATGGTTTTAGAGTAGTCAATAATTTAGATGGAAGAATGTAAAGAATCATCAATAATCTCACATCATTGACCTGAAGGACAAAAATAAACCATACATGAATCCAACACCAGAACAATTCAGCAGCAGAACTTTGAAGAAAATCACTGCACAAAGATTGAACACCAGAGACAGACATTGTTGGTTGGGATCGTAGCTAAACTCATTAAATCAGGGGATAGCCAAGTTGATTCAGAGATAGTAGGAACTGCAGATGCTGGAGAATCTGAGACAACAAGGTGTAGAGCTGGATGAACACAGCAGGCCAAGCAGCATCAGAGGAGCAGGAAAGCTGACATTTCGGGCCTAGACCCTTCTTCAGTCTAGGCCCAAAACGTCAGCCTTCCTGCTCCTCTGATGCTGCTTGGCCTGCTGTGTTCATCCAGCTCTACACCTTGTTATCTCAGATTCTCCAGCATCTGCAGTACCTACTGTCTCAGTCTTAAACTGTGTTCTCTTTCCCACGACAAGAGAAAATAACTTCCAGTATTTAACCTATCAAGTCCCTTCAAATCTTCTGTTTCAATAAGATCAACTCCAATGGATATAGGCCCAACCTGTTCAACCTTTCTTCAAAAGATAAGCCATTTATCCCAAGAATTAATTGAGTGGAGCTTTTTGGAACAGCTTTTAACAATTATATTCTTTTACAAATTGAAATACCAAAACTGAATATGGTACTCCAGATGTGCTTTCACCAAGGCCCTGCAAGGCTGCAGTAAACCTAATTACTATCTATCAGAGTATCACCAACAAATTTAGCTATGATACATTTGGTTCCATTATCCAGTCATTGATACAGACTGTAACTAGGCAAGGCCCCAGCAACCATGTTGACTCTGCCTGACCCAGTTATGATTTTCTAAGTATCCTCTATAACTTCCTTAATTATGGATCCTAGCAATTTCCCCATGATAGAAGATAGCTAACCTGGATATAGTGTCATGCTTTCTGTATCGTCCTTTCATGAATAATAGTGTTTTTTTTGGTTATTTTCAAATCCATTGGGCATGTTCCAGAAGCCAAGGAATTTTGAAAGGTTATAACCAGTATATCTGTTATCACTACAGCAACCTCTCAGATGCAAGCCATCAGGTCATGGAGTATTAAAATTGAACAGTTTTCCTAGTACCCTTTCCCCCCTAGTGATGATGATTGTTTTCAGTTCCTCTTTCTTGTTCATTTCTTGCTTTTCAAATATCTTTGGGAAGTTGTATATTTGCGACAGTGTAAAATGACAGAAAATATGTCAACACTTCAACCATTTCCGCTTTTTCGTTATTAACTCCCCAACACTAACGAGAAAGTAAACACTTGACTTACTCTTCTATTTAAATACTTGTATTATGTGTCTCTATGTTGTATTATACTTGTCTCACTATCTTTGTTATATTTTGGCTCTCTTTCATACTCCCTCCTTGTTTATGATATATTTTAGCATTATTTGCTGGTTCTATAAAAAAAACTGTCCAATCTTCTGAATCTTCACAGATTTGTGTTGTGTTTCTTTCAATTTCACACTAAGCCCAGTTTCTTATTAGGCCTTGTTTGAAAGGCTTTTCTCGAAGCATCTTGCTTTTTCACAGTGACTTATCACTGGGATATATCTTTGCTGAGCTGTTAAATACCTTAAAAGTCTTGCATTGCATCTCAAATATTTTACCTTTTAATCTAGTTTCCCAGTCCACTTTAGCCAACTCTGCTTCATGCCCTTATATTAACCTTTGTTTAGGTTTAAGTCACTAGTCTTATCATGCTAAGTTTGCTGTTCCCTAGAGACTGTTATGATGAAGTTAGTAATTAATCCTGTCTTGTTGCACATTACCAGGTCTCGAATAGCCTACTGCCTGGTCAGTGCAAGAATATACTGCTAAATAGTTGTTTCTGTGCAGGAGTAAATCTAACAGTGTTCCTTCCCACCCTTGTTAGACCATTATGACCACTGTTTCACATAAAAGAAATCTAAGCGCTGCAAAGTATTTTTGCAAAACACCTTCTGTAACTAACCATTCCTCCAAATGAGAATCCAGAACACAGATATATTATTTAGAGTACGTTACCAACACAGTTAATTCATTCTTTCAAATAATTCAATTGATCATTCCTTGATAAGATTTGAAATTAGGGGAAAAAAAGAAGTTTAAATCATGTTTTCAATGCACGAATAGGAAAGTCATATCTGACACAAAATAACTGAGACAGACTGGAGGAAATAGGGTCATGAACTACTAAGTAAATTAATCTGTTTTATTAGCCATAAATGCAATTCACAGATCAGATACTCATATTTCCAGACAGAGATGTATATGACTAAATCAACAGATTCTATATTGTATTTATTACATGGATCCCTGTTTCCAATGTCTGGGGTTTCAATTTACTTCCTTCTATATATACACATATATGTTGTACAATCTATAGATAATACAATATTTTCATATTTAAAAAATGCAACGTGTAACATATTTTCAGATAGTTGTCCAAAATAAGAATATTTTCTGCAAGTCCCTTCAATATATCCCAGAAGAATCACACAAATTAAGACTATGTTAGATTTAAAAGTAGTTGTGCAACCAAATCATTATTTTCTATAAGTTATGGTCAATAGAAGAGGAAAATGTATCTCATTTTGCACGTGGAATTTATTATCTGAATGCCTTAAATGGCTGTAATGCCCAATTTCTCACCTGCCATTTTAGGAGTGTCTCATCAGTAATACAAAATTCCTAATATGCATCACTTGCTATTTCAACTATGTGTTCCCAGGTAAAATTACACAATGCATCCTTCATTAAGCAACTACCTGCCAAGATATACAAATATGCAAAGAAAAATCAAGATCCTTATGACTTGACATGTACTTTCTCAGCAAGCTTTTCAGCCCTTATATTTTGAATACCAAAACACAGGTGCTATGAGTGTATGTTTCAACTTCAATAGTAATGTTCACTACACATGTAAACAGTTCAGTTGTGAATCCATTTTGCAAGCCACATCATTGTCTTTGTTCATTGTAATCTTCAAGCAAAAAGGTTACTTGGTAAACATGTCAGATTTTTCACATGGCATATAACTTTTCTTCAGGTTAACCTCACAATGATATCAAAAATGTTATTTTGTTTTTGTTAAATACTGTGCAATCTCCAGCTGCATGTGTAAGCTCTAGTCAGCAGGATCTCTGGTCCCACACTGAACACATGGATGTGAATTCTCAGCTGAGTTGATACTTTAAATTCAATTTTGATGATGTTAAACAGTTTGCTAAACAAAGACTCTCGCAACATTAAGAATTGCTCTCCAGACTTTTTAAAAGAATCATCTAGTAGACAAACTTTAGAACACACAACGGCACTGTTGGCAGGAGCGAACAATTCAGACTTATGTTTTTTCACAGTCCTGCCTAAAGTATGTCAACATGGAGGCAACAAAAAGGAGCAGAGAAGTAAAAAAAAATTAAAACTACCTTTAAAATACTGATGGAACATTAAGAATACCACATTATATGGCCAGATTTTAATACAGAATATTTCTAAATGCTTGTAATACAGATTCTCTGTCTTTCTTCACTACCCAACAGTCAAGCAAATGGTGTTTCATTTTTTGATAAATTGGCTGCATTAGTAAGCCTTTCTTAACAAGAAACATTTGTTTAGTTAATCTAGATTTGCAAACCAGATTTCTGTCAAATTGTATCATTTCTGGGGCAAGCCAAATTCAATGCGCAGAAATTAGTTACCTGTGAATGAATTAAATCGCACTCTCTAAATCAAATAGCAATGGGAGAGAATGGACTTTGATATTAGAATTCTACCAATTCTGAACAATCCCACCATTCATGCATTTCTTTCTTTAGAAGAAAAGGAATTCTTAGTTAATTCTGGACAAACAATGACCATGTAAAACAGGACCTTTGAACGGAAAGTATATCAGGAAAGTTTCTTTTTTATGTACACAACAAAGGAAAAGTTTTCTAAATTCCACCTTTTGGAAAGTAGCATTCAGTGGATAGTCAACCAAAGAGTGGCTTCAGTGTAAAGTGCAAACACTTCCAATTTTTACAAGGAAAAAGTAATTAACATTTACTTCACTTAAGTTACTACAAATGATTTCTCTCAGGTGTTAGCTGACACTTGAAGACTCACATGTCAAGATCGTAACACTGACATGTTAAACCTTAAAGCACGGTGCACAACCATTTTCAATAGTCACTGAAATCTAAAACAGGAACATAATGCTTCAAAGTAGGTCAACGCCCCAATTCACAGCACATAATACACACTCATGAACACTAAATTTACATTATTACAGAAATCAACATAAAAATGAAAAAGCTAGAGATTGTTGAAAGGAATTTCAAGTTTCAGAAAGTCATGCATAGTCTACATGGGCTAACAAAACAAAATCGTTTCTGACCATTAATCTTTTGATTAAATTGAAATCAATAAAAGACAGCCATGATAAAATTACAAACAAAATATAGCAAACATGAACAAAGACTACAGAAGATGGCCAGGTGGGCTGAACATGCCAAGGAATGCTTCAACTCCAACTTTTGAAGGTAAGGAATTGTTGAATATGTTCATTAAATTTAATAAGCCTATCACTATACATTTTTAGAATATCTTAATACAAAATTCTTCCTTTGAATCCTTTTCCAACATTTACACCTAGTAGTTTAAGTTCTCTGTCAAAACAGATTAGACTTTCAAACACATTTCAAGAAAATATCACTGCAATGATTTTAAAGATATAAATGTGGTTTTTAAGAGGGTGTCTAAGCACAGTCATCACCCTGCAGCAGAAAAAGATTGTCTTATTGATGTGGGAAGGGCGTCAATCAAGTGTCTGTAGGAAGAACTCCACACATTTTAAACTACAACTCTGCAGTTCATGAAGATGAAATTTTAAGACAACTGAAGATATGAATATCTTTTGCAGTGGCTGTTCCAATAGAAGTTAAAAACACACCATCATAGCACTTGGAGCAGCCTTGTCAATTATATTCAGAAGTTTGATGATTCAAAAGAGTGTCCTTGATCCCTGGTTTTCAAATTCTGACCAAGCATCATTCAGTTCCATGAAGATCATCTTGGCATACTGTTCATAGGGTTCACCTGTAGCCTTAATTTAAGGAAAAAAAAGTTTAGTGCCCAGTTCATAGCAGCTACGGTATGGTTTATTTCATTGTGAGTTTAGAATTTCAGAAGCAAATTACATTACAGGCAGAACTTGGCTCACTAAAACTGTTGTGTCCCACAAGATTTAGTAATCATTTATCTAACTTAACTCTACTTTTTCTCGTTGATGTAAAAAAGCAAAGATTAAGTTAAATTCAACAATAGTATTCGATTTCCTTTCAAACTTCTTAAAAGTACTAATTACATTTCATGATGTTAATTAATGAGTTCCCAGATTTTTAAATTTACTGAATTGTATTGTCTGACAATGCCATTTTGTTGACCTTACCTTGTCTGGGTGGACTACAAGTATAGCTTTCCGATAGACCTTCTTCACTTGGTCTGGGTGCACAATGTCTGCCATGCTCACAGGTTTCCATTTAGTTTCACCCTCCCACAGTACTGTGTGTAGAGTTGACAATAAAGCCCTTATATTTCTCTCTTTTCCTTCAATCCAATCAAGGATCTGGCAAAGAATCAAAATTTTAATACGTAATCTAATCAACAAGAGTTTTGCAAACAATTACATAACATCGGAGTCTTTGATATGATAGTTAAAAATATCACATAGCAGTGGAAGGACACCAGGCATCTGAAAAAAAACATGACCTATATTAAAACATTGGTAGGCAACGCTTAAAAATCTTCATACTAGCGTAGGGATATGGGATATGGATCAAAGGTGAGTAAAGGTAATTAAAAGTGCATATCAGTTAAAATTTAATTGAACGGTAGAAAAACCTCAATGGATCAATGGCAAATTCCTGCTCCTATGTTCCCCTTTACCCTGAAGTTACATACTTGTTTCATTATAAATTTCATTGACTGCAAGGAAGTATTGATAAAATGATGTAACAAAGTCCAGAACATCAGTATAATCATAACATTTCTCACTACCTTGACATTGCACTTTCTAAAAGCACTGACAACTGCTAAGTGAAAACTCCAATCAATCAAACTGACTCATGATGAATTTGAAAATATTGTGCATTTTATGCATTAGGTACAACTGAAGAACTGGGACTGAAGAAGAATTTACCAATTACAGTTGGAAATAACTCATCAATAAATCAATCTCTTTCACAATCTCCTTTAAGCTGCTATCATATTTAACAATTTAAAAAAATATTGAAGCCTCTTTCTCCTTTTGGTTGATTAATTGACTGCTGCTATCCATAACTGGATGTGGCAGGACCACACAACTGTCAGGTAATTCATTAGTTGTGGAATCACGTAGCTCTGCCCTTAGCAAACTGCTTCCACTGTTAAACATTAATGTGATACTATGTTGCAGCTTCTCCAGGCTGGCACCTCCATTTTAGGTATGCTGGCATTGTTCCTGATGGACTCACTCCTCATTGAACCGGGGCTGTTTACTTGGCTTGCTGGAAATTACAAAGTGGGGGATATGTCAGGCCACGAGGTTAGAGATTGTGTTTGAATACAATTCTGCTGATGATGGTCCACAGAGCAGCATAGATGCCATGTTTGAGTTACTTAACCTGTTGGTCAGAGGCTGCTCACACAAAGGCAGTAGCTGTGAACTGAAGTTACCCAAGCCCTAACTGCTGGCTTGTCTGGCTGGTTTGAGCTGGTTCAGCTCTGAGGGATAACATAAGGGGGAAATCCTTATTTAGTGGAAGAGTAACGAGGTAATACTTGGAATGAACCTATAGTGGAAAGACACCACTATCAGATGAGCTGACAGCCAACAAGAACAAGACACCACCATTCAGAACGATAAGGATAAAAGATAAAAATGATGGATTTCAGTGTGCTATCAGTGAAAACGCTGGACAGCAACCTTCGCAAAGTGTAGAACCCACACTTGGAAATGTGGAGAGGACCCCAAGACCTGGGAGAAAAATATCTGGCCAATGTGAGCTTCTATTCTTGGGTATTAGCTTTTATTTTTCTTGACTGTTCCAGGAACATCAGCTTAGTGGGCACGCGCTGGATTTTAGCCTTGTATGAATTGCATGTCTGCTGTTAACCTTTTCCTAGCCAAGTGGTATGAATTGTATGTCTCTTTCAACTAAACTAATAAAGGTAATGGTTAGTTAATACAGACTTGACTCTTGTCTTCTTTGTGCCGAGCCAACAATTGTCATCAAGGGAGGTAACCGGGCAACAAACCTGTTCTAAAACTTACCTATTTGGCATGGTGGTATTGACACACAATACAGTAAAATGAAGGACGTGCTCAAGTGTAAAGAAAGGACTTTGTCTCTAGGAAGATTGTGTAATAACTCTTACCAATACCAGCATGGACAGATGGATGTTGATTCTCTCATTACCTGCTGCAGGCTAAGTCTGGCAGATATTGCGCTTCAGTATGTGGGCAGCTTAGTCAGTGGTGGTACTACTGAGCCACTCTTGGTGAAGAACGTTGTGAATTTCAATGCAGAACTACTTTGTTCAAAATGGAGGAGTACTGATTCATCAACTGAAGGACAGCAGTGTACAATACTTAGTAGAAGGTTTAACCTGATGCCATTGAATCTTCATGGGGTCAAGTTTAATTGAGAACAAACAGGAGCATTCTCTCCCAACCTTTTGGCACCATACCAACATCTCTACTATGTCCTGCTGCTGGTACAGAGCATAACTAGAGATGGTGATGCAAGAGTCTAGGACATGAGCTGTAGGGCATTATTCAATATAATTATGTCAGCCAGCTCTCGCACATCACCCCAGATGTCAGTGAGCAGGACCATGCAGGGTCTACTGGGCACAGTGCACCTTTGTCCTATCCAGTGCCTAGATTGAGCCATGTAATCTATCCAGTTTTATATCCATTAAACTTTCCTGGAGCAGACTGATGCATACTGAGTGGTTTCCTCAGCCAATTCACAGGGCAGTTAAGAATCAATCATGTTTCTGTGGGTTTGAAGTCACATGAAGTCTAGGCATGTTTCTTTCCATAAAGGATGTCAGTGAACCAGTTGGATTCTTACGAAAATCCAACAGTTTCGTGATGGTTAATATTGAGATTTTGCTCTTCATTCCAGATTAATTTAAAATAAGTGAAATTAAATTTCCACAGCTAATGTGCAGGAAATTGGTCTTATGAATCTGGAACATAACTCACTATTTAAAAGAAAGTCTTCTCACCACTTCTTGACACTATGATGATTGGTTAAAACCACGTCACAAATTTGGAATGAAATAGGGACATAGCAAATTCACCATGAACCCAGGAAAGGCCTGAGCCAACCTTAGTTAAAAGCGATATTCTCCTTGTATTTGTAAACTTAAGGGCATCAACTCCATACCAAAAGCAGAGTTAATTCTGTACTGCAAGATACAAAATAAAGGAGTGCAGAAAAACAAGATACAAAGTGCAATAGCCAGATTTGCAGATGACACTAAAATAAGTGGGAAAGTACACTGCAATGAAGAAATAAGAAATTTACAAATATATTTGGATAGGTGAATGGGCCAAAATTTGACAGATGAAGTTTAACGTGAAGAAGTGTGAGGTTATCCATTTTGGTCAGAGGAATAGAAAGGTAACATTATACAAATGGAGAGAAACTTCGAAATGCTTTGGTGCAGAGGGATCCGAGTATCCCCGAGCATGAATCACAGAAAAGTAATATGCAGGTATAGCAGGTAATATGGAAAACAAATGGAATTTTGGTATTTAATGCTGAAGGAATGGAGTATAAAACTAGGAAGTGTTACTACAACTGTTCGAGGCATTAGTGACTGTAATTGAAGTATTGCAGACAATTTTAATTGGGAACAGATATAATCGATATTGAAGGCAGTTTAGAGGAGGTTCACTAGATGGATTCCAGAGGTGAGAAGTTTGTCGATGAAAAGAGATTCAGCAGTTTAGGCCTATACTCTCAGGAGTTTAGAAGAATGGATGGAGATCCAATTGAAGTGCATACCATGCTAAACAAGATGGACAAAATAGACATGGGGCAATCTAGAATGAGAGGTCATAGGCTTATTATAAGGGATAGCAGATTTAAAATAGAGATATGGAGAAATTACTTCTCTCAAAGGGTCATGAAACTGTGGAATTCACTACCCCAGACTGCAGTGAATGCTGGGTCATTGAGTAAATTTAAGGAGGAGTATCAACAGATTTTTAATTAGAAATGGGTTGAAAGGTTATAGAAAGTGGGCAGGAAAGTGGAGTTAAGGCCAAGATGAGATCAGCCATTATCATATCAAATGGCACAGCTGGCTCGAGGAGCTGAACTGCCCATTCCTGCTCCTAGTTCTTACGGTCTTAAGATCTGTTCAACATGTATATATTCTTCAAACCTTCAGTTTTAGAGGATCCATTTCTTTAGTCAGTTCTTCTCTTCGTAATTCTGCAATAGTCTTAGGTTCTTTTCTGTCCGCTGTGCTAGAAAATCCTTGGTCAGACAATAGATCCTGAAAGTCGTTTGCAGAAACTTTTGGTTTTGGTCCTGCAGGAGGGAAGAAAAAAAATCAATTCAACAATAGGATTCTACTATGAACAGTTCCTTGCAGTAAACGATGCTAATCATTGAAGTAGTTATCATTAGAACAGTGGATGCTACCTAACCCACTGTGATTTCCTGTACTTTTTGTTTTCAGTACAGATTCTAGCATCTGCAGTAATCTGCTGCTACAAAATTACAGGGTGCTCAGATAGAGTTGTTTAAAAACAGGAAGTGGGGGAGAGTTAGATTGAGACAGGACTTCAAAGAGGTGACTTCACATGAGGGCATACATTTAAGATTAAAAGTGTGAAATTTAAGAGGGAAACATTCCTCTACATAGAGGGTTGTGAATGGAATGCAATATGGAATTAGTGATTGAGCCAGGAAAAATGTCAAAACTTAAGAAGAGATTTGATGGTGGTTTAAGGAAAAAGAAGGGAAGGTGTATGGGATTGAAGGAAAAAATAAGAGGTTAGGACTAGTCAGTGTTTTTCTTGTCATAAGGAATCATGCAATTCGAGGTACCTTTATGATCTATCATGAAATGCAAATACTTTTGAGCTATTTCAAATATGTAAAATTCAAGTGGGTCGAAATATTAGTTTTCTTTTTGTTTAATTGTTCAATGTGGTCTAATTTTAAACTGACAACTACCTTCTCAAGGGCAATTAGGAATTAGCAGTGAATGCTGGTCTTCCCAGCGGCTCCTACATCCCAAGGGCCAGACGAGGGCAAATAAAAGGGCAAAGGTCAATGATGCAAATGTTGAAATTCCGCCAAAGGAAATTTCTCTCTCTCTTGTGCTGGAGTGGAGGATAAGCACAAATCTGAAGTAGGTTAGCCAAATGGTCAGCTTCTGATTTTGAATTCCTTTGTAAATCTATGTATTTTAAAAATAGTTTGCCCTCCCTTCTTAAAAAGCTACTGTTTGAAAAAGTATCTTCTGAAAACAAACAGTTGAAATATAAAACAGAAGAAAAAGTACCAAATCCAGGCCCTCGGATGCCTCGTTCCTCCCGTCTACCCATGACGCTGAAATTCAAATTGTAGTTGGGTTTAGTCTGGGCTGCTGGTCTAGGCGGATGTGCCTTTGATTGCTGCTGTGGAGTAGTATTGCTGCCCAGAGTTCTGCCAGACTGCCAGGAACTACTGCCCATTGCTGGCTGTGCAGATTTCTGAGTCAATGTTCCTCCAGCTGTAAATCCTCCACTCAAGGAACCTGTAGAAGCATCAAGAACAATCATTATTATAAAGACAAATCAACTACTGAGGTTATATTATTTATCCATGTTTTGTCCTCATATGACATACAGCAGATTTATTAAATAACATTCCAAACATGTATATTATGTTTCATAAAATGTAGGATTGGTAGCGAGATTAACTTTGTTATTTATATAAATAATTTAGACTCAGGGAACAATATCAAAATTTGCTACTGACACAAAGTATGTGCATGTGTGTGTGCGTGTGCGTGTGTGGAGGAGGGGAGGGTGGGGGCAGGCGACAATCAGTACTTTGGAAGACTGCAAGATTATACAGGAAGACATTGTTATGTTGTCAGAGATGTGTTTAACTCACAAACAAAGTTCAAAATGGATAATTGTGAAGTATTTTGATATGAAGAAAAAGGAATAATCCGGAAAAATTAATTGACTTAAATGGTACAGAAGACCATAAGGCACAGATGAACAAATCATGTAAAGCTCTGAAAAAAAAAAACCTGTAGTTCATTTCTAGAGCAATATAATTAAATTGCAGATAAGTTATTATAAGCCTATACAGAACTTTGTTTTACTTTGTCTCCAAACTATAAGGATGCAGAAGCACTGGAGAGTTGCAAAGAAGATTTACAAGAAGATGGTAGAGCAGAGAAGATCAGGTAAAATGAGACATAGAAAAAAATCAGAAAAATGAAAATAAGGCCCTTTTTCTCAGAAAAAGTAAAAACAGAGATGTGACCTAAGAAAGGCGTAAAAGATTATGAAAATGTTTGATAGGGTCATTGTAAATAAAACTTCTCATTTTCAGTGGAGACTACAACTAGCAACTGTTAAAATAAAGTTCGTGAACATATTCAATACAAAATGCAGCAAAAACCTCTTTACCCAAAGAGTGATTAGAATGTGGAACCTATTACATCAAGTAGTGGCAAGTTAAATAAACATGAGTGAGGAAGCAGTAGCAGGATATGTTGATGGGATTAGTTGAAGAGTAGTGGACACTTCTACGAAGCATAAACAAGGCGGGGGGGGGGGGGGGGGGGGGGGGGGGGGGGGGCAGGCGGAGAATGAAATCTGTGAACATACTTTAAACAGATCAATCTCATTAATGTTTGCAGTGTAAGGGTCTGATGACACACACAACTTGTCAACTATAAATGACTAAATGTGCAAGGCCCCAAAGGCAATGAGAATTATTTTAGTAACTGGATCTGTAGATTAATGGTTCTGGAACATTACCTGGTAAACTGGAACCAAGGTTACCAATGTCAGCAAATGGATCAAAGGACTTTGAATGACTAAATGATACATTCGAAGCAGGACCAGAGGCAGCACCAGATGCTGAAGTAAATGTTGAGCCTATGTTAGAAACAATCCAACATGAGTTACTTTTGAGTTACAATCCAGTAGCCATGTAACAGAGAAGTGCAAGAGTAATGGTGCAAGTTATATTACATTATCTAGTCAGGCAGAACTCAGACCTTGTGGAATACACCACATATTTGTTTAATCAAAATTATCTTGATGGCCAACATAAGAATAATGTTAAATCACCGTATCAGCGAAAAAGGCTTTTTTTGAAGAAGTAGAATTTTATAAATGGCATTTTTTTTTAACACCACAATATATAAATAGGCAGATAAATGTATATCTATATCTGTAACTCATAAGAGTGAATAGTCAATACACCTGAGTACATAAAGTTTGATGCCTATTTCAATATTCCATTATTTATTCAAAACAGCTGAGTGGTTTCCTACCTGTCTCCGTCACTCTGGCAAACTGGCTACATATTTACATATTCTGTCTTTGAGATGAAATATTAAACAAAGACTCTATCTATCCTCTCAGATAGACATAAACAATCCCATTACACCATTTGAACAGGAGCATAGAATTCTCCAAATGTCCCGGCCAACATTTATCCTCCAGCTAAAATCACTAAAAATGGTTGTCTGGTACTTTTTTTGTCACCATTTGTTGGCCATTACAGTGTCCGGATTGACTTGCACATTGACTAGAGTGACTACATTTTAAAAGTAGTAAAGTGGCTATAAAGCATTTTGGAACATCCTGAACTTGTGAAAGGCCCTTTACTTAGAAAAAGTAAAAACAGAGGTGTGACCTAATAGACGTCTAAAAATTATGAAAATGTTTGATAGGGTCAGTGTAAATAAAACATCATTTGCAGTCGAGACTACAATTAGCAGTCGTTAAAATAAGGCAGTCATGAACATATTCAATACAAAATACAGCAAAAACCTCTTTACCCAATTTATAAAACACAATTACTACTTTTTTTTGTAATATTCCCAAAACTGGTGGCATGTATTTAGCCTCAATATGACTGGATATTTGAGTCAGTTTCATGATCAGCGGTTTCAGGTAGTTTTTTTTTTATTCAATCCAGTGTTTCATGGTCAAGTATCAAACTTTTGACCAAAGGTGAGAACTCTAAAAATTAGGTTTAAATTCCCAAGTTATGCATTTTCCAAACAATGGTAGCACATCTCACGTCTGTTCTTTTCAAAGTAGAAGCACAAGATATTCAAGATGCAGCAGTTTTACTAAAAAACATAAATCAAAACATGCATGTGTTACTTTGCATTGTAGCTCCAAATGCTGTCTTGTTATTTGTTTGGGGAACTGTGCTGCTGGAAGGCCACGCATTCCATCCGCTCATCAGGTCTGGTTGACTGGCAGACGATGACACTTTTGATAGCTCAGGTGTTACATTTCCTAGAAGAAAGCATAATGTGTGAACTTGTATTAATTCAAACATTTTCTCAGAATCATTAAAATACTCATGATAACTAAAAGCATCACAATCATTTACACCCAAAACACCCATCAAACATTCAGTGAATTACAGCCAGCCCTGTCCACAAATGCCATTTTTACAACTGTACTCTAAATAGATAAAGGGTGTGAATTGTAATGCTCAATTGTATTTTAACAGGTAAAATGGTACCTTAATACATATTTTAAAGTGTGATTTTGCAAACTGTCAGGGGATAAAACAAAGGAACATACTCGCTGAGACACCTTAGAACAACAAGGAATTATTATAAAATCGCAGAATGGTGACGACACAGAATGAAGCCATTCGGTCCATCATGTCCTTGTCATGGGATGGCACGGTGGCTCAATGGTCAGTACTGCTGCCTCACAGGGATCCAGGTTCGATTCCAACCTTGGGTGACTGTCTGTGTGGACTGTGCACATTTTCCGTGTGTCTGTGTGGGTTTCCTCCAGTTTCCTCTCATAGTCCAAAGATGTACAGGTTAAGTGGATAGGACATACTAAATTGCCCTATAGTGTCCAGGAATGGGTAGGTTAGCCATGGGAAATGCAGGGTTACAAGGATATGGTGGGATGCCTTTAGGACGGTCAATGTGGACTCGATGTGCCTGCTTCCACACGGTAGGGATTCTACAATTCTAACTTTGAGAGAGTAACTCGGCTAATGTCCCTGCAATTTCTCATTGCAAGTCTTTATTGCCCATTCCCCAGTTCTCAACCCATTCAGCAATGGGTACAGTTTCTTCCTATTCACACAGTCCAGACCAGTCGTGATTTTTAATAATCTTATCAAATCTTCTGTAAGGTGAGGTCTACAAAATCATGAGAGGTATAGACAGGGTGGATAGCAAGAAGCTTTTTCCCCAGAGTGGGGGACTCAATTACTAGGGGTCACGATTTCAAGATGAGAGGGAAAAAGTTTAAGGGAGATATGTATGGAAAGTTCTTTACGCAGAGGGTGGTGGGTGCCTGGAATGCGTTGTGAGCGGAGGTGGTAGAGGCGGGCACGATAGCATCATTTAAGATGTATCTAGACAGATACATGAATGGGCAGGGAGCAGAGGGATAAAGATGCTTGGAAAATAGGCGACAGGTTTAGATAGAGGATCTGGATCGGCGCAGGCTTGGAGGGCCAAAGGGCCTGTTCCTGTGCTGTAATTTTCTTTGTTCTTTGTTCTTTGACATTTAATGATAAGGTATTGCTGAACAAAGAGATCTTGGAGTACAGGTTCATAATTCTTGAAAGTGGAGTTGCAGATAGACAAGATAGTGAAGAAGGCATTTGGTATGCTTGCCTTTATTGGTCATTGTATTGAGGAAAGGATTTGGGAGATCACGTTGCAGCTGTACACGACACTGGTTAGGTTACTTTTGGAATACTGTGTTCGATTCTGACCTCCGTGTTATAGGAAGGATGTTGTGAAACTTGAAAGGGCTCAGAAAAGATTTACAAGGATATTGACAGGTTTGGAGGGTTTGAGCTGTAGAGAGGCTGAATAGGCTGAGGCTATTTTCCCTGGAGCATTGGAGGCTGAGGGTTGACCTTATAGAGGTTTATAAGATCATGAAGGGCATGGATAGGATGAATAGACAAGGTCTTTTCCCAGAGTTGGGAGAGTCCAAAACTACAGGACATAGATTTAAAGTGAGTGGGGAAGATTTAGAAGGGACCTAAGGAGCACCTTTTTCATGCAGAGGGTCGTGTGTGTATGGAATGAGCTGCCAAAGGGAGTGGTGGAAGCTGGACTAGCTACAACATTTAAAAGGCATCTGGGTCGATACATGAATAGGAAGGGTTTAGAGGAATATGAGCCAAATGCTGGCAAATGGGACTAGATTAATCTAGGATATCTGGTTGGCATGGACAAGTTGGACAGAAGAGTCTGCTTCCATGCTGTAAAGCTCTATGACAGTGAGAACAGATCCAGCTTCACAATCTATCCACTAAACTAGAATTTCCCATTCCTGGAAACATTTTCCTAAGTCTTTTTGAATGAGTTCATATCCTTTCTAAAATGCAGTATTAAAGCCTAGTATTGTTGCAGCCTAATATTAAATATAATACTGCAGTTGAGGATGAACAAGTGTTTGATAACTTCCTTGTATTGTACTTTAAGTACATAGGTACAAAACCATGCATCCCTTATTCATTCTGAACCAGCTCTGTAATCTGCTCTTTCAGCTTTGACAATTTGTGGTTGGATATAATTACAAGTTCCTCTGTTTAAGCAATCCTTTGAGAGATGTAGTCTTCATTTTAAGTTGTCATTCCTCATTCTTCCTTCCAAAATGTATCATTTCACACATCCCTATATTAAAATTCATCACCCACCTTCTGTTCATTACATCAGACTACGTTCTCTTAAAATCTATCATAATTCCCTTCACGGATCTCAAAAAACCCAAGAGTGTTTGAAGTTCCATGGATTTTTCTGAAGACACATTTACAAATAATGAAAATGAATAAGATTACTCAAATTTCTTTTTCCTTATCCATTCACGAGATGAGGGCATCGCTGGCTAGGCCAACTTTTTTTGGCCATCCCTAGAGGGCAACCATATTGCTGTGGGTCTGGAATCACATAAAGGCCAGACCAGGTAAGGGTGGCAGTTTCCTTCCCTAAAGGACATTAGTGAACTAGATGGGTTTTTCTGACAATCAACAATGATTTTGTGGTCTTCATTAGACTCCTAATTCCAGACTTTTGTTGGATTCAAATTCCACTATCTGCCATAGTGAGATTCGAGCCCAGGAACCCAGAATATTAGAGATAGTAGGAACTGCAGATGCTGGAGAATCCGAGACAACAAGGTGCAGGGCTGGATGAACACAGCAAGCCAAGCAGCATCATAGGAGCAGAGAGGCTGACGTTTCGGGCCTAGACCAAAACGTCAGCCTCTCTGCTCCTATGATGCTGCTTGGCCTGCTGTGTTAACCCAGAATATTACCTGGGTGCCTGTATTAACATTCCAGTGATAATACCATTAGGTCGTCACCTCCCCAAAACTTTGAACAAGCATCCTTTTACTATGAAAATCAGTAAATCAATGAAATAAGGGGCTGAATCATACAGTATTTAGCAAATGGGAAAAGCAAGCAGACTGTGACAAGAACTATAGTATTTAAAATATCAAGGAACTCTGAAACTTTATGCCTAATGGTTATAGTAAAGGAATTGTGTGGTACATGGAAGTTACAGATGATAACGTTGTTAAACATTTAAATTACAAATTAAATTTCTCCCATGAACCTGACTGGCATTCCATTGAGTATCAATGATTATGAGGTGGTCTAATTAAGATATTTCAAATTATAAGATGCTTCAACAAAGTAGATGCAGAAAATCTATATCATCTGCTGGGGTTATCCAAAACAAGAGGGCATAATCTTCAAATTAAGAGTCAATACATCAGGAGAGAAATCATGAACCGTTTGTTTGCATAAAGGATAGCAGATTTATTTGTGTTAGGTAATGCAGGTAAATGGAGTTGAGGCACAGATCAGCTGTGATCTAAATGCATTGTGGAATAAACTCGAAGGACTGAATGGTATGCTTCCGTTGCTATATACTGTAGTTGAATCTGTTCAATGTTATTCATGAGAATGCGTTTGAAAGTCTTCTGTCTTTGCAATTTGTTTCATTAACAAAAACGAACCTCAAATAGAATTTTCTATGAGGATGGTGATTAAATAGTAACTATATACCACTAAAAATAAATTTGTCTTTCTTCAATCAAACATTCATTTAACAATATTGATATCTTTAACTTGTAACCCAAATACCAAGAGATTCACAATCCAAGAACTTTAAAAAGTGTATACTATTTTGAGAACAGGTCTAAATATTCAAGTGAAATTACAATGCAGTCAGTGTTTCACATAAATTTTATTTTAGCTGCAAGGATGCTGAACTTGCATAACCTTCATGACTGTTTTCCTTGTGGAAAGGAAAATACACATTGAACAGAGATCATAAAAACACAAAACTCGAAGTCTGGAGAGATGGTGGACAACAAATATGATTTGTAGGCACAGCCCCTCTATTTAATAACATGAATGGGAGACAAACAATGAAGGAAGAATTAAAAATTACCAAGATAAACTTACCCATACTGAAAAAATCTGAACTCGATGATGGATGAGGCATACCATTTGTGGATGAAAAAGCAGGAGCATTAGGAGTGAAAAACTGTCCAAATAAGTCTGGCTCAGTTTGATCAGTCTTGGATGTTGAAAATGCAGCACCAAATGGATCAAAAGAGTCTGCTGAGAAAAAAAAAAGTTAACAGGCGATTGCATTTGTTTTATTACAATGTCTGCAATTAGTCAAGGATCAATGTAAAATGCAGGGTGCATATTATTGGCTTTGATAAATCTTAGATTGAACTAAAAATTGAGGAGCTGACCTAATAGAAACTCTACTTCAGCTTTAGTTGAATTGTCAAAAAGTCATATTTACAAACCACTGATTAAGACCAGTGTGACTAACAATTTGGAACAACTAATGATAAAACAATGCTAATACCTTCATTCACTTCAGGCCAGATTTTCCGAGGACTAGCAATCTCAATCAGATAAGCCACGTAAGCAGGGTTCCCAGTGAGTGGAGTGCCAGCTGGAGAGGGTGCTAGTATGAAAGGTGGCAAACGGGCCAGGTAAACAATGTACTTCTTAAGGAGATTCAGAGTGGGTAGGAAAAAACAAGTCTGGCAGGGGCATAGGTGGGTGTCACATCTAGCAGTGGGGGAATGAGGGTTGAGTACGGAGTGGAAGAAGAAGGGAGTGCATCTAGAGGGAGGAAATTGGTGTCAAACCAGGGTAAGGGGAATGCAAGTGATCTGAGGGAAGCATAGTTAGGAGTGCGCAAGATAAATATGGTGTCAGATGAACTGTTATTCAAGATTAGACTACATATACAATAGAAAACTCTACCTCAATATCTACTCAATTTAGTTGGAACCCTCAAATTTTCCAATTTAAATTAAGACTTTTGCAGGGATCTAGGCATAGAGGAATTACTCAGCAGAAAATTCAACTTCCTGGAAAATTCTTTCAGAGTCTGCTAAGATGCAGATTCTGCACATCTTTAACACCTTTCTTTGCAATAGGCCCATTGAAAAGTCTGAGCCTTCAATTGCTGTGTTGATCTACAGAGGTATAAAAATGACTAGTAATGTAAAATTAAAATTAAAGTTGGTGATGAGCTAAGCAGTGGGGATTTATGGATACCCTACTTGATATGACAATTTATTTGGAATAGAAACAGAAGTCTTAAAAGGATATAGAAGATTTCTGAACAATTGTAACCACTCCCTCAACTGATAGGTTCGAATAGTTTATTCCAGAATGCGAGAATCTTTATGGATGTCTAATTATCAAAATAACATTTGACTCAACAGCATTAATTCACCCAACACTACACAGTACATGTGGAAAGTTATTTTCTACTTACACCCACCATTTACAATTCCTAATTCAGGCAGATTTTAAATTGGCCTAGAATAATGTTGCTCACCTATTCTTTCAGAACAAAATTCACTATTTTATCAACGCTATTTTGTTTTACGCCACTGACGAGAAAAATGGGTGGTTAAAAAGGCGTTTAGCACGTTTGCTTTCATTACTCAGACCACTGAATATAGGAGTTGGAACATCGTGTTGCGATTTACAGGGCATTGGTGAGGCCAGTTTTGGAGCACTGTCTACAGCTCTGGCTGCCCAGCTGTAGGAAGGATATTATGAAATTGAAAAGATATACAAGGATGTTGCCAGGACTGGAGGATTTGAGTTATAAGGAGAGGCTGGGACTTTTCTCAGTGGAGGATAGGAGGTTGAGGGGTGACCTTATTAAGGTTTATAAAATAATGAAACTATGTAATATGAGGGACAGTAGTTTATTGTACTTAACTATTCATAGCTTCTATTTAGTATGCAACTCGCATTGTTTCACCACTTTAGCATTCAAATTAGAACACCAGGTTTTCTTTATTTTATATTGTCAATACAAACATGAATTATGAATCCCTACAGTGCAGATAGAGACCATTCATTCCATCAAGTCCACACTGATCCTCTGAAGGGTATCACACTTAGACCCACCACCTCATTCCATGTGACTTCACATTTACCATGGATAATCCACCTATCTACAGATCCCTGGACACTATGGACAATTTAGCACAGCGATTCCACCTAACCTGTACATCTTTGGGCTGTGAGAGGAACCAGACTACCTGGCTAGAACCTACAGTGACACAGGGAAAACAAGCAAACTCCACACAGTTGCCCAAGATTAGGTTTGAACCCAGGTCCCTGATGCTGTGAAGCAGCAGTGCTAAACACTATGCCGCTGTGCTGCCCCAAGCTTACAAGATGTGTTCTGGCAACTTCAGGCACACCTAGTTTTGAGCCAGGTCAAATGATCAAGTCCCAGGGTTGTTCTATAATCATACCTACTTGACCTGATGAAGTAAGTTTATGAGCAATTTGTTACACAAGCATTGACCAGAGGCAAAGGATCCCAAGTTTAGGAAGCAAAGGGGCAAGACAAACAGAAATGCTGACTCAACTAAATTATCTCCAACAAAACACGAGTTACCATGGAGATGTCAACAATTTATATTAATGGAAGGTAGCTGATTTTTAAAGCAGAGAGCAAAACTTTTCGGGACAAGGACGGGCAGACAAGGAAATAGTTTCTCACTGTCTACAACTCCAGACAGAAGCCGCTTCTCAATTTAGAAATGTAAACCCATCAATTTATCATGTAAGAAAGAGACACCCTATATTGACAGTTCTAATTAACTGGTACTAATATCTATAGCAGTACCTACCTGCTGAAGTATGCAACACGGGAGCTACAGGAACTGGTTCAACTGGTTGAGGTGCCCCACTGAAAAAGAAATCATCTCCTCCCCCAATGAGGTCGGCTGCGAATTCTTGCTGCATTTCTGTTGGACCTCCAGCAAACAAATCGTTCAGCAAATCAGCATTGCTCGATGAACTTTTCATTTCCACTGTTGGAGGTGCAATGTCAGCCTGGGCATCGTTATTTAGTCCCAGTAAATCCACACTGTCCTCAGTGGAAGCTTCTGTAGTTTGGTCTGTTGAACCTTCGATGTCTGCTTCAAAAAAAAAGTTTACGGTGTTTGTTTGTTCTGGCTGAGTAGGGGTCTCTGGCTCATCAACCTTCGTAGCGTTACGCTCACTGGAAAAAGCAGCAAAATCATCATCTGATGGTCCACTTTCATCCACCAAGCTTGGATGACCTTCATCAGGAGTTTGTACATCAGTAGCCCGGGAGTCCTCTTTTGCTTCTGATAAATAAACACAGTATCAGACCTAACTAGCTATTTCACACAAACTACCAAAATCACTTGGTGAAAATTTATTATTTATTCTTCAATTTCTTCTTCATTGTTCTTTTGATGGTTACTTACAGCAGATACTCACTAAAGCTTCTTAGTCATTACCTTCCAAACACATAATAACGATCACTTAGAGGTACATGGGTGGCAAATAAATGGGAACACCGTCACCCACAAGTTCCCCTCCAAGTCACTCACCATCCTGACTTGAAAATACATTGCCATTCCTTCACTGCCGCTGGGTCAAAAATCCTGGAACTCATTCATTATTGGCGTTGAAGATCTACTTACAGCAAAATGAACTACAGTGGCTCAAGAAGGCAGCTCACCACCACCTTTTTAAGGGCTGGTAGGGATGGACAATAAATGCTGGCTCTTTTTTCCTGCAATGGCTTTGTTATTGCACCAAGTTATTATATTGAGTTAGTGTGTTATTTGACCATGAAGGTCAATGCAGCACAGGGAGATGAGTTTACTTTCCCCGACACTATCCATGAACATAGTTAGTTGAGAACACTACAGTTGAAGTCTATCAGGGACCATTCCTTGTCCATGTTACTTAGTATTATTCAAGGTTCTGCACTAAACTACTTGAGAAATCCTCTATAAAAATCCCATCAATATGTTCATTTGATAATTCTACATACAGTTTGTGTGTCCACATAGAAGTGGAAGATCAAAGCTAAAGCAGAATTTATTTTTTGGGGGAAGTTGGGTGGGTGATTGGGTCGAAGTAGTTCCAGAGCCTCACTGACATGGTTTCTGAGCAGAAACCCATAAATGAAAAGAAACTACTTTATAAAAAGTAAGCTAAAAGTGGAGGATGTTATAAAGGAAGTAGGCATAAGTTATGCGAAGTAAATTTTACCCTGCCCCACCCCAAATAAATTAATGCACTGCACAAATTCAGATTATCAATGATATTCAACATGAACCAACTTCAGACTTTTTATTTCTTTACTGTCACTAGGAAAAGTGCCCGCTTAATTTGCTGCAATGAAATAATTACTTACATTGTTGGCATTTATTTCCCAAAATTTCTGTGCATGAGCAAAGCTTTGATACAGGTTTAGCTGATTTCACAAAGACAGCAATATGCATATTCAGACGCTTAAGTAACCAGAATAATTGAACAGCACTAGTTCAATGAAGGTAAGTCAATATCAATGCTTGCACTCCACACCAATAAGACAATGTGAAGCTAGTCCAATATTGCTCCATGAGATATAAAACTAATAGCTTAGTAAGTTTGCTTTGCTGGGAATTTGATAATAGGAATACTCAATAAGTTATTGTAACTCCAAGATCGTTCTTCTTTTATCAACCACAGTGGAAGTTCAATTTTAAATAACTATCCATGTGAAATGAAAATCTGGGTATAATGAAAAAGTGAACCCTCCACACCCTGCATAAGCTGAAATTTGATCAAGTTATCATGATCTTCCAACACTTACCTTCCCAATTTAATGTTTCAAAAAAGCTGTTGGAGGTATCACTGTTTTGATGTGATGTCTCCTCTTCACTTGTATTCTGTGAAGCGTGGTCCGATTTAGGAGTCTCTGCATCATACTGCGCTGTTGACCCTGGTTGTCTGGGTAGTTCAGGTTTTCCTTTGTACGGTAAGAAAAAAAGACATAAATCTCAGAATTTTCGTGTGTTATATTTTTCCTCTACGCCAACAGGTTTTCTTAAAGATTAAGAATAACTTTCACATGCAAAACTTGCTCACATATTTCAGAATTACCACCCAATAAACATAGGACCATGAGAATGGCAATGTAGTACAGCAAAATTCAAAAATCAAACTAAAGTAGATGACTCCTGAGGAAGTTCTTTCTCGATAAAAGTCACTCTGACCTGTATAATACAGGAAGTCATGAAATAAACCTAATGCAATCGTTATGTGGTTTTGAGTGATTAATAAGCCTTAATATGGCCATGAGTGCTTCAGAGAAAATGCTGGAAGTAGATGTAAAATGTTTTTTGCACTCTGTCCAAACAGTCTCTTACACAAATTGTGGATGCATATTTCATTGCCTAGGATTCATATTTGTGTCAAATATTCCGTAAGTACAGAAGGGGTGGGACAACAGAGCAGGTTGGAATAATGGATCACTGAAATTACAATAACAGAAGATCCTGATTTTGTATTATCATGGTTCACCAACTAGAAAATATGTCAGGACTAATTTGTTGAGCTGGGAAACATAACTTGATTCTCAGGAGGCTATTTGGTTCAGTATGCGCCCTGAAACAATTACCAATCCATTTCACTTTCCTTCCCTTCTACCATAGCTCTGTAAATTCTTCATCTTCAAGTTTATGCAATTGTCTTTTGAAAGTCACAGCTGAACTTGTTTCCATTGCCTTATCAAGTACCGCATTCCAGATCATTGCAACTCACAATGTAAAACAATTTCTCACCATATCCCAATTTTTGCCAATTATATTAAACTATGTTCTTCTAGTTACAATCCCCCTGCCATTGGGAACAGTTTCTTCTAACTTACACAGTCAAAATTCTTCATAATTTTACACATCTTTCATTTACCTTCTCAGGTCCTAGAGGAAGGATTCCAATTTTCTATGTGATTCTATACGTGAAGTCACTCATCCCCACCCCAAAGAGTAGTGACCAAAACTGGACAATGCTCCATTTGATAACTTATAAAACTTTAGCAAAATTCCTTAGTTTTTTTCACTATAAGCTTCTATTCATAAATTTTGACAAAAAATCACTCACTAAGAAAATCATTCATTGCATTTTGAAAAGTACCCTATTCTAATATGCAATGTGTCACTGTTCTCCCATTCTATAGGCAGAGTTGGGTTACTCATTCTCAGCATAAATGTCACTATTGACATTTCCCTAATGTTGGCAGCTCTAAATGACAGCTTCTGAAACTGTTAGCACTTTATAAACCTGCCTAATTTTTAAATTTATGTTAAACAAGCATCTACAGAGCTTATGGATGTGAAGCTGGAAATGCACACCAGGTCAGAAAGCAACCAAGGAGCTGGCAAGTCAACATTTTGAGCCGAAACCCTTCATCGGGGCTGGGGAGGGGATTTAAAGTCTCCCTTGTCCTCACGTACCACCCCATCAACCTCGGAATCCGATGCATCATCCTCCGACATTTCCGCCACCTACAATGAGATGCCACCACCAAAAAAAACTTCCTTCCCCACCCCTGTCCACTTTCCACAGGGACCATTCATTTGTGACTCCATCATCAGCTCTACACTCCCCCACCAACTTCTCCACCACACCCAGTACCCTTCCCTGCAACCGCAAGAGGTGCAACACCTGCCCGTAAAACTTCCCTCTCACCTCCGTTCAAGGCTCCGAACAGTCCTTCCAGATACGGAATCCAGACATTCTCCTGCACATTCATCCAACCTTATGTATTTTTCTTTATTTTTTCACAAGATGAAGACATCGTTGGCAAGGCAGCAGTTATTACCCATCCCTAATTGCCCAGAGGGCAGTTAAAAGTCAACCACATTACTGTGGATCTGGAGTCACATCTATACTAGACCAGATAAGGATGGCAGTTTCCTTCTCTAAAGACATTAATGAACCAGATGGGTTTTTCCTGACAATCAACAATGGATTCATGGTCATCATTAGACTCTTTAATTCCAGATATTTATTGAATTCAAACTCTACCATCTGCCATGGCAGGATTCGAACCTGGGTCCCGAGAACATTATCTGAGTCTCTGGGTTGACAGTCCATTGAAAATATCACTGGGCCATTGCTTCTAACCTATATCGGGGAGACCAAACGCAAACTCGGGGACCAGTTCATGGAACATCTGCGTTCTGCACACGTCAACCAACCCGACCTTCTGGCTGCAATCCATTTTAATTCCCCCTCCCACTCTCCTGGCAACATGTCCATTCTTGGCCTCCTCCACTGTCAGAGTGAGGCCAAACATAAACTGAAAGAACAACACCTGATATTTCACCTTGGGACCTTATAGCCCAATGGCCACAACATTGACTCCACCAGCTTCAAAATCCCTCCATCCCCAGGTTTATCCCATATCAAGCCCTCCCCCTCCTCCTTGCGTCCCTGACCTGACCTACCTGTCCATCTTCCTACTCACCCATCCGCTCTAACCTTCCCACTGGCTAATTACAAGAACGCCTTACCTGCATCCACCTACCACCTACCCTTCCCCCAGCCCCAGCACCAGCCCCCTCCCTCTATTTATTTCTGGGCTCCCTGCCCTCGCCCCAGTCCTGATCAAGGTTTCGACTCGAAATGCTGACTTCCCTGCTCCTCGGATGCTGTCTGACCTGCTGTGCTTTTCCAGCTTCACACCTATTGACTCTGGCTTCCAGCATCTGCAGTCCTTACTGTCTCCATCTACAGAGCTTCCTGATTTAGATTGTACTTTCATCTGTTACTCTTGCATTTAATGGGCATTAAACCACACTTTACCTTAAACTGCATCCGCCAATGTTCTGCCTGCACATTCATCTATGTTGTTCTGCACTCTCTTTCTCAAGTCCTATCTTAATTGCACAGATTGTAATGTAGATGGGAATTTCAACTGTTTCATTTGTTGGGAATTTTTGGTTTAGTTTATCTCATGCGACTGATTTAAAAGGTTAAACTCAAGTTACAAATAGCTAATTAAATTCCCAGAGGTCCAGTAAAACATTTGTCTTAATAGTAAAAAAATTTTGTCAGCACTGAACATATTGGGGAGAAATGAGATAGCCATTAAAACTATATATGTTTTTATACACAATAACATTAGGACAATGGCAGACTTTGAGGTCATATTGTGAGATAGAATAGATTTGTGTTCAATTCACCTGGCATTTTGACTTTAGCTGATATTGCATTGTTGGTGCCGTGAGCTCTTTGCATCAAGAGAGAGGGTTTTGTAGGTTAACTTTGGAAACTTAGCAACCCCTCTCCTCCGTAAAAAGAACTGAGGAGGAGGTGCAGTTAGCTCTTCTCTCTCTCTCTCTCCCTCACTGGAAAAGAACAGTATAGACCAGCGATTTCCCTCCCTCAGCTAATGAGGGAGATTGGTAGTCCAATGAGTGCTTGCCGTAAGAGAAAATGGTAATGCCAATTACTTTAGGGATTGCTAACATGGTAATTGAGCTCAGTACATAATAGGGCAAAGCCATATATTTTGCTTATCATAAAGAGTAAAAAGAAATGGGCAGATCTCAGTCAAATTTAAGGGCATTTAAATGGTCTTTGGATAAACATATGGATGATAATGGAATAGTGTAGGTTAGATGGGCTTCAGGTTGGTTTCACAGGTCGGCGCAACATCAAGGGCCGAAGGGCCTGTACTACGCTGTAATGTTCTATGTTCTATAAATGGCCCCTATTCTGTTCATATTAACATTTCAGGTAAAACAAACCAGTGAGCGGCTGATTTGTGTTGAACTTTATCTTATTAACTAGCTTTCAGTCTGCCTCCCAAAAAACAGAAGTGAACTTCAGAAACCTCCTTGGGAAGAAATAGTTCAGGGCCTGAGAGTTATCCAACTTCAACATCAAAAATCCCAACATTTCAATGCTTCTGTTTAGACAATCTGTGTATTTCTTTCTTTCTTTCATTCATTCCTGTACTTGTAGCACTGTATCTGAACTCTCCACTGTGAAGACCAAAACAGAACAATTAGTACGAGTATATTTAATATGCTGCAATCCTATAGACGTTTTCCTCATTTTTGTCAATATTATTTGTCTGACGTATGTCCAGGGGGTTGTGCTATAACGCGTGTTCCAGCAACGTGAATTGGCTGTAACGTGATTGACGAATAGGGGAACAGTATTTGTAAAACACGAACTTTGTGTTGGCTATAATGTGATTCCAACTTCAACATCACATGATCGGTTCGTGGGATTTGTCCTGAGCATGCGCCGAAAGAGTATCTGCGCTGGCATCAAGGATCCTCGCATTGCAAGAGGTATTGTACAATTCTGCCGTGTTTCCCATAAAATGCAAGGACAAACTGGCAAGAATGATAACAAGAAGCGTCCTGGTGATAAAGTTGCAGTGGTGTATGTAAACGAAAGGCTATAACTCTGGCAGAGAAGCTAGATGTTGTAAAGCGTTATAAGCGTCATGAGAAAACATGTGATATTACTTGTGCAACAGGAATGAAGCAGTCAACCTTATTCACCATTAGAGACAACACAGAAAAGATTAAAGCAAGATCTAACAAACAAGCCAAAAATCCTGCAGATGTGCCTGCCTTTATGCTAGCAGTAGCTGGTTTTAAGAAACGATATGCTTTTCAAAATGTAAAGTTATGTGGTGAAGCTGCCAGCACAGACAAGGAGCATACAATGGCATTTCCTCCCATAGTAAAAAAAAATTTAATTGACGAAGAAGGCTACAATTTAGATCAAATTTTCAATTTGGATGAGATGCGTTTATACTGGAAGCAAATGCCATCAAGAACCTACATTTCTATGAATGAAGCACACACTCCAGGCTTTAAGATGGCAAAGGATCCTATAACTGTGGTGCTGGGTGCCAATGCCAGTGGAGACTTAAAGCTTAAGCCTGTGGTTGTGTACCACTCTGCTAACGCGCGAGCCTTGAAAGGTTACCTAAGTCTACTCTAGGCATCTACTTTAGATCAAGCAAAAAGAGGTTGGATGACTAGGCAAATTTTTTCTGACCTTATTGTTGATGTTTTCAGAAAGTAGTGCAGGAAAAAAAATGGGGATTTCAAGATTCTCCTCATCTTGGATAATGCCCTAAGAAATCCTCAGACCATTGGTGAGCTTTCTGAAAACATCAAAGTGCAATTTCTACCCCCAAACACAACCTATTTCCTTCAACCCATGGACCACGGTGCAATAGCAGCTTTTAAAGTTTATTATTTAAGGCGCACATTTAAGAGGCTGACTGCAGCCACTGAGGGGGATAAGGACAGTATTCTTCAGTTTTGGAAGAGCTTTAACATCAAGAATGCAATTGACATCATCGTGGAGGCCTGGGGTGATGTCAGTAAGGACTGCTTGCATGCAGTTTGGCGGAAGCTTATCCCAGATTCTTTTCAGAATTTAAAAAGCTTTGATCTGTCAGAGGAGCTCCCAAGAATCAAAGAACATTGTGTTGATCTTGCAAAGCAAGCCAGATTTGAAGAAGTGGAGAGTCAGGATATTGAAGAGCTGCTTAAGTCCCACTGTGAAAACCTCTCTACAGCTGATCTACAACAACTTGTCACTGAGGGGGAAGTGGAAGCTGGAGATGAAGAAGATGAAGTCCAGAATGCAGCACCATGAGAGCTTTCCACTTCTGTTTTGTCTCTATCCTTAGAGAAATTGAGAAGCAGTTGCAATAATTACAGGACAACAATTACAAATCAGAGTACAGCAGGGTAGCAGTTCGTGAAGTCAGATCTTCTCGAGCACCCTATGAACTGCTTCTTGAATGAAGAAAAAAAGGAAAAAACAACAAAAACTGGACATTTTTTTAATCCAACACCCAGGAAACAGTTAGAAGACAATGAACCAGAGCCATCCACTTCTGGATTAACTATTTTTCGCCATAACCCTACAAACAAAACTGCACCTGAAAGTCATGATGATGATGATAACAACCCTGAGAGCCCCTGCATTAACAACAGAGTTAACTCAGGAGCTCCTCCCCCATCAAGTGACCGTGACATTTTTTCAAGAGGTGATAAATTTACTGTTGTTTCATTATTACATGTGAATTAAACATTTGTTCAAACTGTGCTATCCTTTATAGGATATAAGATACAACATAGGTGAGGGGAGGCAATGGCCTAGTGGTATTATCGCTGGACTGTTAATCCAGAGACCCAGATAACATTCTGAGTACCTGGGTTCGAATCCCGCCATGGCAGATGGTGGAATTTGAATTCAATAAATATCTGGAATTAAGAATCTAGTGATGACTGTGAACCCATTGTCAATTGCTGGAAAAGCCCATCTGGTTCACTAATGTCCTTTAGGGAAGGAAACTGCCATCCTTATTTGGTCTGGCCTACATGTGAATTTAGACCCACAGCAATGTGGTTGACTCTCAACTGCCCTCTGGGCAATTAGGGATAGACAACAAATGCTGCCTAGCCAGCAATGTCCTCAGCCCGTGAATGAATAAAAAAAAGTTATGCTTTTAAGTGATTTTTGAGTCATTTTGAGTGATTTTTTTTTTGTTGGTCTGCCCTTAACCCCTGTTCCCATAGGTCCTGTTATTTTTATAATGTGGTTTTCTATCAGGCGTCATTTCACAGGAACACATCAATTGCATTATAGCAGAACACCCTGTAGTTACATAAATTCCTTTCCATGTATTGCAAATATGTGCAGCCTTGGACACTGGAGACTCAAACCAAAACTCACCAAATTTAGATAACATCTCTTGCTGCTCTTCACGGCTAGAGAAAAGAATCTTAGGATTGAGTCCTTTTGTCATTAAGTTTTCCCATGGTGGTACACTGCTGCTGATGTTGTCTCGAGGCTCCACCTCTACTTCCAGAGTTACCTGGAAGAGGTCTGGATATTTCTCCTGAATGTCACATGCATCAAGATCATATCTGCGACACAGAAACAGCACTTCATCAGCATCATTTGACAAGAACCAACACTTATATAGCACTGTTAACAACCCAAGGCCCTCCACTGGAGCATTACAAAGTGAAATATGACACCAAGCCATACAACAAAATATTGGATCAAATAATCACATACTTGGGCAAACAGGAAGCAATCAAGCTAGAAAGGCACAAAGTTGTCCAGACTTAGAGCCTAGACAACTAAAGGCACAGCTACAAGCACTGGAGAAACTAATGGGGGATACATGAGATTAGATTAGCACAGATATGGGGAAGCATTAGAAGTGACAGAAGATTACATAAGTGGAGGGATTTGATAACAAGGATGACAGCCTGATATAGTGTTTTATGTAGTCAAGTCAGATCCAATGCTGGATAGGTAAACCACTTATCTACTGTAAAAGTTCAAGTCCATGCCTCTTGAACTTAAGGCAGCGGAGGTGCGGCTTGTACTAAGGGCATGGCCAAGGTGATAAAGGGTAATAGTTTTAGTGTGGCCAGGGCTTCAAAGCTGGAAATGAGGGCACAGCTGCTGAACTGTCGCAGCAAATGGAAGATCAAAGGCTAAACAGTTGGATTTTTCAAAGTGTAGGTGTAAGTGAATTGAGAAATAATCTTCTCTAGGGTCACATACAGAAAGGAGGTGGAAGGAGGATGTACAAAAGCAGTGAGACCAGGATGTGATCAGAGATGTGCTTATCTGGGATCGACATGATGGAACTAGCACAATGAGATGGATGGCAAGATGAAGGATTTGGCCACGCAAAACAATTGAGGGTTTACATGGTTGGTGAGGTTTAAGGAGGATAAGAAGGCAGTGAATTCAGTGGAGACAATACAGGGAGGTGAGTTCAAATCAGAGGGTGAAAACTCATTTGATGTAGAAGATGACAGAACAAAGCAGTGAAGATATCTGACAGAGAACTCTTTTAACATATTTGAGAGAACAATTTTAAGTCAGAGCAGAGACACTCAAAGGAGGAGAATGCACCAGAGAAGTAAGAAGTCTGATCAAGGTAATATCTTGCAATAATTATTACACCATCCCTGCAATGATCTTAATGGAGCAAGTGGCCTAAGACATAGCTGGGTAGGGAGGCTTCTTTAGGGGGAAAGGTCTCATTATATTTCAGGGTAATGTCAATGTAATCATCCACAATAAGACCAAGGGAGGTAAGGGCCTTGTTCATAAGCTATTGGACTAGTGGGAGGAACTGAACTTCTGGCTGGAACTACAGAGATAGCAGTGGGGTGAGTAGACAGGTAGGGAATTGGCAAAGTTCACTCCCAAAAGGCACAATGGATGAGAAGATCAACCATACAGTAAGACAGGAAAATTGAAGTTACTGGTTCTATCAAGGGAACCAACTATGGTTCAATGAGGAGTGTACAACAGCATACAAGTAAACCTAAAAATGTAGTTCTAAGCTAGTGAAGACACAGACGTTGACAACATGCCTGCTAAACAGTGGAAACAGCATGCTGTCGAGACAATTAAACAATCTCACAACTAATTAGATAAATGTCTGCAGCCTTGCAAGGTGATGGACATTGGAAAACTAACGGGAATAGAAGGATCCAGGATCATTCCCATTCTTGATCATGGCAGAATCCAGCATCTTACTGGAAAAGACAAGGCTAAAGCATTTGCACCTATCTTCAGCCAAAAGTGATGCCAAATGAGGCCTGACAGAATTAGTAATGGAGGTGCCTGCAATGCTGGTTGGAAGTCATAATCCTGTGAGAATGAGCTTGACTAGTCCGAGTGGCAATCTCTACCAATTTTGAGGCAACATACAAGATATTAATGAGGAAGTCTTTGTAAGGTTGACTGGACTGTGTGCAGTTCTGTTATACTAAGATGGCTGAGTCAAAGGTAAGGGATTTGTTCAATTTTAATCTTACTATGCTTATTTTATTGCCATTTGACATAATTCAGTGGCTTGATAGGCTCTTTCAGAAGACAGATGAGCATCAACCACATTGTTTTAGGTGTGGAGGCACATATAGAGCCTTGATAAGGACAGCATATTTCCTTCCATTACAGTTTAAGACAATTGGATGATTTCATGTTCCCATTAATGATACGGACTTCTTATTCCTGGTATTTTTATTTAAATTAATTTTACTTTCCCAGTTGCTACATTGAGATTGAACTAATATCTCCAGATCATGAATCCAGGCCTCTGGGATACAAATCCAGTGACATAGCTACTCATAAAACCAATTTGTCAATGACAATTTTCAAGGGGTTGTTAAATTGATGCAGTTGCAACAATGAAAAAAGCTTTACATCATCCAGGACAAGGCAGTTTATTTGGTTAGTGTCCCAACTACTGGATTTAAAACCACTACCTCACTGTGCTATCACCATTAGGATTGCAGTAAGTCAATAAATAGGCTCACCACCACCTTCTTAATACAATTGTGGGCTAGCCAGAATCAATGAAATCCCTAATGCTCGAGGTTAAGTTTGGGCCCTTGCTCAGTGCTCCTCATGACTTGACAGGGAGCCACAGAACTTACCACAAGATAGCAAACATATCAAATTCTTTTACATACAGTACGGGGGGGAGAAAACATTTATCTATCTCAACAATTCAAAGTGAATTATTTTCTATGAATTAAAAAATTGTTTCCTGTCATTCCTTGCAAAATTGAAAATTCTCAGGCCCAGCATGATTTCCGGGGGGTAGTTATACCTTTGGGTAATAGTATAAAATTGATTTTAAGTTTTCAAAGCAGTCAAGGGAAACTTGTGAAACATGTCTAACAGGCAACCTATTCACCATCACTCACTTTACACTCTTGTTTGGAGATTTACAAAGAGCTTTGCTTTTAACATTCTCCATTGCTTCAGAGGACAATAAAGTGGTTGCTTCTAAAGTCATGATGCTTTTGGTCAATTTACTCTCCAATTGCAGCAATTGATTTTTTTGAGATAACAAGGTGTAGATCTGGATGAACACAGCAGGCAAGGCAGCATCAGAAGAGCAAGAAAGCTGACGTTTCAGGAAGGGTCCAGACTCGAAACGTCAGTTTTCCTGCTCCTCTGATGCTGCCTGGCCTGCTGTGTTCATCCAGCTCTACACCTTGTTATCTCAGATTCTCTAGCATCGGCAGTTCCTACTATCTCTAACTAATTCTTTTGGATGTATAAATAACAGGACGCCTTCCGAGACTGATTGAAAGGCAATTCTTACAAGTACTTTTATAATAATTACATACAATGGATATTAAGCTCATGGTACTGCCAAACAGCGAGCTTGACTAAGTGAAACACACATTTCTTGAGGAGTACTAAAATAGCTTTTCTGAATCCTGATGCAGGGAAATCAAAAGGTTGAAACTCAAGTGGTTTTCTGAATCAGTCCTCCTTGAGCATCACAGTACATATACTCAACACACTACTCATGAACCATGTAACCGCCTGGGAGACATAAAAAAAAACTGAAACCTATTAGAAGAAAGAAAGAAATCTGGAAAATTTTCTCCAAACGTATTAGACAACCAAACTAGCCCAGGAGACCAGTCCAGTCCTCATTAATATCATAATCACAAATAGTATTTGAAAGTACTAGATTCATCCTATACAGTCATCCGGAGAAATATATCCATTCACTATTTATGTAGTGAAACTTGATGCATACAACCTACTCTCAACACTATTGCACGCACTAAAAGGTTTTATCCAGTAAAATCAAAATCAATGCAAATAAAAGATGCAAATAAATTCCCACTACCTAATGTGAATTAAGGATAAATTGTGTTAGCCAAAATACACTGTCAGGAAGGAGAAAATATATTTAAATTGAACACCTTCTGACCAATCCATCTACAGGGAAAAAAACTTTTGATATAAATAGGTGAATACAGCAGTTAAGACACATTGGCACAGATATTCTAATGCTAAGAGTTGCTGAAGCAGCAGATAGAAGTCACATATCTGGAGAATCTTAGACGCAGCAAACTCTGTGGGAGTTGCCTAGGAAATTGAAACTTTTTGTGGGAAATTACCCTGTATCTAAAACTCTCTGTTATTAGACCCCACAACCAGTGTCCCACTCCCAACCCCACACCCAGGCCTACCTGGCACCCTAGCAGTCCACCCACCCGGAAAGCTATTGTTCTCACCCAGCTATACGCTTCACTCACCCACCACCTTAATGTTACACTTACAATCCTGACCTTTCACAGGAGTTATCAAGTGGCTGGCTGTGCTGCCGAACAATTAAATCATAGAGCACTGTGCACTTGCTAATGCAAAATGGGGTGTGGTTTCTACGAACATCTCTGCTGGTGGATTTGCTATTTTCAGAAAGGTTCATAGCAGGAGCCCCCTGGCCAGGAACTAAAGATTTATTGGAAATTTTTAATCTGCTCAGGGTCAGAAGTGGGGTTTCCAATCCTGATCAAAATATCTGGACCATTAACTTTATTTTAAGAGAAAAGCAAATACTTACTTCGCAAATTTGACCAACGTAGCATTCCGAGGCACAAATCCAGTGTGGAACTGAATCTGAAACATCTTCATTGAAGTCATCTGAAAGAAAATCGTCAGTCAATGCCTGCGCATTTCTTGAGACTTTCTAATCCTGGCATGCAGCATTCAGATTTTCTAGTTTATTGTCTCAACATCCATGGAAAAATATTTACAAATTTGAAAATCTTCCAACATTTTAACAACAAGACGCTACTGAAAAGATAGACAAAGAGAAGGGGAGGGGGTCTGTATAACGTGGTAGCTGTAGGGAGATAAATTATTTGGAGGGTGATAATCATCTTTGGTAAACTGGACTGAGAATTTCACTCAGTTTGCCAACGGTCCTGGTACACTGAGCAACATCTTTAATCTGTTAATAAAATATTGGACGGTCCAATCATTACGAAGAGACAGTAGATTTAATGAGCCACTGAACTTCCTCTGCCATTCCAAACGATTCTGACCGATCTTGGAATTCAATCACATTCTCCTGCCTGCTCCCCAAATCCCTCGATTCCAAGACACACAAAATCTGGCAACTGCAGCCTGGATATATTCAAAGATGGTGCAACCACAGCCCTCTTGGGTTGAGAATTCCAAAAATTCACATTGCTTTGAGCGAAGAATCTTCTCCTCATCTAAATCATAAATGTTTATCTCCTTAACCTGAGACTGACCTTCCATGTTTTAGGTTTCTGAGCCAATGGAAATAACGTCTATGCCTACACTGTCAAGCACCTTCGGGCTCTTGAATGCTTCACTGAGATCTCCACTCATTCTTCTGAACTCCAGAGAATATACAGCCAATTTATCATCCTCTCATTATAGGAAAAGTTTCTCATCCCTTGGGTTAACATAAGGAGCCATTGCGGTACTATCTCCAAACAAGTGCATCCTCACTTAAACACTGTACAAATCAATCTAGGTTTGGACTCACCAAAGCCATGCACAAGATGGCAAGACATTCTTAATCCTGTACTTCAATTCTCTTGTAATAAAGGACATGTCATTTGCCTTCTGAGTTGTTTGCTACACATCTATGCTAACTCCACATTTTTTATAACAAAAACAGAAGTTGCAGGAAAAGCTCAGCAGGTCTGGCACCATCCCGTGAAGAAAACATTAGAGTTAACGTTTCAGGTCCGGTGACCCTTCCTCCTCTGAGACGTTAACTCTGATGTTTTCTTCACAGACACTGCCAGACCTGCTGAGCTTTTCCAGCAACTTCTGTTTTTGTTCCTGATTTTCAGCATCTGCAGTTCTTTTGGTTCACATTTTTTGTAAATGCTCATCATATGGATGTGCTGTAATAGTTTCATAACTTTTAAAAAATATTCTGTCTTTCTAGTCCCATGATCAAAGTCACACTTCCCCACATTCTACTCTATGTGCCAACTTTCTGTCCAATCATTTAACCAGTCCATGTATCTTTGCAGCTTCTTTATGTGCTTCTCACAGCTTCCATTTCTACCTCACTTTACAGCAAACTTAGAAATAATATGCTCTGCCTCTTCATCAAATTCAATAAAGTCAATTACTGAGGGCCCAGAAGGAACTGGCAACAATCCACGAGTTGTAGCTTGCTAATATGGCCTAAATATCCCACTTAGACCAACAGTTTGCTACCAACTCTCCTTCCACGTTTAATATATCACCAAATCCACAAGTCTTTATCTAGCTTATTAACCATTTGGTTGGCGCTTTAACGAATGCCTTTTGAAAGTTTAGATATATCATAATCGCCATTTTCACTAATTATAATCTCAAGAGACTGAATAACTTTGTCAAACATAATTTCCCTTAAGTAAAATCATGCTGATTTTGACCAGTCATACTTCTTTAATGATTTTGATGATTTCTAACGACTATGATTTTCTAAGTACATTGCTCAGACTTCCTTAATTTTAAGCCGAGGCAGTGGCAGGGGTAATGTCACTGGACTGCCAAAGACCCAGGTTTAAACTCTGGACACAGGTTCAAACCACAACAGCGTGGCTGGTGGAATTGAAATTCAAGTAATTAATAACTGTGGAATTAAAATCTAGTCCCAGTAATAATAACCTTGAGAATATCATTGACTGGCAAAAAAAATCCACCTGGTTCACTTTCCTTCCCACTGGGGGAAGAGCATCCGAAGAGCATCCCAGCCTGACCCAGCGCACCGCCCCCCCACCCTATTCCTGTAACCCTGCATTTCCCCAAGGCTAATCAACCTAACCTGCACATCCCTGGATATTATGGACAATTTAGCAATGGCCAATCCATCTAACCTGCACGTCTTTGGATTGTGGGAGGAAGCACCCATGCCACCCGGAGGAAACCCACACAGACATGGGGAGAATGTGCAATCTACACAGAGTCACCCGAGGCTTGAATGGACCCTAAGTCCCTGGCACTGTAAAGCAGCAGTGCTAACCGTGCTGCTCCTGCTGTCATTATTTGGTCTAGCCTCCATATGACTCCAGAACCACAACAATACAGCTGACCCTTAAATGACCTCTGAAATTGCCATTCAGTTGTACAAAACTGCTACAGAAAATTCAAAAAGGAATGAAATTGGATGGAGCACCCAACATCAACACAGGCATCATTGATGACAATGGCATACCCAGCCTGTCAACCCTGAAAAGTCCTCAATAATAACATTTGGCAACTTGAGCCAGAATTGAGAGGGGCGTCCCATAGTTAACCAACAGCTTGACAGTCATGAGATCATACATTACAACTTCCTAGGCATCATTGTGATTGGGTATGTTCTGTCCTACTGGCAGAACCAACCCACCAGAAATGGCAGCACAGTGGTATCCATTCGGAAGGGAGTTTTCTGGGAGTCCAAAATATCCACAAATGGCAATTGATATTAATCAGTTTGCAGAGTTAACAAGCATTGTTAACACAACCAGAATAACTAAATCAAGAAGAACTGTAATGTTTCTGTACCTTTGCCTGCAGTCTTCCTCCAAGTGTTGATCTTGCATGAAAGATCACAATGAGAACATCACCTTGGACATTTAAACCCAGTGGAATTATTGCCTTGCCATCTTCCATTTTAAATTCCCTGAAATAAACACATGCCAGATAATATTGCCACACAATACACTAAGTTCCAGTTTACTTCTATTAAAAAATATCTGACATCACAAATCATTTTAGATTAGTAATTTTCAATGTGAAACAGTCTAACAAACCCAATTCAGAAAAGGCATTGACTTAACATTGGCTCTATTGTCAAATCATGAAAAATGACATTAATGTATGTAATATTGATGGCCTGTTCTAATAGTGTCAGAGTCCTAAATCATAAGCCCTAAAACTATCCTTACCCTGGTACCAGCACATATGCACTTCCTCAAAGAGAAGTTGGGAATCAGGCCCAAAGAATGGAATGAATCATTTCCCTTTTCTGTTCACGTACACAGAGACTAACTTTGCTATCACATTACTACAATGCTGATTTAAGCTGACCAAATGTAACAGCTTACATTTACATACAACATTAAATTCCAAGGTACTTCACAAATAGGGATGGTGGAGAAAAGGGGTAGGTAACTGAAAATGAAGTCAATAAACTAGCAAGTTCCTCAGTAAATTTTTAACTAGCACAAATCTTGTTCCCAAGGGGCATAAACTGGCTCTGTATCCTACATTATTTTTTGAATATCTTCCACTGACTATCTGTTAGTTTTTCCGCCAAATGTTTTTCAGTTTACTGTGGACAAACTCTGTCACATTGTTTCGATGTCAACCTTACCCAAATCCAGAAATTTAGTCCTTTCCTTGAAATATTCCAACCACTAAATTCAATATTATGATCAGCATTGTATAAACTGCCAATAAATTACAGACTAGACAAATAAGGAATATTACCTCAATTTATCATATTCTTCAGAAGTGGTCATTACTCGATCATCACCCACATATATCTCACAGAATGGTCGGCAAGCGTTGCGTTGTTTATTAAATAAAGGAACAGGTGTCATCACAATTGATTTGATCATGATGGGTTTATTATGGGGGATTATAGGCTCCTCAGCCATCATGTCACACATGTATTCTACATATCTAAAAACAAAAAGGATAAGTTACAAATTATCTAGTAGCACAGTTATAAAGTATAGCATTTCTGTTCATCCACAACTCTAGAAGAACTAAGCACAACGTATTTTGGCAGTACAATCATAGACTAGTCAATCTTGAAATCCCACCTCTACTATGCTTGACCAAAGACTCGCTTATATTCAGCTGCTATGATTATTAACACAATTAACAAAATTAAAATTTTGTTCTAATTATTTCACAGCTGTTCCATGGCTTTTTATTATGGTCATGGAGGTATTAGAAGTCAGCAATGCTTTACTGAGTAATAACATTTGGCATCCTGTACAATTGTTCCTAGAGAATTAAATAAATGCAGAATTATCTAATTTCCTGCCTCTGTGCCTCATGCTTTCATGCTTTCTCATTTTGCATCTATTTGCCAGCAACTTTGAATGAATCTGATGCACTTTTCATTGTCTATGAATATTTTTCTCACTTCTTTTATATACATTTACTGTGCGATGTTTGCTTTGCCCTCATTTATTTTCTGCTCTGGCTTTATGGCTTTCATCATGTATTTTTGTGTTATCTGCTCAAGGACAGTTCTGCTCAGTTCTCCACACCCAGCAGTCTGAAAACTTTCCTCTTCAGCTGCTTGAAATTGAAAACAGGAGGCTCTTGTAAGTTGTCAAAAATCAACATTCTCTTTCACCCTTAGTCTATATCATTGTCATTTTCTTTTAATCACGTCTTTACCAAGTACTAATGTCTAAGAATATGTCCAATCCAACTTTGTGGCATTTTTTTTGATAATAGTCACTGACGGTCTTGCTTCCATCACCACCCTGAGAATTTCTTCTTTGCTCTATCCAGCTGTTTCATCTGTCCTTCTCCAGAACCTCTCCTGACAAATTTCTAGTCTTTGGTTATTTGCTTTTCTTAAGGTTACAACCAAACAATCCAAATCACAGTCTTGATATTTATTTTCTTACAATCTCCATTCATTCCTATGCAGAACATCTTTTTTGTATTGGAGAACACTTCTTCATAATTGCTATTTTATGGCAGGAACCATGCTCTGACAGGATGCTTCCCAGGCACGTTAAAAACAACTGACAGGTGAAATTAAAAGTTTTGATACTCAGGAAAAGTACACAACATTTACCACTGTTGAGCTAGTAATGGGATCAGAAACTGTGTGTCTCTATGTGCTTAGCAATGCAAGTATTACGACTGGCAAGCTATTATAAAATGAGGACAGAAGGAATGAAACAAGTAGGAAATGCTATGTCTTAGCATTTCTTAGATATTTGGGGAAGAGATTGAAGAAAGGATGTGGAGGATGATGAGAACTACTTAACAACCAGAGAAGGACATTATGTTGGCTTTCTTGTAAAACAGCAAACAGGTGGTGCAATTTGTTTTGAAGTTGCTAAACTCCTGTTAATTACTTTGTGAATTATATATTTGACCTACAATTTTATCAAGACAGGCTGTTGAAAATTATCACAAAGAAAACGGCTTTTGGAATTTAAGAACATAAATAATGTAAGACCGTCCACTGTAGGTCAGTTCAAATTCTCTTGCCATAGAGAACTAGCTGAATTAAACTCGTGGCTGTCATTATAATTGCATAATTCATACTCGAATTTATTGGTTATTCAATGAGTTTGCTTAGTTCTAGGAGGACCACATCCCCTAAGGTTTTATAAAGAGTATGATTTTTGTATTATTTGTATTATTATTGTATGATTTAGTAGTTTAATTATCACCCTTATGAGCTGCTTGTGGACTTCGAGAACCTGATCCTCCAATAGTACACACAATACCTGTTTCCATGAATAATTCTATTTATGAACAAACCAATTTACTGGCTTAACTGTTGCAAAAATGTCCTCATGTAGCTGAACCTAGTTTTCTTCTGAAATGTCACAACATATAGCAGAGTCCTGTCTATAACTTAGTAGTAAGTTTACATTAGTAGGAAGGTCACTTCCCTGTGGTACATTAGATCTTTGAAAAAAAAAATCATAAGTTGTATTTCCAACAACAAGCAGAACGGACCAGTTAGTCTGGGAGCTGCAAATCTGGTGAGAAATATTACAATTATTGAAACAAACTCTAACTGCAACTACATTTTAACATTATCATATCAGGAAATGTTCAAGGAGGAGTTAATCACTTCATCAAAAACTATACTACTGAACAGAACAAATCAAGCCCATTTTGCATGAATGTACCTTTGTTCAAACATTTGTAACCATTGCCTTTTTTCAAAAATGGACATACACAATACTTTTCAAATAAGGGTTTGAAATAGATGTGTTTGTTAAAAATCAATTTGTAAATTGAATTCAATAGTGGACTAATTAATTTATGAACCTCAATAATAAATTTCTATCATGGATTTACAGGAATTATTCCAACAAATCAAAAATTTACGCTAAGCCGAATAGTCAATATCTAGTAACGCGTATTGACTTTTTGTGGGCTTTCAGCACAATAAAAACTAATGAGAAACCCCACCATTTATAAACTGCTCGCTCCGGGTTTAATATTATTCCACAGTCGAGTGAACAGCCACTGGTGACACATAAAACCTGGCAATGTGATGGTCTTCCGCTCTGTGATAAAGTACAATTAATCTATTCTTTGATGGGCTAACTAAGACCAAATAAATCAGGGGCAGAATGAGAGACTGTAATTCATATTCTGCCACATTATGGGGTTTCCAGGCATTGTTAACGAAATAGGTCAACTAAAATTCTATTAACCCGTACAAAATAAGTAATTCCAATTCCTTTTGCTGTTTTTTGTACACTCTTGATATTTATTTTTGTGTTCATTTAGTGAGGAATGTCAGTAATGGGAAGTGGCTTATGTTCCATTGAGGTACGTAATAGCCACAAAACCAGATTAAGTTCCCATTTTTCTCCCAATTAGACATTCTTCATACAGCCAACAGATATTCATCGCATTAATAGGATTTGAATCCAGATCCACAAAGTGAAAGGTCAGTAACTAATCTACTGTACCAATTACCCCCTAAATTTCTCTTTTTATTTTGAACTTATGTACCTATCTGCCTGCTTTTGATTGGCAGGGCACATACTTCTGGAGTTGGAATTTGTTGCAGTTGCAGTTTCAGCTGGTATTCTGAGGTTTCTCTCACAACCAGTGTGTTGGGACTTATTTCCAGAAGCTAACTTACAATTTCTTCTCCTTTTACTTCACACTTTGAAAGATATATTCGCTCCATAACCTACAGGGTGTAAGCAAGGAGATCTGCAGAACAGTCTGCATCACAAAAATGTGCAAAAGTTGAAAACTTGGCACAATTGGAATTGTTGCAGCGGAGAACGTAGGTAGATAACAGCTCAAAAGTGCTGATGTTAACCTCCAACACCAGTAGTGATTCACATTACAAGGAAATAATTTAGTCCAATTATTAACTTAAACTACACCAAATAATCAGTTAAAAGACTATAAACTGCAAGTTATGTTGGTTTAATATAAAGATTAATTAAGACACTGCAAAGAAGAAACTGCATGTTGGAGAAGGGAAACATCCTCTGTGAAGGAAATCCAGACAGTAAAGTTCTTCCAGTTTGAAAGAGACCTACAGGCATCAAGATTCTCAGGAAGAGAATCACAAAGAACAATCTTCCAGCCAGCAACACCACATTTTGGGAGAAAAGTAATCTCTCTCAATCACCTGAATTTGTAACATGTTTGTGTGTGTTTTTTGTATGTGTCTGTGTGCGCAAGAAAGATAGAGAGAGTGAAAGAGAGACAAAGACAAATGTAGGATATTAATAATGGAGAAAAGTGTTTGTGACAGATGTATATAGGTCTGAAAGGAATGGTATAAACACACTATTATGTGATGTCAGGTAGAATTATGGGGAAGGTGGTTCAGGACTTCAGAGGAATAAGACCTAACATCCAGGCCCTCATTGTTGTCTCTGCAAACTGTAAAGCAAACTATAATAACTCAGGAAGACTGACCGGAATGGATCATTATTTTTTAGCAGCAAATTACTGCAGATGCAGGAATCGATACTGAAAACAAAAAATGATGGAGATGACAACTGATCAGGCAGAATCCATGAAGAGAAAGCAAGCTAATATTTCAAGTCTAGAGCTCTGATGAAGAGTCATGTAGACTTGAAACGTTAGCTTGCTTTCTCTCCATGAATGCTGCCTGACCCGCTGTGATCTCCAGTATTTTCTGTTTTCAGTGTCACTACTTTTTTTGTTGAACAGGAAAATAGAGCCACTACTTGTGGCATATATATGCAGGCTGGTCCCAGCCCAGGATAGTCAGTTTTGCAGACGCATCCCCGGTCTACTTGATTGAACAGATTGATAAAATATACTGAGTTGATACCACACAGCTTTGCAGCAGGAGGGACTTGAACTCAAGCCTCCTGGTCTAGGGGTAGGTACACTAGCACTGCACCACAGGACTCGGGTCATGAGGTCCAGCTAGGCAGGCCGTTGCCTGTTAGCATTGGAACTCTTACTCAGGCAACTTGAAGGGATATTAATTAGTACTTCTCCATGAACCATGTAGGAGTTATCACACAAGCCATGTAGATCCCTACCCTGAAAGAGGATGGAGAGAGCAAATCTACCACACAGTGAGATGGAGACTCAGTTTAGCTGCACATGCAATATTACACATTCAAGACAGAGTTAGCTGGGCAAGCTGTGGAGAAAACAGAGTCAACAAAGGGATAGCGCCAGGTTAGGTGTGTGAGCAAAATTATGGTAGATAGAATATAAGGTGAAATGAGAGATTATTCTCTTTAAATTTAAGATTAGAGAATACTTTTTAAAGAAGAATAAAACATTAAACATAAGCATTTTGGATGAATTTGGGTATACATCAAATAATTAGGAATGTGAGGGGCTATCCTAGTGCAGGTGGGGTAAATACATTAGGGCTACACTCTAGCGTTTAGAAGAATGAAATCTGATCATACTGAAACATACAAGATTATGAAGACTTGACAATGCAGTTATTTACAGGCTGTACTCCTGTCTGGGCAGTCTAAACGTAGGGGTCCTAGTCTCAAGACAATAGCCATTTTAGACTGAGGAGTCATATCTTCACTCAGATTTGAGAGTCATTGTATTCTCTGTTCCAGAAGACTATGGGTACTCAATTAGTAAATTCATTCCAACTTGACATCGATAGATTTTAGTGCTCTAAGAATCCATGGAAATCACTATTGGGTGAGAAAATGGAGTTGACATTGGTAGTCAGTCATTAAGTTATTAAATGGTGAAGCAGGCTCAAGGGATCGAATGGCTTATTCTTGCTCCAATCTTTTATGTTCTACTTGTGCTCCAATGAATAAGAACAGCACAAATACAATTTGGTGCTCTTAGGCTCTATTGTGGTGCACTTAAAACTATTCCAACGAAAGCTTTGCACTATAAAACCAAAACTAAACCATACCGTTTATGTGAGGGCCAGATTCCAGGTGGTGACCTCTTCATACTGAACATGTAGACTGCAGCTTCAGCGGTGGTGAAGAGACGACAAAAACACAGGAAAGAACAGACCACCACTGCAGATGCTGCTCGGCCATCCTGTTGTGAAAGAAATGAATGAATATAAACAGCTGAGCACATGCTTGGCTTAATGTAGGGCACTCATTAGTTAAGGCACATAATTATTGGTGCAAAGGAACAATCACAACCACCAATGTTTGTGCATCACTTTTGTCCCAATCTTGAGGCCAATTCAAGGAGCTTGAACAGAAGATGGACATGTTCTAGTGCATCTACTACAAAGAAGTATTCAATCTTACAGTGAAAGCCAGTGCCAATCACCTAATGATCATTAAACAATCAGCTCTGGAAGTGACAATTTTTTTGTCAGTAACTGCACCCTTGTACAGTTAATGAAATCTTTACAGGATTCTTCAACTCCATCGAGGGATACTGTGCCTTTCCCCATTCTTGTGACCCAGTGTCCGCATAAGCAAGAGTGTGAAGCTACCTTTACCAGATTCCAATAATGCGCCTGAGGTGTCCAAGTTCAGAATTGCAAACATTATAAAATCACAGCACAACCACTATTATATCAACTTGGCATCAAATAGGGGACAATTCTGTGCCCAGAGGAACCAACTGACATTGCCCAAACTTCAATTAGCCAATGATTATGTCAATCGCAAGCCTTATTACATCAATTTCCTAATAGTTTCCATAAACTAAAGCTTGCCTGGAAATATGCAAATTACACCAATTCTGCCATTCTACTTCCTCCATTAAATTTGACTAGTCAGAACCAGCAGTATTGGTAGCTAGTATTTTTATTGGTAGGGCTTTCTCAAACTTTACAATTACCATCCAAAAATTAGTCAGAAAGTGTAAAGTCTTGCCATACTGATCAGATTAAAGATTTCTCTTACCAACTTTTTATCACCTTCTTTACTTAAACTATTTCCCTTCCACCACTACAAGACTAATAGCAAAAGCATGTCCTTAACACCTAAACACTCCACTTTTCTACGTCTTCTAGTCTGGTTCACTGCTTCAATACTCTACAGGCGTAAATGTATTTCAATACTATAGCTTGCTTTCTCACAAAGCTCTGCATTCTCATCAACTCCATCTTTTCCAAGCAATAGAACTCAAAATCCCAGCAAATAGAATTCAAAATTCTTGAACAAAAAAGAAATTGCTGGGGATTTTCAACAGGTTTGGCAGCATTTATGGACAGAAAACAGAGTTAACATTTCAAACCCTTCTTCAGAACTGATAGTACCTAGGAAAAGGTGGTATCTATGCTCTTGCTCTCACTTTCAAATATCTTTCTATCCTTGTCTTGCCCCACCTTAGTGATTCTCTTATGCCATACTAATTAAATATGCACCCTCAATACTCTAACACTGAGCTTCTCTTGCCTGTCCATTCCCTTTGCTCCACTGTTTGTGCTCACTTATTCTCTACTAGGTTCCTATCTGCTGATTTTTCTCTCAACTCCTTCTGGTTGTTCAACTTTCTTCTTACTTTTAAAACTGCTGCAAACCTTTAACTAAACCATTGTCTCTCCTCCCCACCCATCTTGTCTCCTGCTTTGAATTTAATTATTTTCTCCTTTGTGCGCATATTTTGAGATATGAGATGGCTTCCTGCATATGAGGAACAATACAGAAATTAAACATGACATAAATTGTTCTTAATTTCTTTGAAATAAATTATCTATATTGGATTATTCTAATTTTTCAGAACATTCAATAGTTCATCTCAAGTCATACAACCAGAAACAAATTACAGCTCCCAATTGTCTCACACAATTATTTTTTGCACAATTTCAGGACTATTGCCTCCACTACTGTCTAGAGATCCATACCAAGCACACTACATGAACAGCTGCTTCTTGATTTGAGACTTATTTTGAGATTGAGGTGCCTTATCCCACAAGTTTAAACAAAATGAGAACTTTGTTTAAGAACTATCTTGAAAGTATTTGTAAAATCACCCTTTTCCAACAATGACTTTTGATGTATCATATAAACACACATCTACATTACTTACAAGGCAATGGACAACACAAATATTCTTCTGATCTTGCTTCAGCCATAAGTGCATATTTCTGCAAATATTGTACAGGTTTTGTAGACTCGGGGCACGTCGTGCTGGCCAGCCACATTCAGAAACCTACATTTATTAAAAACAGAGCAAATATTTTATGTAATAGTTATGAAGTTTAATAAAATCTAAAATGCATCTTCATGACGAAATACAAATATCTAAATAGAATCCTAAATATTGCTGTATTAGCCTAATTTAATTAAGTTATTTTATTTAATTACCAATTTCAAACATTATAGTTACACATAAAAATGTATATTTAAGTTTGAACCAATGGAGTCTTTTTCATTGGAGGGGGAGTTATGTGCCTCTGTACCATAGTTAGAATGTTTGAGAGTCCACGTGTAACTTCAGCATCACGAGCACAAACTTCAGCTGACACTTCAGCATAGTAGTGAGGAAGTGCTGCAGTAACAGAAACGATGCTTTGCAAGTAAGACATGAAACTGAAGCCTCCATATTCCCTCTCGGATGGATATTCCACAGCACTATTAAAATTAAGACCAGTTCATCTTTGCAGCCACTTTTTTAAGACCGTAGGATGAAGTCCATCAGATCCTGGTGACATGTCAGCATTTACTTCTAATAGTTTTCTCAGTAACCCTTCCATGATGATTTTAATTGTTTTAAATTCCTTCCTCGGCTCCATCTTTTTGATTTTCAGCATCTTTAGGAGGACTTCTAGGTTACCTACAGATAATACATCTGTTTGAAGCTGCCACCATTTCCTTGTTTTCTATTAGTAATTCCTCAGAATCATTCTCTGGTGAATAAACACTCACTTTTGTTACTCATTTTCTTTTTAAATAATTATGGAAACTCTTGATATCTGTTTCTATACTACTACCTAGCTTGCTCACAAGCCCTTACCCCTGATTTAAAGTTTGCATTGCTTTCCTGAAATTCACAACTTGAAGTGAAATGGCTTTAGTAAACCATTGGTTCTCATAGGAATCAATGTTAAAATCTGAGACAGGTTCCTTCAGACATTTGTTTCCTTGCTAAATCTAATATACAATTTGAAATCGTGTACCATGAGTATGGAATGCACAGCACTGTGCATTCCTAGCTGAAATAATAAAGGCAAGCTGGGACCATGAAAACAATGTTAAAACAATATGATGTTGAGCGGAGATAGTAGGAACTGCAGATGCTGGTGAATCCGAGACAACAAGGTGCAGGGCTGGATGAACACAGCAGGTCAAGCAGCATCATAGGAGCAGAGAAGCTGACGTTTCGGGCCTAGACCCTTCATCAGAAATGGGGGAGGGGAAGGGGGTTCTGAAATAAATAGGGAGAGAGTGGGAGGCGGATAGAAGATGGATAGAGGAGAGGATAGGTGGAGAGGAAACAAACAGGTCGAAGAGGCGGGGATGGGGCCAGTAAAGGTGAGTGTAGGTGGGGAGTTAGGGAGGGGATAGGTCAGTCCAGGGAGGACGGATAGGTCAGTCCAGGGAGGACGGACAGGTCAAGGGGGCGGGATGAAGGTAGTCGGAAGGGGATGGAGGTGCGGCTTGAGGTGGGAGGAGGGGATAGGTGGGAGGAAGCACAGGTTAGGGAGGCAGGGATGAGCTGGACTGGTTTTGGGATGCGGTAGGGGGAGGGGAGATTTTGAAACTTGTGAAATCCACATTGATACCATTGGGCTGCAGGGTTCCCAAGCGGAATATGAGTTGCTGTTCCTGCAACCTTCGGGTGGCATCGTTGTGGCACTGCAGGGGGCCCAGGATGGACATGTCGTCTGAGGAATGGGAGGGGGAATTGAAATGGTTCGCGACTGGGAGGTGCAGTTGTTTATTGCAAACTGAGCGTAGGTGTTCTGCAAAGCGGTCCCCGAGCCTCCGCTTGGTTACCCCGATGTAGAGGTAGCCACACCGGGTCATCCCGCCCCCTTGACCTGTCCGTCCTCCCTGGACTGACCTATTCCTTCTCTAACTCCCCACCCACACTCACCTTTACTGGCCCCATCCCCGCCTCTTCGACCTGTTTGTTTCCTCTCCACCTATCCATCTTCTATCCGCCTCCCACTCTCTCCCTATTTGTTGCAGAACCCCCTTCCCCTCCCCCTTTTCTGATGAAGGGTCTAGGCCCGAAACGTCAGCCTCTCTGCTCCTATGATGCTGCTTGACCTGCTGTGTTCATCCAGCCCTGCATCATGATGTTAAGCGGGGCAACTTAAAGGAAAGACTTAGTACTCTGGTTTCCTTCTCCTTAATACTTTTTCCGCCATTCTTCGCTGGTTTTTAATTTCTGAACAACCTTCTGACCTACCATGAAGCTCTGCCAAATTATACAACTTTTCCTTCAAACTGACACTATTGTTACCTTTTTTAATTAGCCATAGATTGTGCATTCTATTTGTAGAGTCTTTCTCACTTTACTGAACATTATGAAATATCTCAAAATGCTGCCACTGTGTTTGCACTAACCCACACTTTAACCCACTTTCCCGGTTTCCCTTAGCCAGCTCCATCTTCACCCTTGCCTTTATTAAGACTTTAAAACACTGGTTTTAGACACATTCTTCCCCAAACTAGATGTGAAATTTAATCACGTTATGATCACTGCTACCTAGAAGCTGCTTTACTATGAGGTAATTGATTCATCTGGTCATACTGGTCACGAGGTCAAGGATAGCCTACTCCTAGGTTGACTCTAGAATGTGCTGCTCTAAGCAGTACAGCAACTTGCACTATACAAGTGAGGTGGGCTCTGTCTTCCCTCTTTGCTACACCGCTCCAGCAGAGTTCCCTAGTGGATTCTGCACTGCTGACTTCTTTGACAACCAGACTCAGAAGACACTAATAGAAATGTGCACAGCATCGTGTTGGGGAGTTTATGAGGGAAGAGGTAATCCAAATATCAAAGCCACTGTTTGGAAAATCCAGAACAAATAAGTAACTGTCAATTTTAGATGTTCTTATGGTTGTGGGACTTGCTTTGAAGATGTAAACTTACAGTTTCAATATAAGTTAAAATTACATTTCAATTGCATAATATTTCATTCAAAATCTAAAACAATTTTAGGATATTTTCATTCGGATGCAATAAACCAGTGTGTTCTGTTTTGATTTTCTTAACATTCCTCAAGACATGATATGCAGCATGGTGTTACACATAACCAGCACATTCACTTTAAAAAGAGGCACTACTTTCAGTGGACATTTGAAAGCAGGTTGGCTAAACAATTCCCACATACAAAGGTGCCCAACTGAATGCTGTCCACTACAATCAGTGGCCTTTCATTTGTAGGAAAGGTTCAACTGAATAGCTACTTGCCAGTCAAACTACGCATACAAATGCATTAAACTAAGTAACAAGACATACAAATGACAGAAACAATTATTAATTACGCATTATCATTCAAATCTGGCCAACATATGAGATTTTTGTGGAAAAAATGAAACTTAAGACTACAAAGTTTAAGCAGTACATTGAAGACAGCGAATTTCAATTCACATTTTATATTTGTTATAACATACTCTGTTATGGAATTTGAAGGATCTGTAGGTTCGTTGTGATAGATTGTACACTGCATAATGTCCTGGGTGGCGGGAATCCAGAAACAATCTAACGTCTTCAATGTTGTTTTTGATTGCAGACTCAACACCTTCAGCTGGAAATGACATAACTGGGGGAAAAATACAAAATACAGTACAAATTCTAAGCATAGACCTGCATGATATTAAATTACAATTAATTCAAATGACATCAGAACTCCTTAATTAGATTACTGGCTGTATTCCCTGGTGTTTTTTTATTCTCTGTAGAAAACATTTATGTGAAAATTGTAATTAGAATGCTGTGCTGTAATTATTGTTCAACATTTAATGAGCTAATTCAAAACCTGCTTATTGTTGATCAACCTTTAATTGTGCCTTCTGCAAATCATATAACTTATAATGATTGTGTATTTTTCAATAACACTTCCCACTAATTTCCTTTGGACATGCTAGGTGGTCACATTTTGCATGAACAATAGAGAAATAAGAATCATCCATTCAACATTTCAAAGTAAACCATACAAAACGTGCAGTATAAATAACGTACGCGGAAATATTAGAAGAGCACATTGCAAAATCATAAAGTATTTTCTTTAAACAATTTCCTTTCTTTTTGTCAAACTGTGGTGTACACAGGAGCTTTGACAGTCAAGTTTTGTTTTAAAATATTCTAAACAGGATCAACAATTCTGAACACAAAAAAACAAAGTACTGCGGATGCTAGAAATCCAAAACGAAAACAGAAATTGTTGTAGAAACTCAGCCGGCCTGGCAGCATTTGTCAAGAGAAAGCAGAGTCAACATTTTGGGTCTAGAACTCATTCTGAAGAAGGGTCACTGGGCCCGAAACATTGATTTTGCTTTCTCTCCACTGATGCTGCCAGACTTGCTGAGTTTCTTCAGCACTTTCTCTTTTGTTTCAACAATTCCAATGTTCACTGCTGCATTTATAAATTTGTAACATTTAATAAAATGAAAAATGGGAAATACAGTTGTGCCACGGAATCCATGAAAGAACAAGTGATTCTCAGGTAACAGCTGGCTTCTAGTAGAAAAATAATGTACTGCTCAAAGACAGGCTTATTCATATCCATGCAAACTTTATCCAGAAACACAAAAGCTTTCCTACTCACCGGCTATTCTTGACGTAACATATGAAATGTCCAAATCTCCTTTAGCATAGCTAGTCAAAAAAACATAGAAACAGCAAATAAGATTAGATCGCATAGTAGCGAAGAGCAAGAGATCCAGCTCAACTCTTGAATGGTACACAAGGGTGCAAATCAGCCCAGTGTGCCTGTACTGGATCATTGAATCATCCAGTTAATACCATTCACTGCCCTTTCCCTCCATATCCTCATTATTCTTTCCCTTTCAAGTGCATATCCAATTCAGTTTTGAAAATTATTATTGAATCTGCATCCACGGTCTTTACAGGCAAATAATGTGAAGCTAAATACCCTTGGACACAGTAGCTAAAACAAACACTTGACAACAATAATATAAATACAGAATATGCTTGCAAATTTATCTTTAACCAAATATATATCTAATTTTCTTTTGACAGTTATGACAGAATCTATTCTACATCTATTTAAAATAAAGCCATTCTCTCTACTATCAGAAAAAACCACCTTAGCTTCATGCGTGAAAACCACCAGCTGTCTTTTCCTGCACTCCCTTTTAAACGTGCACCACTTAGTTTAGACTATCCCTCCTTCTTCTTACTCCTAAAATGTGTGACTTTACACATATCTGCATTAAATTTAGTTGCCTTGTGTTCTGTCCAACTCGCCAGTTTATATCCTCCTGCTGTCTGATATTATCCATCTTGCTGCTTACTACATTTCTAAGTTTTGTGCCACACTCAAACTTTGCTTCCTAAATAAAATTTCTAGGTCATATATGTCAAATGCGATTATGGTGCTCAGACTGAGGCTTAAATATGAGTCTTCTTTGCAGTGTTCCATAACTGTTTGTACGCAACTTTCCAAGTACCATCTAATGGAAATATGTCCTTTCCAGGCAGGCCCTCTGTCACAGAAGTTAATGAAATTCTCAGCCACCACCACTCCATCCCACCAAGACTCTACATACTGGAACAATGGGCTATTTTGAGACAGAGATCTATAGATTGTTGATAGGTAAGGGTATACAGCATATGAGCAAAGGTAAGAAAAATGGATTTGAGGAGCAGCTGTGTCATTATCTAATATTTAAATCAGCTTGCAATTTTCAGCAGTTCATTGAATAAAATATACAAGGTGTAACCAGTAATAAGTGACAAAATAACTTTAAAGGAACAGGTTCTCAGTATTATTTTAAGACATATCCTTGTGAGGGGACTGGGGGAGTATATGGTGTATATGTTTGATGACTCTGAACACCAAAATGTTGAATGGGAAATATTTTTATATTTTTATGTTTATGAATGTCCTAGCATTCCATATTGCCTCTGCATACTTAAAATTGATGATTGAAGTAGCTGTTATGATATTAGGAAGCTCAAGTGTGAAGAGTGCTGTCTAGGTAATTATTCATGAGGTATCATAATAACAAGTAAGAGTGGCTCAAAAGAAACCAGTCTATCAGTTGACGTGCCTCTGCCAGCGGGGAGTGGGATGGAGAGGTTAGGTATCAGTCAGAATCGTGAGCAGCCCTTGTCATCCAGTAACCTGTACTTGGTTTGCTGTTGTGGTTGAATTGCATCTGGCACAGCAGACCTGCACAGAATTGTAGATCATGACTACTGCCAGGATGTAAAGCACTGACGTGCATATTTCACGATCAGTTGATGCACAACAGCTGAACAGTGAGTGAGTGAAATCCCCGCTAGTTCCAGCACACAGCATTTATGACATGGGGCACCCAAAACACAATCTGTCTGCAGTTAATAACATGCTGCATCATGGTAAAATTTGCATTTTGAGCAAAACTTTGGATTCTTTTCACCTACTAGCTTCTGACAAGACAATATAAAATTAACTTAAGTCTCTTTGTAAAGAGAACTTCATTGACCTCCCTTCTCCAAAGGGAATGATAAACTGCAATTTTTGCTATGTTCATCAGTTCAAAACTCCAATCACAGCTTGGTATCCATTCATTTTTACTTTTATCCTAATTCGTGAAAAGGCACCATATTTAGGGTTGCTGTTCAGTACTAAAAAGGAATGCTCAATACAACACGTTGCAACCAAAGCTCACCAGAATGTGCAAAATCATTCTTAAAAGGCCAAACAGAAACTAAGATAAAACACACCTTTAACAAAACCAGTCAAAAATGCAAGATAATTACCTCTGAAAGGCTAATTACAAGTAAAGACAGAGCATAAAGGGGACCAACACAAAGCTTCTCAACCCTACAGTGTTCTATTTTTAACATTGCATTTTATGCATTTAAAACAAGCAACATTAATTGCAAACGCAAGCCATAACAGTGTCAGTCACATAAAACTGAATTCAATTTTAAATTTTACAGACCCCTGACACAGCTCATAAAAATTGTACTTAATCTCTACAATATATCAATAGAAAATGATACAGTAATGTAATTAGTCACTTTAGTAACTAGATTAAAGAAGCAGACATCTTGGTAGTGCATTGATATGTTTTTTAGTCATGAACTTTAAACCTTCTAAATAATGTGACTGTAAAATGTCAAAATCTTTATGCAACTTGCAAACTATTTCTCGTCTTCAACATTATCTTTCAAAAGTGAAGGCATCCCTGAACAATGAAGATCAAAACTTTTGACTCTAGCAACAGCAGAGGCTGTCGTTACTGACTCGTTCAATCAGCCTGATTTCACATCAAAACTGTTCTGTTCCCTTTTGAATTACTCACCAGGGCTGCCTGATACCGATTATGGATATGCAAAATTACAATTTCACAACTCATCAATCAAAAATTCTCGACAATGGAGCAGTGCAAAATAATTCAAAAATTAAAACTGAGAACAAGCAAAAACATAGGATTTTTCTCATAAATCCAAATTTGTATATGTCAAATCAAGGCAGCTCAAACTGTTGACTAAGAACTTTTTTAAGAGATCAGTGACTCATAAGTACGAGGAAGAATTCAAGGTCAGTTACAATTTGCAAATTGGTGAATCCAGCCCATCTCTAACAAATCACTCCCAAACCCCTCTCTTCTTGCTTACATCACGGATCTCCAATATACAAATCTAAGTGAGGAGTGTGGAAAATTGCAAACATTCAAAACATAACACATGCAAACAACTCTTGAGACTTCAACTTCAGGGAGAACAGTTCATTAACACCGAAGATTGCGCAAAAATCCAATTATTACAAACCATAACTTAGCAGCACACAGAGGAACTAAAATATTTACCTGGGATTGCTACCAGAGGCACAGAGATGTTAAGGAAGAAAGAAATCTAGTGAATACTCAAAACACCAACAGTAATAAGCAGCAACATTCACAATGAGAAACAAAAAGTGCATGATACTCATCATTAAGCTAAAAAAAAGTAACTAAATGTAAAAGAAGATACAATCCAAGGCAAAAAGAAAAGAAATGCAAATATCAAATTTGTCGTCTTGCGAACTGGAATAATGCATTTAGTGTGGACATAACAAATTAATGTTCTTTTGACTGACATCCCAATTCTAGAGATGGCAAACATGACATGGCTGACTAATGGACTATCATCAAATGAGGACAGTAAATAGAAACCAAGGACTCTTTTTGGAAACTTTTTATCATGCTTGTTTGTTTAACAACAGACAGGTAGCCTTAACTATGAAGGATTGTTGTGTTAGATTACATTAGTGGGTGGGAGTAAAAAGGTCAAGCAGAAAGAAAAAAATTGAGGATATGGCAAAAAGAAAGTTCTAATTTATTCCCATAGTTCTATCTGCACATGCCTCCACCCACAGGCTTTAGCAAAGTAGCTGTACACATTTCTGCTTTCAGGTTTTGAAAGTGGGCAAGACGATGCAGCATGAATTGTCATGATTGTACTCTTTTCAAAAGACCAAATTCTAAGTACAAGTTACTCTGAATTTTATTTGAAATATAGCAATTATTTTAAATGTTCATGAGATACAAATAGATCAAACATAAAATCATTTTCTCTGCAATGTCATTTAATTTGCTACAAACAGACATGATGCCAAGGCTTTTCATCTTACACTCATCAGGAATGCAAAGCAAGAAAACCAACTTTACGAATAAATGAACTATGAGCAGATGTAAGCCATTTGGCCCCTTGAGCCTGCTCCACCATTTAATAAGATCATGGCTAATCTGTCTGTATTTCAAATTTTATAGTTCTAATTACCTCTGATAACTTTTCATTTCATCGGCCAACAAAATCTACCTCTTCCTGCTTTAAAAACATGCAATGACCCTAATTCCACCATCCTGTGGGGTACAGAATTTCAAAATTGCTTGACCTTCAGAAATAAAAAAAGTTCTCATCTCTGTTCTAAAATGGCAACCTCACATGTTAAAATTGTGCCACCACTTTCTGGACTCACCATCAAATAGAAACATCATTTCCACATCCACCTTGTCAAAACTGTTCAGAATTTTAAATGCTTCAATCAAGTCACCCCTCACTTCTAAATGCCAGATAAACAAACAAACTAGGTCTGTCCTCACAGGACAACCTGGTCATTCCAGGTATCAATTTAATAACCTTGGAACCACGTCCAGGAATATATGTCTCTCCTCAAATAAGGAGACCAAAATTGCACACAGTATTCAAGATGTGGTCTCATTAATGTGCTGTATAACTGAAGTATTACATTCTCACTTTTATTTTCAAATTCTTTCGTTATAAAAGATAGAACTCTACTAGCCTTATTAGTAACTTCCTTTACCTGTTTCCTAATTTTTCTCAAGCCCTTTGCACTATGAAATTCCAAAAAGAAATAATGTATACAGCATGAGGACAGAATGCTGACTGATTGAGCTGTGGTTGAGCATGGAGATGCAGCAGGAACTGTCCACTGTCAATTGTTTTACCTGATTAACTTCAAACCAGACAAGTTGACTGAGTTGGCAAGGCTTTGCCGAGAATGGCCATAGGATTTTTTTATTTTCCTCATTGAGAAAGGTACAATGTGTGGCCATATTCCTTTTTTCTACCAAGAACAGTGTGTGTGAACATATGTAGTTTCTGGAACACACAAATGAATCATGCTCCCACACAGACAGACAAATTTTAAATAGGTTTCTGGTGTAATTCCTAGTGTTATCAGGATTATTTGGCAAATGTTGCCCAAAAGCAGAATCACACGTCTAAATGATCAAATAGGTTCTGAGTTTCACAAGCACAGGCAGCAGATACGCTGCCTACTGTGGGCAATCAAAAGGGATGCATTGTGTCTGACATTGTTGGGATGCATGACTTATATCACACTGGCACTCAAAGTCATATTCCTCATTATTCACTTGTGCGGCAGGCAGAACATCCTTTTGGCTTGAAGCAGCATACTGTTAGCTGAGAATACGACTAGTGAGTTAATTGCAAAGTGTCAGCACGAAACAGCTAGCATCACCTGTTCCCTGCTGCATCCCCATGGCAAAGTTCAGTCAGAGTTGACTTGCTGTTTTGAATTTAAACAGTTAGCCAAGATTGAAAGGCAGCACTTCCTGCTGGATCTCCACGCCAACGATAAAGCAGCCAATCACAACCCTCTTCTCACAATGCATAAATTAATGCTTCCTTTCTAAAGCTGTTTTTCTTGCATTTCAGTCCTAATATATTCAAGACAAAAAACATTAACTTCATGTCTCTTTTCAACAATATTTATGTTGTTTACTACCAAACAATTACTTGTTATTTTTATTTGAGTCCTTAAAATGCACAATCCAAAAGAACAATCAAAACCCATCAACGAGCAGACATTACATAGCACTATCTGTCCCAAGTTACACAGAATCAGTGTGGCAACTAAAAGTTTTTTTTTAAAAAATGGATGCTGTCTGTTTGCATCTGTCCCATACTAATGGGTATTACTATGTTATCCACCTGCCCTTCTATAAATCAAGAATGAGATCAACTAAAGTGCAATGTTTCTTGAAAAAATCCTTTATTCTACAGGGTTCTTTATTCTCCGTTCTGAGGAAGGGTCATCAGACCTGAAACATTAACTCTGATTTTTTCCTTCACAGATGCTGCCAGATCTGCTGAGCTTTTCCAGCAACTTCTGTTTTTGTTCCTTTACTCTAGAAGATATATTTATAGATATTTACATTGGGACTGTTAGATGCTAATGCGTTTGCCTATTTAATCTTGTAGCTTGTTGATAACAATTGGCTTTTTGAAGAGATGCTAATATATCTGTAGCCATTGAGTGAAAACCATACAGTGATTAATGATAAAGATTTCAAATGGCAATGCAACAAAATCTATAATGCAAAAGAAAGCTGGCTGAAAATAAAATAATCTATGAATCAAATTCTTTCAGTAAATAAATTTAACCCATGAAAAGAAAGGTGAAACTCAATTTGACAGTTGGTATCTAGAGTAACAGATTAGCTAGAAGCGACATTCATTCAGTGGTAACTTACCAAAGTTGCCAATAATTAAGTACACATTCTTGTAATAGGAAAGGGAAACGTGAAAAAATTTAGTTGTACATTACTGGGATTGTCTATTTAACTATTCTAAGACTTTCACAGTCATTTTAATCCCTGGGGATTTATTATCTGAGCATTTGTGCCCATCAGGAGTGATTCTGTGGAACAGAGCAGTGAATGTAGTTACTCTGTGGAACAGTCACAATGAAATGGAGTGACACCGTGAGACAGTCAAAATGAAATGCAGTGATTCGGTGGAACAGCTGCAGTAAAATGCCGTAAGTCTACAGAATAGTTGCAGTGAAATGTAGTGATTCTGAGAGACAGCCGCAGTGAAATGTAGTGACTCAGTGATCCGAGGGATTTCATAGTGAAATGTATGCTCAGTAGCCATTATGACTTACTTGGCAACTGACTGGATCATCTTTGAGGACGTATCTTTGATGTTAGTCAAGAAGCGCTCCGTACCTCCTTTGAGGATATCAAACAACCCTCCATGATGTGATACATCATTTTCAATACCTAAGGAATAAGGGGAACAAATAATCCATGAGTTACCAATAGCCCTTCAATTGCCAAGTGTGCTTTTGCACATTGCCCACAAATTACCTCTACCTACAACATATTCATGAAATAGTGAAGACTTTCGGAATGTTTTCAAATATTTCCCAATCTGTACAATCAACTAATTCAATAAGTGTATTGGAAGACTAACATTTCTAATTGTAACTCAATCTATTTCACAAGTTAAAAGTCTCTGAAATATTTTTATATAGCCATGGTCCAAACAATTCAAGTTTTACATGAAAGAATTGGCCGAAACAGCTCTAAGTCCCTTGGCCTTTAGTGAAATTGTACTATACATCCTGTCAGGAAAATCACAAAGACCACTTGTTTGACTTGTATTCTACAATCCAAATGAAACAGTGGCTAAGAACAGCACATTCTGTGCACTGTGCCAGAATGTTGTCGATATAACACTTCCAAAGCAACATCTAGAAAATTTTAGAAATATCTAAATGGAGACTTTTCAAATTGAATGAAATTAAGAGACGTTTAATGTCGAGCCTTCATCTCGTAACAATGATCATGATGATGCAAAATGGAGCATATCTTTCCAGGCAGACATAGACTAGTACTGTATTGAATTGACCACAACCACAAAATACATTTATTGTCTTTGCCATGTGTATTCCACCAAATTACAGACCAACATACCTTTTTAGTTCTGTTTATTTAGTTCATCATTCTTGATGCACCAGAGAAAAATTAAAAGATAAGATGCAGGGATAAGAGAGGGATCCTGGATGTGAGAAACTATAGCAAAACGTGCCCTTTCAGCATACAAGCCTGCTCAATTATTTATTAATACATCTTGAAATACACTGGTTAATCTATTTCATTAATACTCATTAAAAATCAAATAATGTCCTGATAGATTAAATATGACTGAAGTAATTAAAGAAAGAAGTAAGGACTCACATTTATAAAGTGCCTTTACAACCCACTGTGTTCCCACACCATCTACATTGATCCAGCATTTTTCAAGTCTAGCCACTATTGTACTATGGAGGAGTCAGTGATAGAGTCTGGCTTTTTTTTAAACGTCATTTTTATGGTGCTTTAGATTGAGAAATGTAAAAGGTTTTCACTTTGAGTACATGGAACACTTTTACGATCATGTATGGTAACTTAATCTCTACCGCATACTTCTCCAATTCCTTCAAAATTCAATTATAAAGTCTGATAAAGATACTGTGTTCTTTTTGAAGTCTGTTTGAAATCTAGCTGAGATCTCAATGGAGTCTAAAACAATATGCAATTGTTCAGTGTTTGCCGCTGCATTATGCTGAGAAGCAAGGCAGAAAGAGAAGGGAATATAATTGGATTTCTTTGAAATATCCTGCATAAATAAAATGCCCTGTGATCTTAGTTTTTGGATGATTTAACAGAGCTATACTCTCCAAACATATTAATCAGTCCATTGAGCATAGTCTGTCATTGTAATTCTAATTTCAAAACGGAAACAGACCAGAGCTTGTCCAGTTTGTTAATTTATGTATTAATTAGCAACATAAAGCACAATAAACATGAAAGAATCGAATAAAAATGAGAACATCACATCAGCACCAATATTGTTGGTGACCTGATTTCAACGCGCACTTCCTGACTTTCATATACGTGTAGAACCAAGAAGCAATCATGAATTAACTGAATCAGACAGCAGGATTTCAATGACTAACTCCAGTTTAGTTGCAAGATCACCAGGGTTAGCATCAACTTGAAACAAACTGTACAGCTTTGATCAGAATTTATATGATACTGCACCAGACACATTTCTATAGCATAATGCTAGAGAGTTTATCAATATTCCTTATGCCTCCTTTGTTGATAGTTAGGTCACATACCTGCATTGTGCATGTTGTTCAGTTGTCCTGCTGGTTTGTTCCACTGTGGCGCTGAACTTGCCATCGTACTGTTGGCCACCCCTCCATTCTGTTCCAGGAGCTGTAAGGATTGGTAACCGTCACAAGCGATCTTTCTCAGATAAGAACCCAGCAAACTCATGAAAGAATAATCCATACACCAGGACAACAAAGAAAATGGAGATTCCTAGCAACCAGTTGCAAATTATTCTGCTATCCAGTCGCAGAAGCAAGAAGATTCTCATCAGAACAAACAAGGCATTGCTGTTAGTTCCATCTCAATACTCAGCTGCCTGCACTTACAAGCAGAACCAGCAAGATATCCAATTTGGCTTTAGGCCCAGCATCATCAGTGTATGCAGCTGACTACACCATGCCGGCTTGACATTTAAGCTGATTAGTTTGAAGATAAGCATATTACTTTCATAATTATATCACAAATGGTAAAATAAGTTTAAAAAAACACAGGCAGTGACACTTCTATAAAGTTTAACACTTTTCTTTTTATCCAACGTATTAGCCTATAAAATAATTCCTATTTTGATAGTGTGAGCAAGTAACAACATGACAGTAAGACAAACTTTAATAATTTTGTACCAGTCCCTTTAAGTAATCGTATTTTCAAAAATCCAAAATTTCTTACTTTACAACAATTTACAATAAAAAAAACAATTTGCAAGCATTACGTACTTTTTGACCAACATATGCAAATTGTCCTATTTAAATTGGGACAGAAAACACATCAGTGCATGAAGTGGGATTGATTTCATGTAAGGGGAGCACGGATGCAATTCTGTATTCTGGGACATGGGAATGGTTTCCTTTCAAGGTTTTCTGTAGAATTAATAAATTAATGATTGCACAAAGCTGTGATTCAGCATATATGTTCTGAAAGGCCAAAACGCGCTTATATCTCCCAGCAAGTATACCTGCCACATTCAGGCATTCAAAACAATTCCATCACGTTAGCATTCTGGAAATGAAGCAATAAGGTCAGCTCGTTTTGTACTTGACCCAACTAGCAATGAGTTAGAACAGCACATTTTCTACATTACATGTATACCAAAGCACATTGTAAATATTCATTCTTTACTTGGTGACATAGACAAGCCTATAGTTTCAACATAAAATTGATTCTTTTCCCCTCAACAGTTGAGTGGGAAAGAAAAAAAAGTAAATCAGTGAGTCTGTGAGAGAAAGTTCCACTCTGCTGCACCTGACAATCCATTATCAATGTACATGCAAGCACTATCTAAGTTTAGATTAAGAACTAAGAAAATTAATACCATAAAACATTCAACATCTTCAGGCTGTTATGGCATTCCAAACTACATAAACATTGCTATCTACCATTTGATATTGTGCATGCATATCTAGAATTGAATGTCAAAGCCAGCTGAATTGATGCAGTCAACAACAAAAGTAATCCAAATAACAGAGATAATAACTGAAGTACTTTAAAACAATGAACATATTAAAAACAAGAAGTCAACAGTGATGACTGTAAAACAGCAATTGACAAAACATTTAGAAAACCATACATATTATTAACTGTTTGTCAATAATTTTCAACATTTATTTTGAGCACGATAAAGAATTTTAAACTGTTATTTAAACATGCCAAGAAAGAATATTGTCCCGCTACATTTGGACTTGGACTGCTTCAGTATCAGAGGAGTCTTGAATGCTGCTGAACATTGTGTAATCATCAGCGAACATCCCCAATTCTGACTTTATGATAGAGGGAAGGTCTTCGATGAAGAAGCTGAAGGTGGTTGGCCCTAGAACATTACCCTGCAGACCTGCTTCGAGATGTCCTAGAGCCAAGATGACTGAACTCTAACAATTACAACCAACTTCCTTTGAGCTAGGTATGATTTCCACCAGTGGAGAATTGCAACGGATTCCCACTGACTCCAGTTATGCCATGGTTCTTTGATCCTACTCTTGGTCATATGCAGCCTTGATATCAGGGACAGTCAGTCTTAGCTCAGCTCAGAAATTCAGCTCCTTTGTATATATTTGAACTAATTCTGCAATAAGATCAGGAACTAAATGGTCCTGGTGGAACCTAAACTTAACAAAACATCTAATTTTATTTTCTGCAATTGGCTATTCTGTCCTCAAAACCTTAATAGACACAACAAAAAAAACAACACAAAAGGAAAGAACTGTAAAGGAAAGTGCCTAGATTTATTTCCTTGTGGAAGACCCTCTTCTTACCTCTATCACCTCCCCATATTCAGCTCACAGTACTTGTCTAATACAGACCTCCTTCAGACAGACAACAGGACAGTCTAGGTAACAAAATTCTCCCCAGACCAGATCAATGCAGCTGCACGGCCAGGTAACTATCTTACTGGGTCATAGTGGCTCTCCCAGATTGGTTTCACTCCTTAATTGATCAGTGTTACGATCCTAACTTATGTTATTATTAGGCAAATCAAATCCTGGGCTGACATCTGGCTTGATGGATTTCTTTCAATTTAATGAGGTAATCTTTCACTGAAAGACAAGGGTACAAAGCTACAGATTCGGTATTAACAATAAAACAAGACTTTTTTTATGCAAAAGAAAAAGATAAAATAAACAATGCTAATTACATTTTAAAAATTTTAAACATACAATTAAAATATAATTTCCCTCTATCCTAACAGTATCCTTTTACAGTAATTAAATAACGGAAAAAATTCCACTCTTTATCATCTCTATAAGTTTGATTTAATTGGTGCTTTTAATTCCAGGTCTTGAGAGTTTAACAGCCTCTTCCTTGAGTATTCACACAACTGAGGTTAGAGTTGTTGAGCTTTGAATAATCCTTTAGGCTTCTGACCAAACACTTCTGGTCTTAAACTTCTAAACTAAAGCTCCCATTGAGGTAACCCTATTTCCTAACTTTTTGAGCTAACTCCTTTCTCTAGAAGAAATTGTTTCATATAGCCATTTTCCAGCAGGACTTTTGAGAACAAAAGCAAAAGCTTTTCAACCTAAGGGAGTTTTCCCTAAGCAAAACAAAAATCAATCACCAATTATTCTAAGTGACAGCAGACTAATGCTCTTCAATGTTTATTCTGTCTCATTGCTCTTCCAATGCAAATAATTTCCCATTAGCACCCAGAAACTCACGAGATCTCCTGTACACTGATTTCAAAAACCTATGGCTCCAAAAGTAATGGCAAATACCCTCATACACACAGATCAAAACCCACATGCCGCAAGTTCAACTTTAAAATAGATTATATTAAAATATACATAAATCACACACCATACATCACAAGTGACAATTGTTACAAAAGGCCCAGCGCAGTCAGCTAAAGAAATACCTGCCCATCAGCACAACAGGATATGAAATAATGATCAGATCATCTTACCTTCAAGAAAGATCTACATTGTATTCAAACACTGATGATAAGCAGCTTATTTGCAGACATCAAAAACAGAGGAAATCACAGTGACATTTCCTCCATTGCAATCAGATCGAGACATATACAAATCAATTAATATTTTCTGTTCCTAAAATACCAGACTCAAATGAAGAGACTCAGGAATGTTGTGAGTAATAGAGTGAACAGCTTGATTTAATCATTGCTCTGGTTGCTGATGGGCTGATTATTAACATACATGATCCAGCAAATTAACTTAGCCAAGCCTTTGGTCAGTGGAATCATGTGCCAACTGTGTCACTCTTTAACAACTTCATGACCTGCAGCACATTCAAAGGTTACTGTTTTCCTGTATTCAAACGTTTTGTTTTTAATTAGCAAAAATAAATAAACCAGGGATCAAGCAATTTAATGCATTAGCCCATTGGTATTTAACTGTTGAGATTTTAATTTATATTCAAATTCCCTTTTGAATGTGGTTTTAAATGCAAGATAAACCCCCTATTGTACAACTTGAGAATTACCTCTGTAATTGGGGATTTAAGATTAATATTCCTAGCAGCAGCGATCTCCTGCAGTTGATTCACAACCTCCGTAATAGTCAATCGCTCTTCAGGATTTATCTTCATCATATTACCTACAGCAATAAAACAGTAAAAAATATAGGCCATCATACTACTTTCAGTCAATATGAGTTAACAAATATGGCAAAAACATTGTACAAGGATTCACTCTAATTTCCTCCACAGATTCCACTTAGCTAGCTGTCCACCTATCTTCTCCTTTATCCATCTTCTTTCCGCTTCCCCCTTTCTCCCTATTTATTTCAGAATCCTCTTCCCCTCCCCCGTTTCTGAAGAAGGGTCTAGACCCGAAACGTCAACTTTCCTGCTCCTCTGATGCTGCTTGGCCTGCTGTGTTCATCCAAATCTACACCTTGTTGTCTCAGATTCTCCAGCATCAGCAGTTCCTACTATCTCTGTAACAAATTAGGAATCACAGCTTAAACGAAAATAAGGAAAATTGTACTTATACAGTCCCTTCCCATATTTGGACTGTTTCACAGTGTTACTCAAACATGAGCAATTTTAGATGCAGCCTAATTTGGCATAGGCATACCCTGTAGCCAACTCGCATCCGGTAAGGTGCTAAAACAGCAGTGAGATAACACCCCGTCAATCTGTTTTCTCTGTGTTGGTCAGCCAGGATATTGGAAGAATTCCTTTGCTTTTATTTGAGAAGTGTATTGAGCTCTTTTGCACTGACACAATCAGAAAATTGAGGATCAGCACCATTTACAAGGCATTACCCCAGCGACATTGCACTGAAGCATCAGCCAAGATTATGTTTTCCAGATCTGCAGCATACCTTGAGTACCTAATCAGCATAGATTAACAGTAATATATCACACCAAAACATGAAAAAGTGACCATCATGCACTTCAATTTGCTTCAGCCAACATTATGCATAATAAGAACATAACATAAGAACTAGGAGCAGGAGTAGGCCGTCTGGCCCTTCGAGCCTGCTCCGCCATTCAATAAGATCATGGCTGATTTTTTCGTGGACTCAGATCCACTTACCCGCGTTCTCACCGTGACCCTTAATTCCTTTATTGTTCAAAAAAAATCTACCTTTTCTTTAAAAACGTTTACTGAAGTAGCGTCAACTACTTCACTGGGCAAGGAATTCCATAGATTAACAACCCTCTGGGTGAAGAAATTCCTTCTCAATTCAGTCCTAAATCTGCTCCCTCTAATCTTGAGGCTATGCCCTCTTGTCCTCGCTTCACCTGCCAGTGGAAACATCCTCTCTACTTCTATATTATCTATTCCCTTCATAATTTTATATGTTTCTATAAGATCCCCTCTCAATCTTCTGAATTCCAATGAATATAATCCCAATCTACTCAGTCTCTCCTCATAAGCCAACCCCCTCAACTCCGGAATCAACCTAGTGAACCTCCTTTGCACCCCCTCCAGTGCCAGTACATCCTTTCTCAAGTAAGGAGACTAAAACTGCACACAGTACTCCAGATGTGGCCTCACCAGCACCTTGTACAGCTGCAACATAACCTCTCTGCTTTTAATTTCAATCCCTTTAGCAAGGAAGGACAAAATTCCATTTGCCTTCCTAATTACTTGTTGTACCTGCAGACCTACCTTCTGTGATTCATGCACAAGGACACCCAGGTCCCTCTGCATAGCAGCATGCTGCAACTTTTTACCATTCAAGTAATAATCCTTTTTACTATTACTCCTACCAAAATGTATGACTTCAAATTTATTTACATTGTATTCCATCTGCCAGACCTTTGCCCACTCACTCAATGTATCTATGTTCCTCTGCAAAGTTTCACAATCCTCTGCACACTTTGCTCTGCCACTCATCTTAGTGTCATCTGCAAACTTTGACACACTACACGTGGTCCCCAACTCCAAATCACCTATATAAACTGTAAATAATTGCGGTCCCAACACCGATCCCTGAGGCACACTGCTATTCTAGCTGGCAGTCAGTGACTAGTGCTCATTTATCCCCACTCTTTGCTTCCTGTTAGTCAACCAATCCTCTATCCATGCTAATACTTTACCCTTAATGCCATGCATCCTTATCTTATGCAGTAGCCTCTTGTGCGGCAGCTTGTCAAAGGCCTTTTGGAAATCTAGGTACACCACATCCACTGGGTCCCCATTGTCCACCTCGCTCGTAATGTCTTCATAGAATTCCAAAAGATTTGTCAAGCATGACCTGCCCTTCATGAACCCATGCTGCGTCTGCCCAACGGGACAATTTCTACCAAGGTGCCTTGCTATTTCTTCCTTGATAATAGACTCAAGCATCTTCCCCACTACAGAGGTTAAGCTAACTAGTCTATAATTCCCCATCTTTTGTCTACTTCCCTTTTTAAACAGTGGCGTCACATTTGCAGTTTTCCAATCTGCTGGGACTGCCTAATGGGACACTTCAGTTCTTTTGTATTTTATAAAATGAATGCAGGTCCCTGATTGCAGTCCCACCCTTTGTTCAAGATATACCGCCAATTTGTACGACTCCAGTTCCCTGCCTGGAATAGCAGGAGGTTTACCCACAACTAAGAGAAAAAGGGATAGCATATGTGATCTAAGATTTTACCATATAGATCACAAGTAGATAGGGATATTCTTTAAACAGACTCTTGAAATACATTTACTGTGGCTTTGCACAAGACATTATGAACAAAATGTGCACAGAATTGGAAATAACCTTACAGCATAGATTACAGTGCAGGAGCAGGCCATTCACCAATTAAGTCTGCATCCCACCCTATCCTATCCCTGTAACCCTGCATTTCCCATGGTTAATCCACCTAACCTACATATTCCTGGACACTATGGGCATTTTAGCATGGCCAATCCACCTAACTTGCACATCTTTGGATTGTGGAAGTAAAGTGGAGCACCCAGAGGAAATCCATGCAGACAAGGAGAGAATGTGCAAACTCCATACAGACAGTAACCCAAGGTTGGAATCGATTCCTGGTGCCTGGCACCGTGAGGCAATAGTGCTAACCACTGAGGTACTATGCCTAACCCTAACAGGCTAAGAAGTAGAAAAGAATGAAGTGGGAATAAACAGTTTGTTCTCCGAATGGAAGAAAGTGAAAAGTGGCAATCCCAAAGGATCTGTATTGTAGTCTCAGCTTCTCACCACATACATTCAAGATTGAAACAAGGAAATTGAGAGCTGCATGAGGTTTGCAAATGACATTAAAGTCAATCAGCACAAGGTTATGTTGATCTCAGCAGAACGTTACAAATAGACTAAGCCAAGTAAGCAAAATGTAGTCAAGGTGATTGAGAGATCATCCATTTTGCAGGTGAGCTTTGGACCTCATATTCACACCTCTATAACATCAATTGACTTTGTTGCTACCTCAGCTCAGCTGCTCCTGAAACACCCAAGCATGCTTTCATTTCCTCTTGAACCACTATTCTACAACAATCCTGCCTGGTCTCTCATATAATTCTCTCTATAAAGCTGAGGTTATGTGAAACTCTGCAACACAAGTCTAAACTCTCAGCAAGTTCCATTCCCCATAATCCCCATGTTCATTGATCGATGCTTGGATCATGTACTAGATATGATATGCAACATTTAAAAACACAATACTATAGTAGGCGCACAAAGGAAATATCCCATAAATGAATGCACTCTTACTTTATTTCTGAAAGAGGGACATTTCAGTTATACATTCTAGGTTTGTAAAAAAAAAAGTTATGCCTAACATATCCAAACTTTTTTGTGGCCTCCTAAATTATTTTAGTGTTGATTTAGTGGTACATTTAGCTCAAGATGCTTTAAGATCAGTACATTGTTGGAACTTTGGATTACAAGAAGAATCAAAAACCTTGTGATGAAGCAGCATGTGCCCAAATGAAGTGTGGCAATCTAAACTTACCTGTTTGTTTGGCAAAGTAACCTGGTTAAGGAAATGCTTGTGATAGATGCAATGCCCACAAGGGGCAGTGAAGTGATCTATTTATTAGAAAATGAGTACAGGTGTTTTTAAGCAGGTAACTTGTGACGTTATTGTGTATTTATTGAACATAAATTGCAAGTAATCGTGGTTTCATTATTTAGTTGTTGCTAGTATCAGCATTCTTTCTGACTGTCCACTATAAACGTTTGTATGCTATAAACAGTGAATTCAGCAAAGCGTTTGACAAGGTCTTACAAGGTAGACTGGTTAGTAAGGTTAGATCACATGGGATTCACAGGGAGCTAGCCAACTGGATACAAAATTGGCTTGAAGGTAGGAGACAGAGGATGGTGGTAGAGGGATGCTTTTCAGACTGGAGGCCAATGACCAGCGATGTGCCCCAAGGATCAGTGCTAGGTCCATTGCTTTTCATCACTTATAGAAATGATTTGGATGTGAATATAGGAGGTCTGATAAGTAAGTTTGCAAATGACACCAAAATAGGTGGTGCAGTGGACAGTGAAGAAGAATACCACAGAGTACAATGGGACTTTGATCAGTGGGCCAATAGGCCAAGGAGTGGCTGATGGAGTTTAACTTAGATAAATGTGAGGTGTTGCATTTGGTAAGGAGAACCAGGACAGAACTTAAACAATTGATGGTAGGGCCCTGGGGAGTGTTGCTGAACAAAAAGACCTGGGGTGCAGAATATCAGTTCCTTGAAAGTGGAGTCACAGATAGACACGATGGTGAAGGCAACATCAGGCACACTTAGAAGTTGGGATATCATGTTGCAGCTGTACAGGACATTGGTGAGGCCACTTTTAGAATACTGCATACAAATTCTGGTCACCCTTCCACAGGAAGGAAATTGTTAAACTTGAAAGGGTGCAGAAATGAACACAATGTTGTTGCTGGGATTGGAGGGTTTGAGTTACAGGGACAGGCTGAAAAGGCTGGGGCTTTTTGCCCTGGAGCATCAGAGACTGAGGGGTGACGTTATAGAGGATTATAAAATGACGAGGGGCATGGATAGGGTGAATAGCCAAGGTCTTTTTTCCTAGAGTGGGGGAGTTCAAAACCAGAGGGAATAGGTTTAGATGAGAGGGGAAAGATTTAAAAAGGATGAGGGGTAACTTTACGCAGAGGGTAGTGCGTGTATGCAACGAGCTGCCCGAAGAAGTGGTGGAGGCAGGTACAATTACAACCTTTAAAAAGGTACCTGAATAGGCATATGAATATTAAAGGTTTTGAGGGATATGGGCCAAATGCTGGCAAATTGGGGACGACATCAGATTGGGATGTCTGGTCGGCATGGACAAATTAGACTGAAGGGTCTGTTGCCATGCTGTACGACTCTATATTTGCTCCTGAACAAGCAATGCACTGTTGTTAAAATTCTTATCTTATGTGTAATTGCCTCCAATCCAACAAAACTCTGAAATATCTGTACCCCTCTAATTATGGTCTCTTGCACTCTTGCGTATTCAGCTGAATAATTGCTCCACCATTGGTAGCTGTGGTATCAGTTGCTCAAGTTCTTAAGACCAAAAGGTATAAGAGAAGAATTAGAGTCATTTGGACCAACAAATCTGTTCCGTCATTTGATCATGGGTGATATGTTTCTCATATCCATTCTCCTACCTTCTCCCCATAATCCATGACCCCCTCACTACTCAAGAACCTGTCTCTGTCTTAAATACACTCAATGACTTGGCCTCCACAGCCTTTTGGAGCAATGAGTTCCACAGATTTACCAACTTCTGGCCGAAGAAATCCCTCATCTGAGTTCTAAAGGGTGGTCCCTTCATTCTGAGGCTGTGCCCTCGGGCCGTCTCTCGTACTAGTACAAACAGCTTTTCAACGTTCACTCTATCCAAGCCTCTTAGTATTCTATAAGTTTCAATGAGATCCCCTCCATCGAACTGAGATCCAGAGGCCTAGCCTGCTCTTTTCAAGCCTTTCATTCCCAGGATCATTTTTGTAAACTCCTCTGAACTGCTGCAATGCCAGCACATCCTTCCTTAGATTCAGGGCCCAAAACTGCTCCCAATATTCCAAATATTCTGATAATTCTGACCAGAACCTGATAGAAACTCAGTACTACAACCCTGCTCTTGTATTCCAGCCCTCTCAATTCAATGATTACATAGCATTTGCCTTCCTAACTGCCAACAGAACCTGCATGTTACCCTTAAAAGAATCTTGAACGAGGACTCCTGAGTCCCTTTATGCTTCAGATTTCTGAAACCTTTTGCCATTTAGAAAATAGTGTACACTTCTATTCTTTCTACCAAAGTGCATTAACACCTCATACTTTCCCACATTGTATTCCATCTGATAATTCTTTGCCTACTCTCATAGCATGTCCAAATCCTTCTGCAGTATCCTGCCTCTTCAACAACATGTATCCCTCCACCTATCTTTGTGTCATTTGCAAACGTAGCAACAATGCCTTCGGTTCCTTAACAATCTGATGAATGTATATCACGAATAATAATGGTCCCAAGATGGACCCCTGCAGGACTCCACTAGTCACCAACTGCCATGCTGAAAAAGACCTCGCTATCCATACTCTTAGCATTCTAGAGTCCTTCCATGACCTTCATTGATTTCAATCATTCCTGAAAGATCACCACCAATGCCTCCATCAGCTCCTCAACTATCTCCTTTAGAACCCTGGTGCGTAATGCATCCAGTCCAAGTGATTTATCCAACTTCAGATCTTTCAGCTTCTCCAGCATCTTCACCTTAGTGATGGTCACTACACTCACCTCTGCCCCCTGACTTTTGTGAAGTCCTGCTAAGCTAATAGTTTCTTCCACCATGAAGATTGATGCAAAGTACATATTCAGTTCTTCCACCATTTCTTTGTGCCCCATTACTCCTCCTCCAGCCTCAATACAAGGCAACTTTTCCACATCTAACCTGTCAATACCTTAAGAATCTTATATTTTTCAATAAGGTCACATCTCATTCTTCAATGTTGCAATGAGTACAAGCACAACCTACTAGACCTCGCCTCATAAGACAGTCCCTCTTATTATCAGTCATAGAGTCATACAGCATGAAAACAGCCCCTTCAGTCCAACCAGTCCATTCCAAACATAATCCTAAACTAATCTAGTCCTACCTGCCTGCTCCTGACCCACATCCCTCCAAACCTTACCTATTTATTTCTAGACTGCCTCTAATGCCAGTGCTAAAGGGCACAAAATTATTCACAGTATTTCAGCTGTGGTCTGATTAGTCTCTTGAATAGGTTTAGCAAAAGCTTCCCACTCTTATAGTCCATTCCCTTTGACACAGAGGTCAACAATCCACTTGTTTTCCCCATGACCTGCTGAATTTGGATGCTAGCTTTTTGTGATCCATGGACGAGGACTCTCAAATCCCTTTGTTCTGTAGATATCTGCAGTCCTTCTCCATTAAAATAATATTCAACTCTGCTATTATTCCGGCCAAAGTGCATAACTTCACATGTCCCCAAGTTATTTTCCACCGGCCAAGTTTTTGCCCTTTCTTTTAACTTGTCCATATCTCACAGCAGACTCTCTGCTTCATCCTCATCACTTGTCTTCCAGTACTTTGGGTCATCTGCAAACTTAGCTATAGTGTATTTACTTTCCTCATCCAAATTATTAATATACATTGTAAATAATTATGGCCCCAGCACGGATCCCTGTGACACTCAAATAGTTACAGTGTGCTATGCTGAAAATGCTCCTTTATCCCAACTCTGTCTTATTAGTTAACCAATCTCTATCCATGCTAATATCCCACCTCCAACACCACGGGCTCTTATCTCATTAAGTAGCCTGAAGTGTGGAACACTATCAAACCATCTGAAAATCCAAACATATAAAATCTCCTGCTTGCTACCCAACAACTGATATTTGGATTTAGGCTGTAGATAAACTATGACCTAACCGAATGGTGGAACAGATTGAAGAGCTAAATAGCCTGTCCCTTTTGCTATGTTCTACAGTCTACAAAGTTTTGTTCCCTCCTGAAGCAGTTCATGAAAATTCTTAATCACAATATAGTATGTATCAAGAAGAATGTTTGATCTACAAGCTTTACGGATCTAAAGAAAGATTTAAAAACAATTTGCAGTGTAGTGCCTTAAACAATAAAAAGTAAGATGTTTCAAATTATTTTATTGAAACAACCTTAAGCTAGACCTTGCTATTTAAGTATGATTTGGTTGAAGCATCACACCAATTTGACAAGCTGTAATAAAACAAAGTTCGAACCCAGATTTTTATAACAGTTCTCAGTTCACAAGCTCATTGAAAGTTAAAAACGAAGAACAATCCGTTGAGATTCCCTTATTCATCTTTTGAAAGCAATGGAATGTGAGATTAGCCATGACTATGCATCGCCCTCTCGTTTGGCTCCTCATACATTCTTTAAGCTCTTCTTGTCCATAAAGCTTCTTCCTAGAGCTTTGACACAATTCCCATAAAACTGCTGGCCACCAGTTCTCCTTCCAACCTCAAGATAAAACTGTAAATGGTCCCTCTCCTCAGGTTCTGTTACAAATCCTTTCAAACCGCTGTCACCACTATCCCTAAAGAAATTTGCAAGATAAATTACAAAAAAGGGTAATCTCTCTTTCCTGCCCAAGTTTCTTAATAGTGTCACTAACAGTCCCTATTAACAGCTGTTCACCCTCCTAGCCAGATCTTTATCAACTCCTCTGTCTATCCAACTGCTCTTCTCTCTCTTCGGGCTCTATCCTTTACCTTATCATTTACTCCTGACCCCATCCCCCTCCCTATTTTCTGCATATAAACTGATGTTTTCCCAGCCACCATCAGTTCTGAGGAAGGGTCACCAGAAACGAAACGTTAACTCTGATTTTTTTCTTCACAGATGCTGCCAGACCTGCTGAGCTTTTCTAGCAACTTCTATTTTTGTTCCTGATATACAGCATCCGCAGATCTTTCAGGTTTTTTTACTTAATATTGTTGCCTCCCAAATCTTGTTCATCTTTTACACATCTCCTGGCTTCTGCCTCTGCCACTATCTCAGCTCAACTGTTGTCAACACTTCCATTCATACATGTGCCAACTTATTTCACAGTGGATCTTGGGTTCAGTCACAACCTATGCACCATTCTTCACCAAGTTGTTATTTTCATTCTTGAATTTCATTTCCTGAATGGCCTCGATTTCACCTGTACCTACAACCACCTCCAGTTTTACAACACTTCACTCTGAACTCTTTCTACGCCTCTAGCCTTTCTTCACTCTTCTAATGGCACCTGTCTTCAGTTACTTCCTCAGCACGTACCAGAAAACCCTCTGCAAGTTTATCCATCTAACTCTCCTCCACATCGTCCTTATGACACAATACAGACGTAATGCTACTGTTGCTAGATGTATTTTATACCATTTTATCACGTTTTCAATAGTTAAAGAGTGTCATTCATAAAATAAAGCCCAGATTATTCTAGCTACTTTACAAATTAAAGAATCCACACCACAGGATTAACCCTGTGCACTCCCACACCCAAGTTCATTGCTGCTAAATAACCAAACAATAATTTACTTTTATTTGTGAGTCAACGAGTCAGTAACATATCTGCAAAATGAATCCAGAACATTGAACTGAGAAATAATGTAGTTTGCAAAAGATACTTACGAATAAGATCATGAAAAACAGTGTATCTGGTATCATTCAAAGGAATTGAGTATTTTCCATTTACTATTCCAAGCTTAGCACCATCTTCAAATGGATGCTGCTTAAAGCACAAAAGGTAGAGGATGCAACCTAAAGCCTAAAGAAAGTTACAAAATACATTTCACTAAAAGCTCCATGTTAATTACACAGGTTAACTCAATGCACAACTGCAATTATCAGCAGGTACTTGCCTGCAGGTCAATTTGCCTTTTTCTATTCGGGGAGGTTTTGCTAAAATTATTCAAGGTACTTGGTAAACGACTCCTGGAATACTGTGAACATCTAAGGAAAGATGTCCAGAGAAGGTTCACTGGGCTGATAAGTAAAGAGGGACTGTCGTACGAGGAGAGGTCAAATAGATAGTGCCTGTGTTCATTGGAATAAAGAAGAATGAGAGGCAACCTAATTGAAACATACAAGATTCTTATGGGACTTGATACAGCAGATGCAGAAAAGCTGTTTTCCCTGTGGGAGAGTCAAGGGTCAAAGGGCATAATCTCAGAAAAATCAGTTGCACATTTAAGACAGTGATAAGGAGGAATTTCTTCTCTCTTTGCAATTCTTTACTGCAGAGGGCTGTTGACACTGGGTCATAAAATACATTCAAGCTGAGATAGAAGGATTTTCAATCCATAAGGGAATCGAGGGTTATGGGGAAAAGGGAGGAAGGTGAAGTTGAGGATTATCAGATTAGCCATCATCTCATTGAATGGCAGAGCAGATTCAATGGGCTTAATGGCTGACTTACTCTCCTCCATTTTATGGTATTATTGATAAATGCTGCTGGGTACCCTGAACCTGATGAGATGCATATTAAAGAAAATAGCTACAGAGATAGGGAAGGTGCCAGTGGAAAACTGGCAATGTAGCACACATTCAAAAAATGGAGAAAGACAAGAACAGGTAATTGTAACCCACTTATCTTAACATCTGTCATTGGGAAAATGTTAAAGTCTATGATAAAGGATGTTTTAGCAAAGCATTTAGACATACATAAAATAACCAAGCAGAGTCAGTGTGGTGTCACGAAGGGGAAATCATGCCTGACAAAATTCTTTGAGGGCATAACAAGCAGTACAGATAAAGAAGAACCAGTAGATGTGATAAATTTAGATTTCCGAAGGCTTCTGACAAGGTACTGTACGTTAGACTAATTAATAAAATAAATTTAAGGTGTTGGGAGTAGAATAGTGACATGCAGACAGAATTGGGTACAGTTGGGTAAAGGGAACAGTTTCAAGATGGCAACCAGTCGCTAGTACCGCACGGATTAGTGCTGGGGCCACAATTATTTTTCAATATATAGCAATGACTTGGTAAGTGAACTAAATGTACTATCGCCAAGTTTTCAAGTGATATGAAATTAAATGAGAAGGCAAGTAGTGAGGATGGTACAAAGAGTCTACAGACAGATATATAGATAAATTAAGTAAGTACTGGCAGATGGAATATAATGTTGGAAAACATGAAGTTGTGCACCTCGGCACAAAGAAAGGAAAAGCAGAATATTATTGTAATGGAGAAAGACTGTAGAACTCTGGAGCAAAGAAGGATATGATAGTCCTGATGCATAAATCATAAAAAGCTAGTATCCAAGTTCAGCAGGGGATATGGAAGGTAATTGGGATGTTGGTCTTTATTTCAAAGGGAATGGACTATAAAAATATAGTACCTTGCTGAAACTATGCAAGTCACTTCCCAGAGTACAAATGGAATAACAAGCACAGTTTTAGCCCCTTTTCTGAGTAAAGATATATTGGCATTGGATCCAGCCCAGAGAAGATTCACGAGGTTGATTCTGGACTTTTTTACATGGAGAGATTGAGAAGATTTGGATTGCACTCATTGGAGCTCAGGAGAGAAGGAAACAAATTTATTGAAACATATAAGATTCTTAGGGGGCTTGACTATCTTGTGGGAAAACCTAGGATCAGAGGGCATAATCTCAAAGTAAGAGGTCCATGGGGGAAACTGTACCAAAGGTTTAGATTAGTAATGGAGAGGAGCAAGGAGAAATGGAACTAGAACTTGCATAAAGGATTAACTTTAGTGGAACAAGAAGGGATCTATCCAGGGTGAAAGGAAAGTAAAAACTGACACAATGACGAGTAATGGAACAGCAAATGGTAAAGAGAAAATCTTTCAAGGATGCTAAGAGGGAACCAACGACAGATGAAAAGGGAGATGGAGATTATGATGAATGCATGTCAGATGAATTTTTCAACTGAAAAGCAAGCCAAATACAAGTTGAGAGAGGAAGTAAAGAGAGAAATAAGACTGGCAGAGACAGAATGGCAATTAAAACAAAAACAACTCCAAAAAGCTTCTAATGGCATGTAAGTAACAAACAGGTCTGTAAGGTGGAGTGGTCCTTTGTAGGATCAAAGAAGGTGATATGTGCATGCATAGAGTCACAGGGCAAGGTCAGTTCCATTACTAAGTAACTGGCATCTGTTACTGAGGAGAGGATGCTGACAAAATAGCAGAATATATGAAGATGACAGAGGTAATGATTGGGATGAAAATTTCTCAGTAAAGCGTACTTGAAATGTTGGCTCTGATTAGTGTTGATAAGTAACCTGGTCTAGATAGCTTCCATCTCAGGTTGTTCAAGGAATTGGGAGTGAAGATAACAGAAAGACTTGCCATAATCTTACAAACAAATCAATTAGAGCTTGAAGAACTAGCACAGATTTATAAAAGACAGAGCATGTTTGACTCATCTAATAATCCAGAGACAAGAGTTCAGATCCCACCATAGCAGCTGGATAATTTATACTCAACTAACTGAATAAATCTATAATCAAGAGTTAGCTTCAGACACGGTGACCATGCTGCTACTAGATTGTTGTAAAAGTCCATCTGGTTCACTAAATCCTTTCGAGAAAGAAATCTTATTGTCCTTAGCCGACGTGGCTTACAAGTGGCTCCAGGTCCACAACAATATTGTTAAACCTTCAACTAGCAAGACACTTAGTTGTATTCAAGGCATTTCACCAATAGCTTTTGAAAAGCAATTAAGGATGTGCAATAAATCTAGCTGTACCAGCAATCTCCATGTCTCGCAAATGAATGCAAAACTGAATTAACAAATACAAACATACCCATATATCCTGTTTTTCATTGATTGGATAGTTGGAATAAAGATCTATTATTTCTGGTGTCCGGTACATTGGGGTTGTGTTTCTTGTAATCTGGTAAACAAAGACAAAACAAAAAGCTTCTTTATGTTTCATTATTCGTCATGGTTGAAATGAAAATACACGTTGATGCTTAGTAGGAGTATCATTGACAACATAATTCCATTTTACTTCAGAAGATAAATCAATTCCTACTAGAGATTATAAGGCTAGAGGTTACAAAACAGCACATACAAACAGAAGTCTAAAATTATGAAATATGAATCCCACAAGCCGTGTTAAGATTTTACAAACAATGACCAGACCAGACATAGAGTAATGTGCTCCATTTAGGTTACTGAAGCACAAACCAACAACCAGAATCACTGGATTCTGATTTACAAATAGATATTGGACACTAGCCAAATTAGAAATACAGCCTTAAGTCTTAAACAGATCAGCTCCAGGGTTGACAGGTAGTCAGACTACCCCGACCCAGGTTCAAGTCGAACCTGTTCCAGAGAAGTGTAACAACATCCCTGAAGAAGTTGATGAGTAAAAAAGAGTAAAGCTCTCTTAAGGGCTCTTGTGGTGCAATGTACCAACCTTTGAACCAGGAGGCACAGGTTCACCTCGTCTAGAAGTGTGTAATAACATGTCTGAACAAATTCATTAAAAGATATTAAAAGCTGAGCTTGGGCACTGTTTGTCAATTGTTCGTTTAACTAGCAAATCAGGTGACTTGGTGGAAGTTTTATATATGCATTAAAAGACACTGAACTCTCAACAAAAAACATTTGAGTTCTGCTCTGCTCCAAACAGGCAGGTGACAAAGTAAATGAAGAAGGTTGGGATCATGAAGAAATAATAAACCTACTATGTAGCAACCTTTGCAAACTGGTGCAGAAGATCACAATCAGTCAACAAGCCAAGTACACCTGCTCCCTCTGTAGGAAGACCAAGATGGAGAGGTCGGTACTTGGTATCTGTCCTTGTGGATCCTGCGTGAAAACAGTAGCTGGAGGGAATTGAGCCCACAACACCACCTTAGCCCTTATTCTGAAGTTAGCTGACTACAGGAGTTGAAGCATCTATAAACAGTGGCTGAGGAATCTGATCCCTTCCAAAGATTTATGTATCAGCAAACTTGTTAATAAAAGTTTGAATGAAAAAGCAAACAAAAAGAGCTGAGTTCTTGGTTACACTGTCCCTAGGGATAGTGTTTGTTAATTAGATGATTAGGTAATTTGATAGCAGGTTCATTCACATTTTAAAAACTGAGCACTTCTTCAGCAGGCTATCAGTTTCTGGACAGGGAAATGGACGATAAGGGAAAGTGAAAACTGATGCTTGTACTAGACTACAGACTTACGATAAAACCTTTCAAAATCTCTGAAAATCTTTTACTGCCTAATTCAACATATGGATATCTAAGTGTGATGTCTGAAACACCATTAGGGTAACTCCTCTGCTCTTCTTCAAAATGGTGCCATGACAACTTTGACATCCATGTGTGCAGACAGATAGGCCTCAGTTTCATTTTTCATCCAAAATAAGCACCACTGACAGCACAATATTTTCTCATACTGCACTAGAGAGTCAGCCTTGATTTTTGTAAATCAAGCCTCGACAGGCAGCTTGAATCTGCAAACGTGACACAGAAGCACAAGTGCAACCAAATGAGTTACAGCTGACAGCCACAATAATACAATAAAAGTACATCCACAAAGACTCCAACAAGTTTGTCAGATGTTTCCCATGTTGACTTTGTCTAATTCCAATCATATTTTCTAAGTGTCCTGTTATCATGTCCTTTATAATAGACTTTAGCTTTTTCCCAGGACTGATGTTAGGCTAACTGATGTATAATTCACTGCTTTCTGTCTACTTTGTTTTTAAATAATGAAGTACATTTGCCACTCTCAGAGAGGTCTGTTTCAGAATTCACAGAATTTTGGAAGATGACAATTAACACATCCACTATTTTCTTGGGGACTTCTTTTAGTACTCTAGGATGCAGATCATCGGGCACTGGGGACTTTTCAGCTTTCCAGCACAAATTTTTCACTAATACTAATTTCCTTCAATTATTCATTCTCGTTAGACCCTTGATTCCCTCGCATTCCTGGTTAGTTATTTATGTCTTCTTCTATTAAATCAGACCCAAAGTATTTGTTTAATTACCCTGCCATTCCTTGCTTTCCATTCTCTGTGTCCCCATTTCAAACTGTAGGGCCCTACATTGGGTTCACTTATCCTTTTCATTTTACATCTTTCTAATCTGTTTTTCCCTTTTACATACTATTGTAATAGTACTTTAAGTATTCAAGCACTTTTACTGCTATGGTACCTTTTATCATCTTATGTTCTTTGCAGCCAGTTAAGTACATTGGAATGTTGTCAGTTGTAATATAGGGAAATACAATAGCCAATATGCACCCAGCAAGATTTGACTGACAGCAATGATCAACCAGCCTGTTTTAGCCACATTAATGATGCCAACTGAAGGATAAATATTGATTGGTATGCACTCACCCAGTCCCCCGCATTAGTTTCCCTAGTACTTTCCCTTTGGTCATAGTTACTGTATAGATTTGTGACATTCAGTAGATATTCTTAACTAATAATTAAAGTACCAAGTACCTCTTCTTCCACCATTGCTCTTTTCTGTGCAGACCAGGTGTAGTCAGGATAGTGTGCTATACTTGTGGCACTGCCAAAATCACAGAGTTTAATCGTGCCCTGATGACTGACCAAGAGGTTTTCGACCTGTATTACAGAAGAAACAATGGAGCAAAAGTAAGATCAGCAACTATGATACTGTGATACCAACAAATTAAGTTGGGTTTTTAGTTGAAAAATCTATGGTGGGTGATGCTTTAAATAAAACTAATGTAGGCATAACTTTTCCAAGGAATTACCGGAAAAACTTCCAAGGGGCCTACACATTTTTGATTTAGTCATGCCTTACTTTTGTTGCAATGTACAAACAAAAAAATTGCTTTTATTCATAACAGTGTTTTCTTTCTGGACAGTGGGACATTCCATAAGCATATTTATAACTGCAGAGCATTAACTGCTCGGAAAGGTGGAAAAAAATACCAAGTCTGAAAGCTACATGAGTCAGCTCTCAATGTGAAATTAAACTGCATCCTTCGATTTGGGATTCAATTTAAGAGATGAATATAAAAAAAACAACTCAGTTCTGTCAGAGAGTTCAAATAATTAGTATATCAAACCAAAACTGATAGGTGAGTAACATTTTACAAGACTCAGTAATTCCAAAATATCTCAACATTTGGCAATGAAGAAAAAGAATCAAGGTACTAGTGAATTCCATTAATTGTAAGATTATACAGCACAGGTCATCAGCCCAACTATAAGACCATTAGATGTCGGAGCAAAATGAGGCTATTCAGCCCATCCTTTATGATCTGATAATTCTCAACTCCACTTTCCTGCATTTTCCTCATAACTCCCAATCCCATGTTGATTAAAAATCTGTCCTCCTCTGACTTGAATTTATGTGAATTCCACAGATTCACCACCTTCTGAGAAGAAATTCCTCCCCACTAATCTGTGTAGTAGTAATAACAATAATAATCAGAGCATGTGAGGAAGAGACAGAGGATACAAGTTTACATGTATGACAGCACATATGGCTAGAGTTTGCAAAACAGTAACAAAAACCTAAAAGCTCTGTATCTGAAAGCCCATAGTGTTTAGAACAAAAGAGATGACTTGTCAGCTCAATTAGAAATGATTAAGGTAAACGGTAAGATTGACATAATCTCATTATGAACGACAACTGGTGATGGTTTAACTTGAGGGTCACCATGCCTCAGGCAAGGTGGGCCATTCATGGCAACCTCCTCCAGTCCAGGAATTGAACCTGCGCCATCACCAGCCAACTCAGCCTACCAATCCTCCATTGAAATAAGTACCTATGAAATGACAGCCATAAAAGAAGTGTGGCTGCAAGGTGACTAATGATGGGACTAGGTATTTAAAGATACATGCCATTTTGGAATGACAGAAAATAAGAAAAGAGTGGACACACAGCTGTATTAATCAAGGATGCCATTAATACAATAGAGAGAAGTTACATTAGTTCTAAGGACTGGGATATTGTATTAGTTTGGGTAGAGATGGGAAATAGCAATGGGAATAAATCAATTGTGGGAGTTGTAATAATGCTGTGGAATGGAGAACACAGGAAGAAGTAGTAGGATAAATGTAAAACACTGTGGATGCTGCACATCTGAATTAAAAACAAAGTGCTGGAGAAACCAGCAGATCTGGCAGGATCTATGGAGGGAGAAACAGTCAAATATTTTGAGTCCAATATGACTTTTCTTTGAAACTAAGAAATAATCACAGCTTTTAAGAAAGATATTCATGGCTGATTTTAATCTAAATATAGATGGGATGAATCAAATCAGCAAAGGTAGTCTGGAAGATGGGTTTATTGCATGTATTCAGGACAATTCCCAACAGCAAGACATTCTAGAGCTCACCACAGAGAGCAGACTATTCTAGCTATGGGTAGTGTAAAATGAGGGAGGATTAATAAATTAGTCTCATAGCAACCTCATTGTAAAGGTGCCCTCCAGCAGCAGTGGTCATAACATGATTGATTTTTGCATGCAGCTTGAGGAAACCAAAAATAAAACTATGATTAGTATTTTAAACTTAAACAAAGGCAATTACAAGGGTACGAAGATGGAGCTAGCTCAAGTGAGCTGTGAAGTTAGGCTAAGGTGTAAGCTGCAGAAGTGCAGAGGTAGATATTTAGGGAACTATTTCATAACAGTCTGTGAAGATACATTCCAGAGAGAAAGACAGCCTTAGGGAGAAGGATGCACCATCATTTGCTAATTAACGGAGTTGAAATAAAAAGCATGTAATTGTCCGAGGATTAGTGTTAAGTCAGAAGATTGGGCTGAATTTAAAAACCAGCAAGGAATGACTATTAAGTAATCTGTAGGAAGAAATTAGAGTATTAAAGAATGCTAGATAGAAATACCTACATGTATTTAAAAACTACAAGAGTACCTAAAGGAATGTAGGTCCTCTAGATCGTGTGTCTGAGCAGTCAATAGTAGGGAAGAAGGGAATGGTGATGCAACAAACAAGACTGTGTCTGGCTGTCTTCGCTGTAGAAGACAGAAATGACATACCAGAATTATTTGTGAATCAAGCAGTGAAAGGGATGGAGGAATTTAAAACAATTGCAATCACCAGAGGAGGAGTATTAAGAAGTAGTACTGAGTACTAGAGGCATAGATAGAGTGCATAGCCAGAGACTTTTTCCCAGGGCGGAAATGACTATTACGAGGGGGCATAATTTTAACGTGACTGGAGGAAGGTATAGTGGAGATGTCAGAGGTAGGTTCTTTACACGGAGAGTGGTGGGTGCGTGGAATGCACTGCCAGCAGTGGTAGTGGAGTCAGATACATTAGGGACATTTAAGCCACTCTTGGATAGGCACATGGATGATAGTAAAATGTAGGGTATGCAGGGTAGTTTGATCTTAGAGTAGGATAACAGGTCGGCACAACATCGTGGGCCGAAGGGCCTGTACTGTGCTGTACTGTTCTTTGTTCTATGTTCTAAAACATAGGAAGAAAGGCTAGCAAGTCACCAGAACTTTATGGATTTCATCCAAGTATTCAAAAAATGATGTGGAGGTGCCAGTGTTGGACTGGAGCGTACGAAGTCAGGAGTCACACAACACCAGGTTAAAATCCAACAGGTTTATTTGAAATCACAAATTTTCGGACCACTGCTCCTTTGTCAGGTGAAGTGGAGGGAAATGCACAGGCATAGAATTTGTAGGCAGAGAGATAATTGCAAAATAATTCTAGGTAATTAAGAGTGTCAAAAGATAGTACAAATGGTGTGAATGGATTGTCAACAGGCTGAATAGTCTTTGCAGGTCATCAGAAGTGTCAAATGGTGTGAGTAAAGTGTCACCAGCTGAATAGCAAGTGAAAGGATAACCTATGATCCAATTACTTAAGGCAGAGAGATAATTACAAAAGATCAAAAATATGATGGTGCTAGAAACAAACCAAATAGCTGGAATAACATGATAGTTAAATGAGTCGCTTGACAAGGGTCTAACCAAAGCAACAATCCAAAACTGTACAAACTAATTAGGATAGAGAGATCACAACAAGTTATCAAGGTGATGATGTCTAACGAAGATGTTACAAACACAGAACAATATAGGGAGGTTACATGTAGCACGACATGAATCCACGATCAAGGTTGTGGCCATCTTCATGGGTTTGGAACTTAGCTACCAATTTCTGCTCCGCAATTCTGCGCTGTTTTGCATCTCAAAGGCTGCCTTGGAGGATGTTTACCCAAAGATTGGAGGCTGAACATCCTTGACCGCTGAATTGTTCCCCAACTGGGAGGGAACACGCCTGCCTGCAGATTGTTGCATGTCCCAGTCAGGAAACACTTCAGCGGTCAAGGTCTTTCAGCCTCCGATCTTCCGGAAAGTGTCCTCCAGGGCGGCCTTCAAAATACACAACAACGCAGAATGGCTGAGCAGAAACCGATAGGTAAGTTCCATTTCCACGAGGACGGCCTCAACCATGATCATGGGTTCATGTCGCGCTACACGCAATCCGTTTGTAAAATCTTCCTTACTATTCTGTTTTGGCACCATCACCTTGATAATTTGTTACGTGCGCTCTGCCTTAACTAGCTTGTGCAGTTTAAATTACTTGTTACTTTGGTTAGACCCTTGTCTTGCGACTCTATCACGTTATTCCAGCCACTTGGTTTGTTTCTAGCACCATCTTATTTTTGATTTTTTGTCAACACTCCACTCACACCATTTGTACTATCTTTTGACACTCTTAATCACCTGGAATTACCTCGCAATTATCTCTCTGCCTATAAATTCTGTGCCTGCACATTTCCCTTCCCTTTACCTAATTAAGCAGCAACACTCTGAAAGCTTGTGATTTCAGATAAACCCGTGGGACTATAACCTGGTGTCACATGACTTCTGTCAAGGATTCTACAGAAGATGCTGTGGAGATAGAAGATGTTTTAATTTTCCAAAATTCCCTAAATTCCGGAAAGGTCCAATCAAATTGGAAAACAGCAAAAATTAATTAATCCGTTCAAGAAAAAAAGGACATTAGAAAAACAGGAAAATTAAAATTTCACCAGAAAAACAGTGCAGAAAAATTGTTTTGTCATAAAACTTTAGATTTCTTTTGTTGTTGTCACCCCACCACCATCGAGCCCAACCCCGCCCCCTCACAGTAAACTGTGACTATACATTTAATGTATATTAAACGTTAGTCAATTCATGTACCTCAAGTTCACCAGCATATAAAGAAAGCATGAATTGAACTCCACAACAGATTCAGATGCAAATAAAGCATTGCAGCTTATGCAAGTATACATTCTCATACTAAAATGAAGACAATCCCATAAAATTGAGTCTTGACTTGGCAAGACAGACACAACATTTCCAAAGAGTTCAACAGCATCAAGGAAACATGAGATTTGCTGACGATAAGTCTGGTTAAAGCGGTTGTTTTTAAGAATTGTCCTAAACAAGAAAAGCGAGGTTGAGCGGCAGAAATGTGTAGATAGAAACTTCCAGATCTCAGCATCTACATAAAAGAAGGCAACAATAGTGAAGCAATTATAATTGGAAATACACATCTTTACAAGCATTCTGGAAACTTGTGGGTTTGAGGGAGGTTACAAGAAGGTTAGGGCAAAACTGGGGAGGGATTTGAAGATGAGAAAACAGAAGTCGATACTTTGCTTCACCAGAAGCCAATTCACAAGTGACAAGTGAACATCATTTGCTACGAATTAAGTCACTTGTTGCATGAACTCAGTTGACAGGATAGAATGTGGGAAACCAGCAAACAGTGCTTGAAATAGTCATGCCTTGAGATCGTGAGGGCATGGATGAACCTTCTCATTCTGTATTGCTACATTTTACTATAAGCATTTGGAAATCTAAAAAAAATGTAGTGAAGAATTCAGCCATAAGTAAGAAAACTCAAATACTTGCCCTTTTTTAAAAAAGCAACTTCATTTTTACAATCATCATATCGCTCATATTCTGACACTGCTAGGGGTGAAAAGCTGTTCCTTACTTTGAGATCTCGATGAATGATTGGTGGTTTCTGCTTGTGCATGTGTTGCACTCCACGACAAGTCTGATAAAATATCTTCAGCACTGTGTTACATGGCAGTGGATTATTTGCTTCAGCCCTCTTCAAAAATTCAACCAACTGGCCTAGGAACAAAAGAGAGCAATTGATGAATCGCTATCGCTGTATGAAGTTGTGAATTTCTATACAAAAGCCAATTACTTTTCTTTTGCATCTAGTCAGATTAAACATCAACCAAACAGCGTCCACAAAGTATTAAGCAAAATTATTTTACATCCATTCCAGTATTTAACTTTACCTTTACATAGTTCTGTGAGTATAAGATATTCTCCTTGTCCAGTATCAGATTCTTCTTTCCCTATGGAAGCCGCTGAGCTAAACTGTACAATGTTTGGATGCCCTGAAAGCTTTTTCTGAAGTTGCTTGGTCAAGGATTATATAGTTCATTAAGCTATAAAAGGTGTGTAAACATTTAATGTTTGTTAATCTTTGATATGGATGTGTAATCTTTTAAAACCATCTTGCTCACAGGAGAACACGAGGAAAGTACGACAAATGAAATGGTGAATGCAGTGATACTGCACTCTTTGTAATATTGCTATAAGCTCCAACTTAAAGCCTCATTCAAGTGTGGATATTCAGGACAGAAACGTTTTCAAAGTACAGCTGAATAGTAACTATTTTGATGGTTGTTATGGGTCACAAGATGACAAACAGCTCTTAATCATCTACTTAAGCAAAATTGCTCAAGATGGAGATGCAGTCCATGCAACGAGCATCCAGTATTGGAAGGGTATATTAACAAGTAATATACAATCAAAGACAAAAGAATTGTAGTGTCCATTATAGGTTCAGCCACTGCATGTGTGCAACAGTAAATTGCTTCTGAGTCTTTACAACCTGTATTTGCTCTGCATGGTTGGGGAAAAGATAGCAACTATAAAGATACTTGTTCCAGAGAACTGGCATGGACTCAACAGGCTGAATGGCTTTCTTTTATACTGTACTTATACTATGATTTAAATCCATCAAACTATTCAGTATCATATGTAATTCAGGTCCACGTTAAAAAGCACCAGACCGACATTCAATCTCAGTCCAGCCATAACAACCTGTTCTTTCTACTATCATCTGCAAGATTAATCAAAGCTGCATGGTTAAATAGACTCCTAGCCTATTGTAGATTATAACTAACAGCCAAACTCTAACGCACATAGAATAGAAAATCAAGGAAAGCAGCTGATGATTTTTTTCTAGGTACTTGCTGCCTCAAGGATAAGTAAGACATTTATCACCAACATCTCTGTATATTTTGGGAATTAATATTTAAAAACTTCTTTTGCAGTGCCAGAAAAGACTTATTTTACCAAAGAATATTTTCAGAGAAAAAAAGGAACATTAAAGATGAGGTAACATCAGCCCATCCCTGTGATTGAAAACATTGCCATTACCTGGAAATTATTTATCTGCTCACATAACATAGGGAGGGAAATGTAATAAAAAATTAACCAGTGAGTAATCTCAAATAAAGTTTTCACACTCCAGTCTATTGGCTCAAGACCAGCAGTAGGAACTCCCTTGTAACATTATCCAGTCAATTTCTCAGGCCTGGATCAATATATTTGCTTAGAAAATGCAGAATGTGTATTTAGACAGACAATATCGCACCAAGGTCGAGATTTGTCCACCACCATCATTATAGCATGACAGCAACGTTGTGCTATTTCTTCCCAATCAAGGATACACACAAATACATGATTTACATCTCTTCTATGCCACAATGTTGGCAGACACAAATTTATTGATTACACTTACGCCATTTCCATGTTATAACTAGGCAAATTTTCTGTCACTTCTATGCAGAACTCCAATCACAACGCAACTTCATGCATTTAAATTAGGACTGAGCACGGATAAATGTACACCACAAAAATGCCATATCCTAATTTTAATAAATGTGGAGCTGGAAAACCACAGCCGGTCAGACAGCATCCAAGGAGCAGGAATGTCAATGTTTCGGGCCAAAACCCTTTGTCAAGATGGGAGGGGGGAGGGGAGCCCAGAAATAAACAGGGAAGTGGGTGGGGCTGGAGGGAGGTTAGGTGAGATGGAGATAGGTGGATGCAGGTAGGGGGTTATTGTGGTTGTGCCTGCATCACCAGCTTCAAAACCTCTGTCCCAACCTGTCCATTTTCCTATTCACCTATCTGCTTCGCCCTCCCCACTGACCAACCACAATAACCCAGTTCAAAGGCAAATCCCTCTTAAAGGCACAATACCGATACAATAGGCCATTTAGTCTGACCTCAGTGGTTGGTAAGATTTTAGAGTTCATTATTAAGGATGAGACTGCAGAATACTCGGAAGTGCATGGTAAAACAGGGCTGAGTCAGCACAGGTTTGTGAAGCGAAAGTCATGTCGGCCAAAACTGAGAATTTTTTGAGAAGCTAATGAGCGAAGGAGAGCCAACAGATGTGATCTATTTGAATTTCCAGAAGGCCTTTGACGAGGTGCCACACAAGAGGCTGCTAAATAAGAGAAGAGCCCCTGATGTTAGGAGAAAGGTACTGGCATAGATGGAGGATTTGCTGACTGGCAGAAGACAGACAGTGGGAATAAAGGAGTCTTTTTCAGGTTGGCAGTCAGAGGCTAGTGGAGTTCCGTAAGGGTCCGTGTCGCGACTGTAACTTTTTATGTTATACAGGATCAATCTGGACGAAGGAACTGACAGCATTGTTGCTAAGTTTGCAGATGACACAAAGATAGGTGGAGGGACAGGTAATGTTGACGAAGCGTGGAGGCTGCAGAAGGACCTGGAATGGGTTGGAGAATGGGCCGGAGAATGGGCCAATTCGCAGATGGAATACAACGTGGGAAGTGTGAGGTTATGCATTTTAGTAGGAAAGAGGTGTAGACTATTTTCTAAATGGGGAAAGGCTTTGGAAATCTGAAGCACAAAGGGGCTTAGGAGTCCTGGCTCAGGATTCTCTTAAGGTTAACAGGCAGGTTCAGTTCGCAGTTAGGAAGGCAAATGCAATGTTAGCAATCATTTTGAGAAGGCTCAAATACAAGATAGGCGATGGACTGCTGAGGCAAAATAAGGCTCTGCTCAGACAACATTTGGAATAATGCAAGCAATTTTAGGCTCTGCATCAGAGAAAGGATGTACCAGAAGGACAGGGTCCATAGAAGATTTACAAGAGTGATCCCAGGGATGATGGGCTTGTCATGTGAGGAGTGGTTATGGATGCTAGGTCTGTACAAGATGGAATTTAGAAGGATGAGAAAGGACCTGATTGAAACTTAGAGAATACCAAGAGGCCTGGATAGAACGGACATGAATTTTCCACAAGTAGGAGAGACTAGGACACGAGGGAGCAGCCTCAGAGTAATGGGACGACTCTTCACAACTGAGATGAGGAGGAATTTCTTCAGCAGGACGGTTGTTAATCTGTGAAACTCATCGCTGCAGAAGGCTGTGAAGGCCAAGTCATTAAGTGTATTTAAGACAGACAGAGGTAGGCTCTTGATTACTAAGGGTTTATGGGGAGAACGCAGGAGAATGGGGTTGACAGACATATTACCCATGCTCAAATGGTGGAGCAGGCTCAATGGGCCAAACGGCCTAATTTTGCTTCTATGTCTCATGGATCCAAGAAATTCCAGACCAAGCCGAAATTTTACTTTGTTCACAATTTAAGGCATTAAATGGTTTTCCACACCTTCCCACCCAGTCTGCTCCATATTTTCTAAATGTTTTCTCATGGGAACATGCAAACTAAAACATGAAAGGCTTAACATCTCCAAATAAACAAATATCATTTCATGCTTAAAAATAACTGAATGGTAGACTACGCTTCCAGTTTCTGCCAGTAGCTTCTGAATAATGAATACTGGAAGCCTCGCTTAGTGCCAATTTATAAAGAAAATCACAACTTTGAAAATGTGTTTCTGGTTGGTTAGATGCAGGTGCAGCATGGAATTTGCTCAAAGGCTCCTGATAACATGTATGTTTTTTTTTAACTCGTTCACAGGATTTGGCGGTCGCTGGCAAGGCTAGCATTTATTGCCCATCCTTAATTTCCTAGAGGGTAATTAAGTATCAACCACACTGCTATGGGAGACAGCAGATTTCCTTCCATGAAGAACATTAGTGAACAGCAATTAACAACAGTAACATGGTCAGTATTAGTCCAGCTTTTAAATCCAGATGTAAAATTGAAATTTCACCATCTGCCATGGTGGAATTTGAACCCATGTCCCTACAGCGTTAGTCTGGCGTTCTGGATTTTGTGCCCAGTGACATTACCATTTAGCTACTACCTCCCTTAATTGGTCGAGGTAAAACTTCACAGAGTAGGTAAAGCAATATATAAACAAAGTTAATCTTTTACTTTGAGTGTTAGTTGTCAAAATTAGACATTTCAAACAAGGCACAGAACTCACGAGGACTTCAATGTACCTCATATATAGACTGCTTGAATGGATAGACGCTAGTGTTTCAACATTAACCAGTCACGGTTTGGGACAGTTACAGTATTAATTACAAAAAACAATCAATTACAATGTGTTATTTAATAAACTGAATGCAGTCAGTCTTGCTGAAATGGTAGCAACTCTAATCCTTATTCTACTCACAGGCTGTTAGATCCAGAGATGAATGACTCTATTCATAATGATTCTAAAGGAAAAAACAAGTTTTTCCTGCTACTTATTGCCAAAGTACAAACAACTAAAACTAAATAGCTATTTAAAAAGCATTGAAGATAAACTGCAATCTATCAAAATTTCTACATTTATCTTGAATTTTTCAATACAGAGCTTTTTGCTAATGCATTTGTTTAAGGCAAACTATCACTTTTTTCAATTCAAATCTCAGAAAATCTGCCTCACCAGTCACGTAGCAATGTGTTAGTAAAATTTAACTAAACTTACCAAGTCTCTCCACTTTGCCGCTGTCAGATATGTTATGAACTTATCATAAAGATTACAGGTGGGTTTTAATGACGCAGCTATGATACAGTGGAATCAGCTACCTGAAGAAAACAAGTCTAAACTTCACAACAAATATCATGTGCAATCAAGCAGTAACTGAGTTGGAAAGCTAACATCCCAAGTTAAACACTAATCTATGTTACAAGAACTATTTGTTCAAAGTTTCACAAACATAAATTACACAAGGGTGATACAAAGCATGCAACTTACTGCGCCATTTGGTGCAATTACAACGTAACTTTGCTATTCCAATGGTATTGTGCTCAGCTTCCCAATACATATTGTATGGAGATTTGTGCTCATTCAAAACTCTGTTGCCTGTATCCTCACTTGAACAAAGTCTTGCCCACCCACCAGAAGTCAGTCAAAGCAACTTGGATGGTTAAATTACAGAAGATTTTCTGTGAAAACAAAATTATTCAAACCAATAGTTCACCAATACCCTCACCATGCTCTAAAAGGAAAGAGAAGTTTGCTCCCTGCACAGGTTCTGCAAAAACAAAGAATATTATGTAATCATGTTAAAAAGTGGTATATCAAGATTTGAGCAGTAAGGAATTTATAGGTTTACATTTTTACAAGATCTTCCTGCTGCCAAATCATTTTGCTAGCATTGGAAAAGCTGGTAGATTGACCATCCATTGGAAGCCCAACTGACCCATGTAAGTGGTGAATTAAGGGTCACTTCCTGTCTCCATTGAGATTTAGCCCACATCAGTGGGGCCTTCCGCTACATGTCTAGACCATGCAGCAGAGCCCTGTTGACCTCTGTGTAAGTCCCAGAAAGGCAAGTGGCCTCCTTTTATACGCAACCTGCCGACCCTGTTACAAATGCACCTGCCTTGGCCATCAAGTCCTGAAGTTTGGAGTTGAAGACAGAGCTTCTGGTTTATGGGCAGGGATATTACCTACATTGCCAGAAGACCACTGAACATATAAGGATTTAGTAACAATTCACACAAGTGAAAAAAAACCTTGCTGTGGTGCTTTCATTTGTTTCAATTTGACTTAACATAAAAATAATAGTGATTAAAAAAGAACATATATATGGGTTATTCCTTTTGGAAAGCAAAATAACACACAGAGTTGTGGAAGGTGAAACGCAGATCAAAACCCTTTCTCTACGAAGTTATTGATAACTGCCATGAATCAATGCTAAGTGGAATACCTCCCCAGAGCAGGAATGAAATGCATGAAGGAGGAAAACAAACTGGTATTTTTCAAAGTTAACAAGGTGTAGAGCTGGATGAACACAGCAGGCCAAGCAGCATCAGAGGAGCAGGAAAGCTGACGATTCGGGTCTGGACCGAAACATCAGCTTTCCTGCTCCTCTGATGCTGCTTATGTTCATCCAGCTCTACACCTCGTTATCTCAGATTCTCCAGCATCAGCAGTTCCTACTATCTCTGGTATTTTTCAAAGCTACTCAAAGCCTCAAAAAGTCCTGAAGCTGTTATGATATAGGTAAATGCAGCAACAAATTGGCGCACAAACTTCTATAAATAGTGATGAAATAAATTACTAGAGAATCTTTTTCTGGTCATGTTGAACGAAGAATAAACCACGGCTGTGACACCATGGCCTATTGTTGCTCATGTTTCTTACATTTCTGTGGAGAACTCCCCAGTTCTTCTTCAAAGTACTACCATGGGACATTTTATGCTCATCTGAGCAGACTAAGCTCAGTTCAATACCTCATCTGAAAGGCAATGCAGTAATTCTCCAGTAATCCACTGGACTGTTATCCTAAGTACACACTTAAATCTCTGGAACAGAGTTTCAACAACGTTCTCACTCAAAGCCAAGAGTGCTACCAGTCAAAACTAAGTACTTACTGAGATGCTTTCAAGACCTATCTGATAGGATAATATGGCAGCAATGGAGACGGTTGAGGGGACTTTACCCATTCCCTTTTGTGCAGAGATAAGGTAGAGGGAAGGGAGAATTAGTAAGGATGAAAGCTTTCAAAGTTAAAAATAGAAACAGTGATTGGAGTGAATGCTATGTGAATTAACATAGTTTCCTCAATTACCTGTTAAAAGCAGAGAAAATCAGAAAAGGCATACTTTTAAGTGTTATTATGTTAAACAAAGGGAAGGCTAACATTACACAAATATGGAGCATTTCAGAGCTCTCTCGCTAAATAAGCAATCACTTACAATAAAAACCAGTGGAACTTAAGTAACTACAAAGGATACCATAAAGCAAACTTCCTGAATGATTGCTTTGCTCTTTTCTTCTTCATTTGACAGAAGTCTCTGAAATGCAAAACATGATCATGTGAAATTTCAACAATTAAGTATGCATGACTTTTAATTGTTTAAACACACCAGATATCACAGACTTCCTGTGCAACTAAAGTTCAACATGCATGAGTCACTACACCAGTTATCTAGCCAACAAAATGATGCAGTCAGTTAATTTGTTAAATGTGACCTGCATCACATTATTAATCGCAATTATACAGTGCTTTTAATGTAGGAAGATGCCTGTAGGCACTTCACACTTAGGATTCATAATGAGACATAAATCGAAAGAGGGCAGTGAATGTTTGGACTGAGCTGCCAGAGGAATTGGTAGCAGTGGGCACAGTTATGACATTTAAGAGACATCTGGACAGATACATGGATAGGAAAGATTTAGAATGATATGGGTCCGATGCAGGCAAGTGGGACTTGTTCAGTTTGGGATGCTCGGTCGGTATGGAAGAATTGAACAAAAGGATTTGTTTCTGTGTTGGATGACTCTGACTCTGTGACTCTGACAGTGTGACTGGTCCAAAAACAAACTGTTGCTGACCAACAAGCAGGAGGCGCTATAACAAGACCTGGGTGTCCTTGTATACTCGTTGCTGAAAGTAAACATGGAGGTGCAGCAGTTGGTAAGAAGGTAAATGGTGTGTTGGTCTTCATAACGAGAGGATTCAAGTACAGGAGAAGGGATGTTTTGCTGCAATTGTACAGGGCTTTGGTGAGACCACACCTGGAGTATTGTGTGCAGTTTTGGTCTCCTTATCTGAGGAAGGATGTTCTGACGATGGGGGGAGTGCAGCAAAGATTTAAAAGACTGATTCCTGGGATGGCAGAACTGACATATGAAGAGAGATTGGATCAGTTAAGATTACATTCACTGGAGTTAAGAAGCATGAGGGGTGTATTTCATAGAAAACTATAAAATTCTAACAGGACTGGATGTGACAGCAAGGACAGAATGGAAGCCAAGAGCGGAGGGGAATGACGCTTTGATTAGGGACAACATTACGGCTATACTTATGAAGGATATTCCTGGGAATACATCCAGGGAAGTTATCTGGGTGGAAGTGAGAAATAAGAAAGGGATAATTACTGGATTGGGATTGTACTATAGATTCCTCAATAGTCAGTGGGAAATTCAGAAACAAATGTGTAAGGAGATCTCAATTATCTGTTAAGAATAACAGGATGGTTAATGGTAGGGGATTTCAACTTTCCAAACATAGACTGGAACTGTCATAGTGTTAAGGGCTTGGACGGAGAGGAATTTGTTAAAAGTGTACAAGAAAATTTTTTGATTGAGTATGTGGATATACCTACCAGAGCATGTGCAAAACTTGACCTACTCTTGGGAAATAAGGTATGGCACTTGACAAGGTGTCAGTGGGGGAGCACTTTGGGGCCAGTGATCATAATTCTACTAGTTTTAAAATAGTGATGGAAAAGGATAGACTAGTTCTAAACTGGAGGAAGGCCAATTTAGATAGCATTGGACAAAAACTTTGAAAAATTGACTGGGGAAGATGTTCGCAGGTAAATGGATGGCTGGAAAATGGGAAGCCTTCAAAAATGAGATAACGAGAGTCTAGAGACAGTATGTTCCCATTAGGGTGAAGGGCAAGGCTGATAAGTGTAGGGAATGCTGGACAACCAGAGAAATTGAGGTGTTGATTAAGAATAAGAAGGAAGCATATGCCAGATATAGACAGCAGTGATCCAGTGAATCCCTAGAAGAATATAAAGGCAGTAGGAGCATACTTAAGAAGGAAATCAGGAGGGCAAAAAGGGGACATGAGATAGTTTTGGCAAACAGGGTTAAGGAGAATTCGAAGGGATTCTACAAATACATTGAAGACAAATGGGTAACTAGGGAAAGAACAGGGCCCCTTAAAGGAATTGCAGGAAATGGGGGAGATACTAAACAAGTATTTTGCATCAGTGTTTCCTCTGGAGAAGGATATGAAAGATAGAAAACATGGGGAAATAAATGGTGACATCTTGAAAAATATCCATATTACAGAGGAAGTGGTGATGGGCATCTTAAAACTCATAAAGGTGGATAAATCCCCACGACCTGATCAGGTGTCCTCTAGAACTCTGTGGAAAGCTAGGGAAGCGATTGCTGTGCCCCTTGCTGAGATATCTGTATCATCGATAGCCACGGATAAAGTGCCGGAAGACTGGAGGTTGGCTAACATGGTGCCACCATTTAAGAAAGGTGGTAAGGAAAAGCCAGGAACTACAGACTGGTGAGAGCCTGATATCGGTGGTGGGCAAGTTGGTGGACGGAATTGTGAGGGACAGGATTTATATGTATTTGGAAAGGCAGGGACTGATTAGGGATAGTCAACATGGTTTTGTGCATGGGAAATCATGTCTCACTAACTTGATTGAGTTTTTTGAAGTAGTAACAAAGAGGATTGATGACGGCAGAGAGGTGGACGTGATCTATACAGACATGAGTAAGGCGTTCGACAAGGCTCCTCATGGCTGGTTAGCAAGGTTAGATCACATGGAATAGAGGGAGAACTAGCTATTTGGTACAGGATTAGCTCGAAAGTAGAAGACAGAGGGTAGCGGTGGAGGGCTGCTTTTCAGATTGGAGGTATGTGGCCAGCAACAAGGATTGGTACTGGGTCCACAGCTTTTTGTCATTTATATAAATGATTTGGATGCGAACTTAGGACATATGGTTTAGTAAGTTTGCAGATGACACTAAAATTGGAGATGTAGTGGACAACAAAGAAGATTACCTCAGAGCACAACAGGATCTTGATCAAATGGGCCAGTGGACCAAGGATTGGCAGATGGACTATAATCTGTAAGGTGTTAAATGTGAGGTGCTGTGTTTTGGTTTGGTAAATCAGGGCAGGACTCATACACTTAATAGTAAGGTCCAGGAGAGTGTTGCAGAACAAAGAGACCTAGGAGTACAGATTCATAGTTGCTTGAAAGTGGAGTCGCAGGTAGATAGGACAGTGAAGAAAGCATCTGGTATGCTTGCCTTTATTAGTCAGTGCATTCAGTATAGGAGTTAGGAGGCCATGTTGTGGTTGTACAGGACATTGGTTAGGCCACTTTTGAAATATTGCATGCAATTCTGGTCTCCCTGCTATAGGAAAGTTGTTGTAAAACTTGGAAGGGTTCAGAAAAGATTTACAGGATGTCACCAGGGTTGGAGGGTTTGATCTATAGGGAGAGGCTGAATAGGCTGGGGCTAATTTCCCTGAAGCGTCGGAGGCTGAGGAGTGACATTACAGAGGTCTATAAAATCACAAGTGGCATCGATAGGGTAAATTGGCAAGGTCTTTTCCCTGGGTGGAAGAGTCCAAAACTAGAGGGCATAGGTTTAAGGTGAGAGGGGAAAGATTTAAAAGAGACCTAAAGGGCAACTTTTTCACACAGAGGGTGGTGTGCACATGGAACATGCTACCACAGCAAGTGGTGGAGGCTGATACAATTACAACAGTTAAACGGCATTTGGATGGGCCTATGAATAGGAAGAGTTTACAGGGATATGGGCCAAATGCTGACAAATGGGGCTAGATTTATATAGGATATATGAATGAGTTGGACCGAAGTGTCTGTTTCCGTGCTGTATATCTCTATGACTCTATGAAAACAAGCAATTAGGAATGACTAAGTTCTGAAGTACCCAGTTCTAAAGAAGGGCCACTGGACTCGAAATGTTAACTCTGCTTTCTCCCCACAAACGCTGCCAGATGTGTAAAGTTTCTCCAACAATTTCATTTTTTTTAAAATTAGGGATGTCTAAAAGTTGATCAATGAGGCAGGTTTCAAAGAAGGGCTTCTTAAAGGAAAGAGAAACATAGAGGCAGAGAGGATGAAGGTGGTAGATGCAGAGGTTAGGGCCTAGAGGACCAACAATGAGGTCAGAGTGCAGGAAAGCAGAAGTCTCAGAGGGCAGTATAGCTTGAGGACATTACAGAGAAAGGGAGGATGAGCCCATGAAAATGAGGATTAGAATTTTGAATTCAAGGTGTTAGTATACATAATGTCAATGTACATTGAAGATTATAGGGATGAGGGCAGAATAGGCCTTTTTTGTTGGAAGCTGGAAAACTAATCAGGAAAGCAGCAGGAGTGTTGAGTGTGGAGACAACAAAAGGTTCTTAGCTGCAGGTTCAATTAGGAACGAATGGAATTGATCAATGTAGCAGAGGTAAAAAATCAATATTCTCTTTGGAGAGTATACAGAGACAGAGGGTCAAGTCAGAATCAAATATCAAACTGTTGCTGCAAACATTCTGATCGAGTCTAAGTCAGTGTCCAGGGAGGAGAGCAGTGGGACTTGTAGAGTTCAGAGATCTTTGCAGTGGAAGTTGAAGATTTGTGTTTGTGTTTACAATATTTTACATTTAGCTAAGAAAGCAATCGGTGTCTGTCTTCACAGGTGAAGACACAAGAACACTCTCTGAAATAATTAAGATTCAAAAGTTTTGTGGTAGACCCAAACTGAAAGAATTTAATGTTAATTTTTTTAAAAAACTGTTGGTGACATTAACAGATCTGAAAGTTGACAAATCCCCAGGTCCCGATAGTCTTCACCCTTGAATGTTGGAAGAGATGGCTACAGAGATAGATTCAATGTGGTCATCTTTCAAAATTCTATTAATTCTGCAACAGTGCCTACAGATTGGAAGATTGCTTCACTGTAACTTCACTGTTTAAGAAAAGAAGGACAGAGAAAACAGGAAACCACAGACCTGTTAGCCTGACATCACGAGTAGAGAAAACACTAGAATCCATTAGAAAGGATGTGACGACTGGCATTGAACAGCACATTGTACTACTGAGCTATTATGGAACTCATGATTAACTTACAATCACCATAAACTGGTTTGTTCTCTAGGGCAACACCTCTTATAATCAAAGCAAACAAATTACCTCTCTCACTACGCAAATGTTGGTTTTCCTCTCTCATTATATAAATGTTGATTTTCCCTTTAAATTGGTATTCTTGAGAATTGCTCTGCTGAGTGCAAGATGAAAGCTTTGACACAATGTGTCTTTCTTCAGCAAGACTTGAGTTTTGTACTACTGATGACTTCTCCACAAAGTGCAAACTTTGAAATACTTTGACCAAATAATAACTAAACTCATTTAAAAAGGATAAGTCATTGACAGTCTCAAATGATGTTCTGATTCCAAAGTCACCTTGCACAAGCACAAGCTGCTGACATTGCTGTATCTTCCTGCAACAGTTGAATGAAGGATAGGCCTGGCCTCGTTCCCACAGAATGCTCCAAGTAGTTGGTCTGTTCCATATTACCTGTCCCTCGTGGAAAAATTTGTAAAATAAAACACTTTTGACCACAGGTCCATCTGGCTGTGGTCAGCACACAGCATCCTTGAGACTCTGTGGGAAAAGAAGAGTGCTGATCTTGTCAGGTATTTCCCTGAGCAGACCATCAAAGTTATTTGGCAGAATGCCTTATCGCCAGAACTGTCCAATAGGCACCAAGATGTAACCTGATTTGTGGTAAGAAGGATGCTCCCTACAATATACTTCATGCATACCCAGACTCTCTCCACCGCCATGCACTGCCCTTGAAACAGCTGCAAGGGGGAAGAGACTGTCACACATCTCCTCCTGGAACGTGACTTTGCAAAGAAGGTCTGGAGAAAGATGCAGCAGTTTTTGTCGAGGTTCATCCTAAGCAGCTCCATGACACAAGACTCTGTGCTTTAAGGCCTGTTCCCCAGAGCACACACTGAGACAAACATTGAATGCACGTGGAAGACCATCAACTCAGTGAAAGATGTTCTTTGGTCTGCCCAAAACCTGTTGGACTTCCATCGCAAAGAGTTGACCTCGACCGACTGTTGCAGAATGGCACCTTTCCAAGGTCCAGGGCTATATCCTGAGAAACACACTACAGCTTGGGGCAGCTGCTGCCAAGGTACAGTGGGGAAAGACTGCATCTATTCAGTTATCATACCATCTCACTGTCTCAAAATGTAAGTAAGTAGTGTCCTGCATGTGCAGGAAATGTCAAATTTCAATGTCTGCTGTTTTCTTCATGTGCAAAGATTGTTTAGAACTGTTTTAGCACCTTGTGTATGTACATAAAGATAATTTTTTATGAATATTTTTGCAATTAAAAAATCTTCCTGTGACAACTGGAGTTGGCTGAATTCCCTTTGCTTCAGCTAAGTGGTGTAGATAAAAAGAAAATCCTCTTCAGAAACTCTCTCCAAGCAGTAAAGATGGCTTCCAGCAATTTTTCAACTAATACATTTTGCTAAGAGAAATTGTAAATTCTTTCTCTCAGCTCCACAATAGTCTTACCGCCATGACTTCTCTCAGAATGTTACCCATACTGTAAGGCTCCATCTGAGCTCATGCTCCTTGCAGGTACAACAATGTTCCCGTTGTACCCAGGATGTCCTTCCTTTAAAAATTTAAAAGTATATTTGTGTTCACGTAATCTTTTGAAGAATAATATTTGGGATCAAATCTCTTATCAAATCAATGATGTAGTTTATGATTGACAGACCCTACATAGATTAATTCTAGCCATAGCACACAAAGATTCTTAATCTAATGCTGCAGAAAAAATTTGCAAAAACTAAGACTAAAACAGAAAGATAGCTTTTCAAGTAATAACTTGCAGAAAGTATTTTTGCAATGAGAAGTTTAAGCTCCTGCTTTAAGAGCCTGGATTTTAAAAGGGAAGACCTTGGTTGACAAATCTCATTGAATTAGTCAGAGATAACTTGGAGAATAGACAAGGTCATACAGTCATGCACTAAGTCTAGGTTTCCAAAATACCTTTGATAAAGGTATCACGTAATAGACTAAAGCATAGGATCAAAGACAAATAGCAGAATGGATAACAAGCAAGCTACAAAACACAGCAAAAAGCAGGGTAAAGGGTAGCTATTCAGAATGCCAGAAATTGCAAAGTTGGGTTCCTGAAGGGTTGGGAACTCTATTCTGATGTTTACAACTTCCAAATTTATAGTATCAAAAACAGAAAATGCAAGGAATACTCAGCTGGTCAGACACCATCTGTGGAGGGAAGCAGAGTTAATGTTTCAAGCTGATGACCTTTCATCAGAACTTTCAGCTAAATTTACAGCCAACACCCAATTGGAAGTAATAGTCGTATGGGAGGGAGGACTGCAAAATCTTAAAAAATAACATTAATAAACTTGCAGAACAGACAGTAAATTGGCAAGTGAATTTCAGCATTAGAAAATGAGAGTTATCACACTGCGGTAAGAAAAATAAGGAAAGTGCATATTACCTGGAAAATAAGAACCTAAATGGGATAATCAGAAGGATCAGGAAGTACAAATATGCTAATCACAAAAAATTCCATGGGTCAAAAGGATTTTAACCAAAGCAAATACTACAGATTATTTCCAGAGATACTGAATTGAAAAGTAGTGAATTACATAGCAAATTAGACCATACTCAAAGTATTGAGTATAGATCAGGTAATCTTACAGGGGGTTCTGCCAATAACGCGTGTTCCAGCAATGCAAATTGGCTGTAACGCAATTGACAATTAGGGGAACACTATTTCTAAAACACGAACTCCTGTTGGCTTTAATGCGATTTCATCGAGTATGTTTTGACATTGTGGGCTTTGTCAAAGAAAAATTTATTTTTTTCGATCCTTGTAGATGGTGTAAATGAGTTATTTTGAAAAAGGTACTTGGATTGTACGTCATAAACCTCAAATATAATATCTCACAGAGAACATCCGTCTTATTAGGAAAATATGTGAAGTCTTAGTTTGAAGAGTTTATGCTGAACATATTAAATACAAAAAAATGAAGTATAGTTTAAAATAATGAGTGCTGTTAAAACATTCACCTTTGCGTGTAGTATTTTTGCCTAGATTTTGTTGCATATTTAATATGTAAGAAGTTTTGAACTTGCTCATGTAAATCATTTATACCAAAAGTTGACTGTATTATAGCCTCCTCTTTTCCAGCACTATTTTGGATACAATGTTGCTCAGGTTTATAACGCACTGTAATCCTACAATTAACTTCACTGTCAATGGGATAGTTAGGAAAGAAAGGTCAGATTCCTCTGCTTCAACTATCTGAAAATCTATCCAGAAGTCTGTGCCGATGGAATGTCAGGTCAGATCAGCAATGAGCTAGGCTGTGATGCAGACTACGTTGTAGGTGAATAGATTTTATTTGATTAGAAGTGTCAAGGGCAACAATACCAATAGGAGTGTGGAGAGGAAGAATTTTGAATGATTTTGAGTGATACTTTTTGGTGGTCTGCCCCTAACCCCGCTTTTCCCATAGGTCCCGTTATTTCTATAGCACAGTTTTCTATAATGCGATGTTGCGCAGGAACGCAACTATTGCTTTATAGCAGAACCCCCAGTATTATAAAACAGAAAGCATTGAGAGCGTGCAACAAAGATTTACCAGATCATATCAGACTGCCAGATTATATCATCAGGATACAATGAATGGATTAAATATAAACAGAATGCTTCCATTGGTAGGAAAGAATCAAATAGTGAAGCTAGAAGCAACTTCGCACCCGTAATTGATGAGAATGTGGAAGACACTACCACAAGGAATAAAGGAATAGTTAAGGCAAATATTGATGCATTTAAGGGGTGGCTGGAAAAGGACATAAGGGAGAAAGAAATTGAGATTTATGTTAATATGGACCAGTTTGACCAAATGGCTTGTTTCTGCGGTGTATGTTTTATATTACTTTTTTAAATCTCCCTATTGACTGAGGTACTTGATCAAGCCAAGCTGAAAACACAATTTCATTCACATGCAACGGTGGTAACACATTCACATTGTTCTGTCATTCAAAACTCCAATTCATAATTGACTACAACATGAATGCATAGACCAAAACCATCAAGAGATCTTCCTGTTATGTGTAACTCTGAGTCTACCACAAAACACAAATGTTTTAAAAATTCCCACTTGAAGGCACAATTAATTCATCTAGAAACTCTCATCCCTTGACTAATTTGGGGTTTGGACATGATCCAATGTCATAGAGAACAATTGACTAGAATGCACTTCACCCTAAGCAATGGCTGCAGAAGTGGTACAAATGCCTCAAAGATGCCTCAAGAACAGGACTTAAAATAATTTCAGCACATCACTCACCTTTAAAGCATAATCTTTTCCACTACCAAGGTCCTGTGCTTCATAGACAAAGGCAAATCCACCTGTTAAAACAGAAAAACATTCCTAGAATGAGAACTTACCCATAATGTACAATAGACTTGTGTAGATAAACAGCACCTCCCAAATCACAGCCCCTTCCATCTGGAAGGGCAAGGCAGAAGATACATGGGAATACCACCACCTGAAAGTTCCCCTCCAACCCACCCAACATCCTGACTTGGAAATGTATCGCCATTCCCTCAGTCACTGGGTCAAGATCCTGGAATTGCCTCCCAAATGACATTTGGATCAACCCATGGCACGTGGACTGCAGCAGTTCAAAAAGGCACCTCACCACCACTTTCTCAAAGGCAACTAGGGACAGGCAATAAATGGTCGCCAGCCAGTGATGCCCACATCCCATAAATGAATTAAAAAACCCAAGGTGATTAAAAGGCCCCAATCTCACAGCAGTGAGTACTTGTGGAATGCCTTAATCAGTTTGTTCGTGAGCTACATACTGCATCACATCTCAATTGAAATCTACAGATTAAGTTTGATAACTGTGGCTTGCCTCGAGGTAAGCGCTGTGCAGACAGGAACACCATTGGGTGGTCAGAAAATCTAAAGGAATAGGCCTCCCAAACATCCTGAAGAATTTAACTGCAGGCGTGCTTTACTCTTTACCCCTCAAGTATCTCATTCACAGTCAATTTGACAATAGGCCTGAAGACTTTTTAGTAGGGAGTTTGATTCACTGGACCAAAGTCTGCAGCAGCAAGTAATTTAATGGAGAAATGTCTCATGGTGTTCTGTGAGGTCCAAATAAATATGCTAGGTGATGATTCAGGGTAGCCAGGGGAGGTAGGCAGATCACTGTAGAACAGGTTTATTGTTATCTTGTTGAGCCTAAACAAAACACTCCTGCCTCAACTAGCCTACTAGGGCTGCAAAGGCTGTCCTTACCTTATGGATTCAGCCTTCTCACCTCCTTTAAGATGCTGAGTTTCCCAACACCCAGGAAGCCTGGCCACCTTTTACATCTAATCTTTGAACCTACATTAACAAAAAACATTTAAATTACCAACCACTTCCCACATGGAAGTTGGTTGCTCACTCCATCTATACAAAACCAGATGCTGGCAGGCTAGAGCCAAGCTTTATCCTGGTTACAGGCTTTTCTTATTTTTCCCCATCCCAGACATTTTTGAAGTGAATATTTAGCATCTATATATGGTCTCAACAAAAACAAGACAGCAAGTGGTTTGTAAATATCACATGAACTCCAAGTCTAGATTCCTACTCTAGCAGGAGGTATGTTGGTTGTATCAATAAAAGATGCTGTCCAATGGGGAGAGAGAATCAGTGTAACAGAAATGAACTGAAACAGGAAACCCAATTTGTGAGTAGCACTACCACTTACTTGAATTGGTTTTATATTTGAAGTCATTCCTGTTACACCCATTTTCTCTCCCCACCATGCGCCATTTTTCTACTGAAACAACCAACATATGTATTATTATCAAATTTTCAATGCTAGCCAGTGGGATGAATGTAAGATCAATCATGGATCATTCACTCACCCATACATTTGCTACATGTAGAGAGAAACACACAACCAGTGCATAACATTCAATGAGGTCTACTGTCTCGGAAATCAGAACAAATCAACATCATCCCATTTGTTACTCCAATGGGTTCATACACTGCCAGACTAACTACCACATTAACTTCCAAATGTTATACAGTTTCAGGCTCTTTTACTTCTTAAATACAAGTCTGGACACTGCCAAGATTCACTAACTGAATAACTGTGGAGTAATTTTATTAACTTTAACAGGGAAGTCATGCTCAATGGCAGCTCAAATATTTAACAATTGTTTCATCATGGACTAGTAATTAGTGTGGCTTTATGCTTGAAAGTTATCAAAACCAAAATTTCTAATGTATTAAATTGTGTCGTGTATGTCTCACTCACCCTATTTGGGCATTATCATTCAATTTCACACTGTTCAACACCAGAAGCAGAACTTGACTATGTTCATTCAGACGTTAATACAAGGGCCTGTCTGTCATGACACCTTGGATACAGAGGCATACTCCCTGGTATCATGGCTAATACTTGTCTTTCCATCAAAGCCACTAAAAATTGTTTGAATGGTTATTATCGCAAGGCAATTTGTGTTATCTCTGTCTCTGCACATTGGCTTCCTATAGGAGTCATATGGTTACGGATTCACAGAAATTAAATCCAAGACATATTGAAGCAACAACACAGAAATTGTTAAAAAGTATAACTGCAGTGCTGCCAAATGGCTGGACATGATTCCAGTTTATAATTGTTCCCTTTTGTATTCTGGACTCTACATCCTCACTTGGCATCAGGGTTGGAGATTCCTCACAGACAGGTGGTGAATTCTGTATTGCCCAGGATACAACTGCCAAGCAACTGGTAACCAATCAGGACAGATTAAAACAAACCATCACAAAAACTTGGTTAATCATCGAGGATTACTGAAATGGTGAGGAAGAAAACTGATTTTATTTTAATTAATTTTATTTTATTCTTTTGACTTTTTTTTGAAAAGAGGTATGTTGTCACACTCACTGTCTCTCAAAAGAACGTACCTCTTTTAAGTAAAAAATCAATACTGTGAAAACTGCAAAGGTTGTACTCTGATTTGTAGCTCTGTGCCAGGGTTCAGAAGACACTGAGTTGGGTTGATAGTGCACATAATTTTATCAATTTTAGACATGTTTAAAAATAAACCTAACGGGGGTATTTTCCCAAGGGTGTTGGAAAAGAGTGAGACAGACTCACTCTTCCCAGCTTTCAGTCAATTGCAGAGTGGTCTCAATAAAAAGCAGCGCAGTGGAATGTCTGTAAACAACCCTTTGATCCTGTTCCATCACTCAATAAGTTGATATCAGATCAGATTTTGGCGTCAATTCCACTTTCCTGTCTTTTCCCCAGGATCCTTGATTCCTCCCTCAGCTTTGAAGATATTCAAAGACTCACCATCCACAGGTCTATGGTGTACTGAATTCCAAAGATTCATGACCTGCTAAGATAAATTCCCCCTCAGTTCCATCTTAAATAGGTGACCTCATAATCTGAAGGTAAACACCCTAGATCAAGTTTCCTCTATGACAAGAAACATCCTCTCAGAATATACACTATCAAGATCCCTCAGAATTTTGTGTTTCAATGAAATCAATTACTAAACTTTAATGAGTACAGATGCAACCTATTCAATTTCTTCATTAGACAATTCCTTCATTTCAGATTTGGAAAAAAAAGTCATATCAAAGTTTCACCCATAATTTTCTATGCCTCTCCACAAATGCTGCCAGACTTGCTGAGTTTCTTCAGCACTTTCAGTTTTTACTCCTTCATCTCAGGAATGGACCAACTATACCTTCTCTGAACTACCTCCAATGCAAAGTAAAAGAACAAAGCTATTAGCAGTACTCCAAGTGCAGTCTCATACAGGCTCTGTTTGGTACATTTCAACCCACTTGCAATAAAGGCCATTTGTGTTACTAATTATTTGCTATACCTGGAAGCTATGCATTCATATTTCAAGTCTGAGGACACCAAGATCCCTCTGTTCCACAGCATTCTGTAGTATCTCTCTAATTAAATGTTTCACCTTTCTGTTCTAACGATCAAATTGAATAACTTCACATTATATTCTATCAGCCAAATGTTTGCTCACTCAAACTTGTTGCATATCCTTGAATCTGTAAGCTCCTTACAGCTTGCTTTCTTACTTATATTTGTATTGGCAAATAACTGCCGACAATACATTTGGTCTCTTCATCCAAGTAGTTAACATGGATTGTAAATGGCAAGTCTCCAGCACTGACCCATGTAGAATCCCACTGGTTGTGAAGAAGAGTCATTCTGGGTTCAAAATTTTAACTTTCTTTCTCTCTCCATAGATGCTGCCAGACCTGTTGAGTTTCTCCAGCACATTCAATTTTTTTATTTCAGATTTTCAGCATGCTTAGTAATTTGCTTTTACCCCATTAGTTGAAAATGACCAGTTTATCCAGTATGTTTTCTGTTACTTAGCCGATCTGCTTATCCAAGCCAAAAATGACCCTGAGCAGAATCGTTACTGCACAGAAAAAGGCTATTCAGTCCATCAAGCCTGTATCAGTACACTGCAGGAACAATTTAGCAGCTACCACTTTCCCCATTATCTTGCTTTTTGTGTTCTCTTCAGGTGCTTATCCAATTCCCTGTTGAAAGCCGTGACTGAATCTGCCTCCATTAGACTCTCAAGCAGTGTATTTCACATCACAATAATTCACTGTATAAGAATTACCTTTTCTTCATATTGTCGGAGTTCTTCTGCCAAATACTTCAACACGAGTTAAAAAAAATGTTAATGTCAATGACAAGAACAGACACAAGAACTCGTTACTAACAAAAGGTGTAACAGCTTCACAGCAAAAAGGTTCAGCCAAGATTTGTTTTAAACGTGTTCAAGAGTGCAAATTCTGAATTACTTACAGCAACTTTCATTTATATAGCACCTTTAATGTTAATCATTGATTTATTATTATTGACACCCAGACCTAAGTACAGTGAAAAAGAGTTGTTTTCCTGCAGTAGAGGCAGGTTATAATAAAGATCATAGACTGATTGAGTGCAGCAAGAAACACAAAGTTACGGCTGCAAAGAAGGTGCACAAAAAGCAAGATCAACTTTAGATATGAAATTTGAAAGGTCCATTTAGAAGTCTAATAGCAATAGGGAAGATGCTGTTCTTGAACCTGTTGGTAGGTGTGTTTAAGCTTTTATAGCTTCTGCCTGATGGAAAAGGTTGGAAGAGATCGTAACCAGGATGGGAGAGGTCTTTGATGATGTTGGCTACCTTTCCGAGGCATTGCAGAGTGTCAATGGAGTCAATGGATGGAAGGTTGGGTTGCGTGATAGACTAGGCTGTGTTCAAAACTTTTTGTAGTTTCTCACCATCCTGGGCAGAGCTGTTGCCATACCAATCCATGATGCATCCAGATAGAATGCTTTCTATGATGCATCTATAAAAGT